CAAGCCAAAGCTGTGGTGGCATCCCACATATAAAGTAGTGGAAGATGGGCACAGATGTTAGCTCAGGGCCAGTCTTCCTCAGCAAAAAGAGGAGGGATTGGTGGTAGATGTTAGCTCAGGACTAATCTTCCTAAAAGAAAAAAAATTTTTTACATAGGTGTAATCATGAAGTGGGTAACTTTTTGGGACTGGCTTTTTTTCCCTCCTGATACTTCCTTGAGGATTCATTCAAGTCATTGTGTGTATCAATAGTTCTTTCCTTTTTATTGCTGAGTGATATTACAGGGCATGGATGGACCAATTTGCTTATCCATTAACTTGTTGAAAGACATCTGAACTAATTTCAGGTTTTTACTATTATGACTAAAACTGATATAAACATTTTTGTATGGTTTTTTTGTGTGCAAATGTAAGTTTTCATTTCTCTGGGATAAATGTCCAACAATGCAATTGCTGGATCACATGAAAAATTCATGTACACTTTTTAAAGAAACTGCCAAACTGCTTTCAGAGTGGTTGTACCATTTTATATTCCCATGCACAATGTGTGAGAGATCCAGTTTCCACACATCCTTGCCAGCATTTGTTGTTATCCTTATGTTTTATTTTAGCCATTTTGATAGATGTACACAGTGAAATAACATTGTGGTTTTAATTTGCATTTCCCTGATGGCTAGTGAAGTTGAACATCTTTTTACGTGCTTAGTTTGCATCTGTGTGTCCTCTTTGGTGAATGTCTGCTTATGTCTTTTGCTCATTTTCTAACTGAATTTTTTTTGGTTTTGTTTTTTGTGTTTAGTTTTTAACTGTTGAGCTTAGAGAGTTATTTCTTTATGTTCTAGATTCTAAGCCATTTATTGATATGTGGTTGGCTAATATTTTCTCCAAATCTCTAGCTTATCTTTCCATCCTTGTATTTATTTATTTATTTTTATTGTGGTAACATTGGTTCATAACATTATATAAATTTCTGGTGTATGTCATAATATATTTCGAATTCTGTGTTATATCATGTTCACCACCCAAAGACTAATTATAATGCATCACCACACACACGTGCCTAATCACCCCTTTCACCCTCGTACCTCCCCCCCTTCCCCTCGGTAACCACCAATCCAATCTCTGTTGCTATGTGTTTATTTGTTGTTGTTTTTATCTTCTACTTATGAGTGAGATCATACCATATTTGACTTTCTCCCTCTGACTTATTTCACTTAGCATAATACCCGCAAGGTCCATCCGTGTTGTCAGAAATGGCCAGATTTCATCATTTCTCATGGCTGAGTAGTATTCCATTGTGTATATATACCACATCTTCTTTATCCATTCGCCCCTTGATGGGCACCTAGGTTGCTTCCAAGTCTTAGCTATTGTGAATAATGCTGCGATGAACATAGCAGTGCATGTATCTTTGTGCATTTGTGTTTTCAAGTTCTTTGGATAAATGCCCAGCAGTGGGATAACTGGATCATATGGTAGATCTATTCTTAATTTTCTGAGGATACTCCATACTGCTTTCCCTAGTAGCTACACCAGTTTACACTCCCACCAGCAGTGTACGAGAGTTCCCTTCTCTCCACATCCTCTCCAACACTTCTTGTTTCCTGTCTTGTTACAGCCATGCTGATGGGAGTGAGGTGATATCTCATCGTAGTTTTGATTTGCATTTCCCTGATAGTTAACAATGTTGAGCATCTATTCATGTGCCTGTCGGCCATCTGTATATCTTCTTTGGAGGGATCTCTGTTCAGATCTTTTGCCCATTTTTTAATTGAGTTGTTGTTTTTTTTGTTGTGGAGGTGTATGTGTTCTTTATATATTTTGGATATTAACCCCTTATCTGATGTATGGTTTGCAAATATCTTCTGCCAATTGTTACGTTGTCTTCTTGTTTTGTTGATGGTTTCCTTTGCTGTGCAGAAACTTTTTAGTTTAATGTAGTCCCATTTGTTTATTTTTTTCTGTTGTTTCCCTTGCCTGGTCAGACACGGTATTTGAAAAAATGCTGCTAAGATCGATGTCTAAGAATGTACTGACTGTGTTTTCTTCTAAAAGTTTAATGGTTTCAGATCTTACATTCAAGTCTTTAATCTATTTTGAGTTGATTTTTGTGCATTGTGTAAGATAATGGACTGCTTTCATTCTTTTGCATGTGGCTTTCCAGTTTTCCCACCACCCTTTATTGAAGAGACTTTCCTTTCTCCATTGTATGTTCTTGGCTCCTTTGTCGAAAATTAGTTGTCCATATATATGTGGATTTATTTCTGGCCTCTCAGTTCTGTTTTATTGAACAGTGTGTCTATTTTTTATGCCAGCACCATGCTGTTTTGGTTACTATAGCTTTGTAGCATATTTTGAAATCAAGGAGTGTTTCCATCTTTTAAAAAGGTCTTCTGTAGAGCCAAGAGTTTTAATTTTAATGAGGTCCAATCTATCAATTTTTTATTTTATGGCTAGTGCTTTTGGTGTTGAGTCTAAGAACCCTTTGCCTGGCCTTCGAACCTGAAGATTTTCACCTTTCAATTTTTTTCTAAAAGTTTTCTGTTTTACATTTAAGTATGAGTTAATTTTTGTTAAAGATTTGAAGTACAGTTCAAGGTTCACTTTTTTGTCTATTGATGTACAATTATTCCAGCACTGCTTTTGGAAAAAGCTCTATTTCTGCCATTGAATTGCTCTGCAAGTTTGTCAGATATCAGTTGGGTGAATTTGTGAGGGTTTGTGTCTGGGTTCTCTAATCTGTTTCATTGGGTCCATGTGTCTAAATCTCTCCCAATATCAAACAGTTTTGATTTATTCTGTCTATAGAGTGAGTCTTGAGATTGGGTAGACTGAGTTCTCCCACTTCATTCTTCTTTTTCAAAATTATTTTTGCTCTTCTTCTTCCTTTACCCTTTCATATAAATATTAGAATAATCTTTATTCTACAAAAAATATACGGTTGGAATTTTGATAGGAATTGCATTGAATCAGTTCTCAATTATGAAATATCGGTTTGGGCAGAAGTGACATCTTTTCTATGTTGATTCTTCCAATCCATGAACCCAGTAAACCTCTCCTTTTTTTTAGGTCTTCTTATACAGGAATTAACCTTATATCTTACTTTGGAACTATATGGAATTTATATCACCAAGTCAAAATGACTTGGATGAACTAAGTCAACAAAATATTTTTGTTGGAAACAATTTTGAAATGGAAAATATCAGTTTCCATAGTCCTCTTCTAAATAAGCAGACAGAAATTGTTCCCTTTCTAAGATCTTATTTATAATGTATCCAAATAATTAAAAAGTGAAATAATATCCCTAATAATTTTGAAAGAAAAAGAAAACTACTTTCCATTTGAGTTAAGTTTCCTCATAAAAACTGAGAGTAATGGGTTTGTGGAACTTCATAAGACTTCAGTTTTCCCTGATTATTTCCCAAAACCAAATTAATTTCTATCCCGTGACTTGCGGTGTTCTGTTTTAGAATATTTCAGTGTGGTATAGTAGGGCTGCCTCCCAAGTTGGAGGTGGCTTTGTGTTTGGTTATTAAAGAAGGGATGTTTGGTGCCCAAAAGTGTAGTATATAAACCTTGGATCAAGCTGTACAGTTTAGCTTCCTTACTCAGATGCGTATCTGAGGATTTCATTGGCAAATAGATTATTTTCCCATCTGGTAAAAGGATCTAGGTATTCCATGCATATTTACGTCTGGGGAAAATACCAAGAATCTCTTAGCAAAATGTGGCCTGGTAGATGCAGAGACTTATATTAAACCGCCTGCCCCAGCCATAGCAGTTCAACTATTTTTTCCTCCAGGAAAAAAATATATTCAATTTATTTATGGGCACTTCTGTATTTTGCTTTTCATTACCTAAATTGTATTTCAAATATTGTTTTATTGTCACTGTAATGTCAGAAAACAAACTAAATAGGGATTTGCTGCCAATTTTAATAAGTTGACATGGACGCAAAGAAACATGCACAATATTCATGATCTCTAGTCCTACTATGAAAATTCAGTAAAGTTAAGCAGTCCTTTGCACAAACTACAGTATGAAGTGATGCTTCTAAAGGAACTCCCAGTACCATGAAAGTTTTAAGAGTTCTTGAACACATTAAGAATATTTTAATGTCTTGGCTCTGAGTGAATGCAAGTGGCGGTTTTCACCCAGTCAAGCGCAGACCTACCCTACGTCAGAGGGCCTCCTCCTTTGTTGTGAAGACCCCTGTTTGCCCTCTGCGTCTTGCCCACACTGTGGGCTGGGGCTTTCCCAGAGGATAAAGCTCAGGGTAGTGCCACCCCAGCCACTGGGCATCCTTTTCTAAATCCTTATTCTGAAGCCTAATTGAACCACTTAAAAAATCAATTACTTAAATGATTTTTTGGGACAAAATCTTATTGTCACATAGACACAATAGGCTAAAGAATTTGAATTGGGGGAAACTCTTGGGCCCTTTTGCAATTTTCTTCTTCCACAAACCCATCTTACTTTAGCAAAGGTCTGGGTACATTTCTTAGATTAAATGCACGGCCCTGACTTTTCCTTGAATTCAGGAAGCCCATATTCCTCTTCTCCTACCACTTCCTCGACATAGACTTATCAAAATAGGACAGCTGCCTCTCTGCTTCCTGGCCATCTTCCCATCTCTGCTGACTCTCGCATATTGGTGTTGCTAAGAACTTTCCTGGAAAGAATCTGCAGGCTAAAACCCAACGCTGGATGATTTTGCACAGACACTACTTTCTGAAATATGCAGAAGGCTGGAGTTGCCAGGATGGTGTGAACCTGCCAGTGTTTTTCTATTTCCAGGACACTGGCTCTGCTGCCAGCTGTTACCACAATTTTTTCCTAGTAGAAAATTTGTTTAAGGGAAAGGTTGTAAAAACATGGTTGCTTTAATGCGAACTTTATTGTATTCTTAGCACTAAGTTATCTGAAAGACATTCAAGTTAACTCACTCTTTTAAAAGTTCCACCAGTAACACGGATGCTTTTCTGGTTTGTCCTTTGCAGAAGTGAAATTTTTCTGTGAAACTCCAGCGATCGCTGATATTGTAATCCTGGTTGATGGTTCCTGGAGTATTGGAAGATTCAACTTCAGACTGGTTCGGCTTTTCTTGGAAAACCTGGTTACAGCGTTCGACGTGGGCTCAGAGAAGACACGAATTGGTACCTCTTCTGTTATTAACAGCAGTCAGTTGTCATTGTAAAACTGCTGGGAAGCTTCTTAAGAAATTTCAAAAACTCTTTACAAAGTGACTTTCAGAATCACAGGATGTTCCCAAAAGTGCAAGCTTGGATCAGGAAATATTTACTCCTACTAAGTTTTGCTGTGACACTTTCATTCAATTAATTATTGAACACATTTTAATTTTCTGAAAAGTCAAAATCTTCTCTGCCTAATAATAATAAAACTTTTAAAGTTACAGTCGGTTTAAGCATTTATCACATAAAAGTTTTCTTCTTCTTTAAGAGAAACAGCTGAATCCAGTGAAATGTTGAACTAAGAAAATTGAAGATTGGAAATAGTTTTGTAGTACAAGATGATCTTCGCCAAATTAATTCAAGCCGAGATAAAAAGCAAAAAAAAAAAAGAAGTAAATCTTTGAGTAACATATCTACTTTATTAAAGTTTCAAAGTATCACATTTAAGTAGCTGTTAAGGAAACTCATTCCTTTGAGAATAAAAACAAACAAATAAATCTAGATCTTTTACCTACAAACATGATCATACTTTTTTTAAAAAAATGCTCTTTACCTAATTGGATGCTCAATTCTAAATGGCTAGAAGATAAGTACATTCCCCTGGCGCCCAGATAGTCCAAATTAATTCCTTAAATTGATGTCAGGAATTCTTTTTGAAAGTACATAGTGAGGCAGAGAAGAAAATGTTGCAAAGATTAGGCCCTTCATCATTCTAGTTTCTGGAATAGTTCACCAGATCTTTGAGTAACCCATCATTTCTGGGTGGACTTTCTTATCTTTATTTTCCAGGTCTTGCACAGTATAGCGGAGACCCCAGAATAGAATGGCACTTGAATGCCTTTAACACAAAAGATGAGGTGATCGATGCTGTCCGAAATCTACCATACAAGGGAGGAAATACACTAACAGGTACGTTTTGTTCACTGCACATTTTTAGCAACATATCTTGCTAAAGAATAGTTTTATCACTTTATTCTGCCACTCTGTAAGACTGAGCATAGTATTTTTTTAACCAAACTAGCATCTAAAGTTCTCAGATGGCTCTTTTCTCAACCTCAGCATCAAGAGTTAAAGCTCAGACATCTCATTCCTATTGCTGTCCCAGGAAAGGCCTTTTGGGGCTAGAAGACAGCAGAGCGATCCCTGAGCGTGCCAGTCTGCAGCAGCTGTCTTAAGCTTTGTCAGTTCATTTCCTTTTCTTTCCCTTGTCTTCTCCTCCAGCCACCCTGTCAATTAAATAAAAACAGATTTCTATCTTATTTTCAAGAAAGGTATTTTCTTTGCCCTTATTCTGCAATCAGTAGTTATTGTGAAAATATTTGTGGATCTTTGGCTCACAAGTATTTTTGATAAATGAGTAATGTAAGGATGTTTAGATTATAATTATCCATGGCCCAACCATAAGGGGTTATTCCAGGTTTTAACCTTAGTACGTGCTATTTTCTTCCACAGCACATGATGGATAGTTTAACTATATAAATGCTATGCTTGACTTTTAAGTAATCCACTGAAATCCTGATCGTTGCTTCGCCATTTGAGGCCTAATCGAATGGGTTTTTTATTAATACAACAAAACATTTATTAAACACAAACCCTATAACAATATTGCAACATTTCTTATTTTTTCTGGGTAAAAAGTGTCACACTAAAAGGCGAGAGTTCAATTATCATTTTAGATCTGCTCCCACTACCCCTAAAAAAGAGAGGAAAAGAATTTTTGTTCTTTAGACCATCATGAACAAAATTGAATGTGTAGTGATAATATTTGGGACAGTAGCTTCTATGTGGGTATTCTTGCTTCATCCTAAATTATAAAGGTTTAGATTTTCTTGTACACAGATCTGTGACCATCTATTGGCCACAAATTCAGAGTTCTTTATAAATGCTAGTTTCTGAAATGGTGCAATATTCAGTTATTTTTATTACCTCTATTCTGGTAGGTTTTAGTTTTTCATCAGATCTGTCAAGGAAAAGATCCTTGTAAAAATAGAGATGAAAGATCACATCTAATAAAAACTCCTTTAGCTCAATAAGTTAATCAGCTTGTGGTTGCATTTTGCAGAATTAGAAGGCTTTTTATTAGAGATGATTGGTTTGTGTTTCTTTTTCCTTGTTTTCTCCCAGGTCTTGCTTTGAACTACATTTTTGAAAATAGCTTTAAACCAGAAGCAGGAGCAAGGTCTGGAGTGTCCAAAATTGGCATTTTAATCACAGATGGCAAGTCCCAAGATGATATTATTCCACCATCCAGAAACCTTCGTGAGTCTGGTGTGGAACTGTTTGCCATAGGTAAGTGTTATTTATGGTCCTCTTTCCACAATGGGCGCAGACACACAACCACTTGAAACAATGTGTAATGCAAAGTGCATTTCATTGAAAGTCAGAAATTTCTAGCCCTGACTGTAGTTGTAGCCATCATGTGACCTGAGCCCAAGTTCCTTGCATGTAAAATGGAAGTGATGGCAAATGTCATACATCCAATAGTGTGAGGATCTCTGGGTAGGTGTTTGTTATCTTTTAATTAGTTGAGACTTTTCTTTTCAGTAGCACTTTATATCTGTCTCTTCTCTGGTCGTATAGAGAGAAACTAATTTATCAGTTTCAAGGAATTAGGGTCCTGAAGCTATTTAAAGAAAGCACAGAGTTCTAGATATGCCATATTATTTCTTTGAAACTAACTCTTTATAAGGTATCGTTCTTGTGGAAAAGGATATGTATGGCACACATTCAGAGAACTGCACAATATTTAGATGATGATGCAACTTTGCTCTTGATTAAAATGTTTACATTTTCTTTGGCAACCAGAAGGTCTTTTATTTGGTAGAGACTGACAGACTTTCTCAGCAGAAAAAAAGCCTGATTACCAAGCAACACTGAAATACAGATCAAAATGCCAGAGCAAGTTCCTCAACGGGGTTCTGAAAACATTTAAAATTGGTTATTATGAATGGTCCATTTCATTATGTTTTCCGTATTTAATTTTTCTATTTATTATCAATCTTTAGTCTCATTAAAATGTATTTATCTCCCAACATTTATTGAGAATATGATGCAATCTTCTCTTTGTGAACTGACTGTGAGATATTTCTTCTATCAGAAGAGAATACTTTTTACCCTGGACTTATCCACCAGTTAGGAGTGACAAACTGGATGTCAGCATGAAAAATACAGATATGAGGGACCCGTTTTAGTCCTACTAAATTGAAATATCCGGAGAAGAGGGCCCTGGGAATCTGTACTTTGAAAACATTCTCCAAGGTTGAGAACTACTGGTAAACCCATTGGACAGTCTCCTTGTGTATTACTCAAGTTTCTCTCCCTTAGAGAAAGATCCTAAAATGTTTCCCTGTTTATATGTTTTGTTTCATCAGAGCACGTTTCTGATAAGCCATTTTTTTCAGAACTTATTTCCTACTAGTGTCCAGCCACGTGTTGATTGAGAACAGCTGCAGAAGGAAGAAGGGGCTATGGAAAGTGCTCTTCCCTCTCTTTCCTGTTCCTTGTCCCTGCAGGGCGTCTGGACAGTGACGTCCTAGAGGGCAAGGTTGTGTCTTCTTCATCTTTTCGTTCCCAGAACCTAACCCAGTGCTTGACACTTAATGTGTCCAATAAATGGTCGTTAAATAATTTAGTGTGTCTAAAAGATTCCTAAGACAGCAACATTACCTTTAGTATTAAAAATGAAAATACTTGTGAAAGATAGATATAAGAGAAAAGTATTATTATTACTATTCAGATAAGGGAAGGGGGTTTTCCTACAGCAGAAGCCGTTATAAAATACTGCTAGTAAAGGCTGTGTGTTCTGTTCATAGAAGAAAGAGCAAAGGAAATTCAGAGGAAAAAATAAGAAAAATAAGTTCAAGCTTTGGTTTTGGTAAATTATATCCTTATTAGTGTGTGTATGTTTGTGTGTGTGTGTGTGTGTGTGTGTGTATTATATCTCAGGGGTATGCTGGAGCCAGGTCACACCCATTTGCAAGAGCCAATTGTGTGCATCTCTTCCCAAGTTTGCATTCTGTGACCTTGCATTGGTAGTTTGAAATCAGCCATAGTGAGGGTGTTTATAACAGAGAAATCAGCAAAACATTACAAATTAGTGCAGAAAGCTGATTGTTAAACATTTACCAGCACATCCTTGGAAACTCTATGGGCAATAAACTAAATGGTTTTAACTATATGGCAACTTCAGTCCTGACTTAAAATGTGAATTTTGTCCTGAGAATTATTTCAGATTTACTTGGCATTCGCATTTCTCATCTTGAGGTTTAACAGGACATCTTTCAAAGCTATCAGTGAACAACAATAACAAAAAACTCAAATAACAAGAAACAATTCCTTTGATCCATTCCCAAATTTTCTCCTCAAAATACGGTTTATAGAATGTTTCATTAAAGAAGTATTTGCTTATTTGCTGTGAGCCAGGCATTGTGATGGGTGCTGGGGCCCAAAGAGAAACAAGGCAAAATTCCTATAAAACAAATTCCTTTCAAGACAGGATGACCATTTCATCTCTTCTTCATGCTGTTTGCAACAGTTGAACTATTGCGTTTGGAAAGACGAGAGAGAGAGAGACAGATTGGGGACTATCTTCCCTAGAAAATTCTTGTATGAATCCAAACTTGCCGGTTTTAACTAAGTGCCATGAAAAGCTTTATTGACGTTAAGCTCATTGCTTCAGCATGCACTCAATGTTATTTTGTTATTGTGGACATAGATCCAACTGTGTGTTTTAGCAAGTATTGTAGAAGGTCCTTCAGGCAAGATACATCAGAGAGATAGATTTATTTTTCATTTTTTATTGTTCTATCCTTTTGTCCGGCAGAGGAAATCCCTTTGGAAGACTTTAAAATAATGAAAAATTAATTTATATGTTTACTCTCCATTTTCTGGTCAGGTTAATAATGAGCGGATGAGTTTTTAAACAAAACTTCAAGTGAACTCATTTAGATGTGATTTGGACATTTCTATAGAAATTACCTGGAAATCAGTAGTATTTGTTATCTTATAACCCCCTGAAGCAAATAGTTCAGAGACAACTATTGCTTTGTTACTCAATTATGTTGAGGTTGGAAGATAAATTAAATGGTACAGCAAGGCATCAAAAAAGTAATGCATGTTGCCACAAGTAATTTCTCTTTCTTGTTCTTTAGTACCTCTTTCTAACCCCCTCAGATGATTGCAAGACAGGGATTTATAAAGAAATACCTCTTGTTGGCTGAAGCCTGAGGAGGAGAAATCGTACCTTCACACTCATAAAAAACCCAACCCTGGGCCTCTCTTTTTCTGTTTCTAATTTTGTTGGTAAATGTTTACTCATTTTAAGGTGTACTCTTCTGAGAGGCAGTAGGCTCTCATGGTTAAAAGCATATAACTGTGGATCTAGACTGCGTGGGTGGAATCCCAGCTGTCCACTTCCTAGTCGTGTTTCCTTGAGCAAGTTAATTAACCTCTCTGTGTGTCAATTTAGTCACCCATAAAATGGAAGAAACACTAGTGCCAAACTCATTGGTTGGTTGTGAGGATTAAATGTGTCAACATACATAAAACACTGAAGTGCTTGGGGCCTATTAAGCACACTCTAAGTGTTAGCATCCAGTGCTAAGACAGACTAGAAATGTTCTTTGAGAGCCGAGGATTTTCTGCCTCACTCTGTTCTCTGGTGTGTTCCAAACACCCAGCATTGCCCTTGACCTATAGTAATAAATATCGTAGAAGAACCAGAGCCATTTCCATTAGCAAAATTGCAGTGGTTACTAGCCAGACAATTTTACTTGAACGTGTTAATTTTTTTCCCAAGCTTTCCCTTAGTGCTATACAATAATAATAATAATAATAATAATAATTTTGTATATATAATTTTTATTCTAGCAGTCTGTCCCATTTAAGTAAACTTATTTTAAAGAAATTGGAATGTGAAGCTTTGATAGTTTAGGATCCTGGTTTAATTACTATTGCTCCTGCAATATTCATGCAAGACAGAAGTTTAGTTTCATCAGAACATCTTCCTTTTAAGATATACTGAACAAAATTAAGATCTAATCGTTTAAAAATGATTCTGAAGGTGACTTTAAAAACCCAATCCGACATGAGCTGTGCCTCTTTAAAGAAGCCGATGCTTTTATTGCAGTGAGGACTGATGGCTGGGGTCGGGTTCACTGCAGTTGCTTTTTCAAATGGGGCATGAATGTCACGGCCCTCCCTGTTGTCCTCAATGCAAGGGGTGAAAAACGCCGATGAGAATGAACTGCAGGAGATCGCCTCCGAACCGGACAGCACTCATGTGTACAATGTCGCCGAGTTTGACCTGATGCACACAGTTGTGGAGAGCCTGACTAGGACCGTCTGCTCCAGGGTGGAGGAACAGGACAAGGAGATCAAAGGTAAAACGAGAGACAGAGCATGCGGGTGTCCCCCTGTGCAAAAGGCCACCGTGGATTATGAAAATTCTCGTCATTTTTCATGTTGACTTTTTAAATAGAGTCCTTTATTCTCCTAAGACGTGAATCATCAGAGTAGAAAAGGGAGTATGTTGGCAGACTCTGTAGGGGAGAAGGGATATTTTAACCACTAGATAATTTTCTCCACCGTGTTGCATTTAGGCCATCACTTTTTTTTTAAATTAAACTTTGGATTTTGAGATCATTGTACATTCACATAAAGTTGTAAGAGTTAATCTACAGATTGTGCATACTTTGTCCGTTTCCCTCAATGGTAACATGTTGCAAAACCACAGTACAGTGTCACAGGCAGGATATTGGCGTTGATACAGTCAAGATACAGAATATTTCCATCACCACAAGGATCCTTCTTGTTGTCCTTTTATAGCCGCATTCACTTATATCTTTCCTCCAACCCCTCCTGAACCCCTGACAACAACTAATGTATTCCCCATCTCTAAATACTTTTCATTTTGAGAATATTATATAAATGGGATTATGTGGTCAGTAACTATTGGGGATTGGCTTTTTTCACTCAGGGTGATTCCCTGGAGATTCATCCAAGCTGTTGCACATATCAGTAGCTCTTTCCTTTTTACTGCTGTGTCATATTCCACGGTATAGATGTACCACAGTTTGTTAAGCATTGAAAGACATCTGAATTGTGTCCATTTTTGGGCTGTTACAAATAAAGCTGCTATGAAGATTTACATATAGGTTCCTGTGTGAACAGAAGTTTTCTTTTCTCTGGGATAATGCCCAGGAGTGCAATTGCTGCATTGTATGGTAGTTGCATGTTTAGTTTAGTTAAGGGACCTAAACTGTTTTCCAGGGTGGCTGTAGCATTCTGATTCCCACCAACAATATATGAGTGACACAGCTTCTGTGCATTGTCACCGACATTTGTTGTTGTTACTATTTTTTGTTTTAGCCATTCTGATAGGTGTATAGTGATATCTCATTGTGGTTTTAATTTGCAATTCTCTGCTAGCTAATGAAGTTGAACATCTTTTTGCATGCTTATTTTGCATCTGTATATCCTTTTGGGTGAAATGTCTATTCATTATTTTGCCCATTTTCTAATTGGGCTATTTTTGGTTTTATTTTTTGGGTTTAGTTTTTAACTGTTGAGTTTTGAGAATTCTTTATTTATATTCTAGAAATTAATCCTTTATTAGATATGTGGTTTGTTAATATTTTCTCCTAATCTGTAACTTGTCTTTTCATTGTTTTAACAAAGTCTTTTGCAGAACAAAGGTCTTTTAATTTTGGTGAGATCCAATTTATCAATTTTTAATTTTATGGTTAGTGCTTTTGGTGTCAAGTCTAAGAACCCGTTGCCTGGCCTTAGATCCCAAAGATTTTCCTATGTATTTTATTCTAAAAGTTTCGCATTTTATTTCTAAAATATTTTACATGTAAGTCCATGATCTGAGTTCATTTTTTGTAAAAGATTTGAAGTTTAGTTCCAGGTTCTTTCTTTTGGCCTATCAATATACAGTTACTTCAGCACGACTTGCTGAAAGGCTCTATTTCTGCTATTGAGTTACTTTGCATGTTCGTCAAGTATCAGTTGGGCAAACTTGTGTGGGTTTATATCTGGGTTCTCTAATCTGTTCCATTGGGTCTATGTTCCAATATCACACAGTCTTGATTTATTCTAGCTATAGAGTAAGTCTTGACATTGGATAGACTGAGTTCTTCCACTTGATTACTCTTTTGCAAATTTTTTTGGCTATCATTCTTCCTTTACCTTTTCAGATAAATATTGGAATAATCTTTATTCTACAAAAAATTTTGTTGGGATTTTGACAGGAATTGCATTAAGTCAATTGTCAATTATCAAATATCAACTTGGGAAGAATTGATGTCTTTCCTGTGTTGATTCTTCCAATCCATGAACATGGCAAATCCTTTCATTTGTTAAGATATTCTTTGATTTCTTCATCAGGATTTTGTCGTTTTCAGAATACAAGTTCTATACAAGTTCTTTTTTCTATTTACATCTAAGTGTTTCAATGTTGGGGGGAGGTTTTAGTTGTATTTTTAATTGCAGTGCGCACATGTTCACTGCTGGTATGTACAGATACAATTCTATTTTTTATCTTATATCCTGTGACCTTACTATTTGAACTTGTTAATTCATTCTAGGAATTTTTCTCTAAATTTTGGGGCATTTTCTATGTAGAACATCACATCATTTGCAAATAGGGACAGTTTTATTTCTTCCCTTTTGATCTCTGTGCTTTTTATTTCCTTTTCTTGCTTTACTTCACTGGCTAAAACTTCCGGTACTATGTTGAATAAGAGTGATGAGAATGAACATCCCTGCCTATTCTCTATCTTGGGGGGAAAGCTTCTGCTTTTCAAGGACTTGGTCCATTTCATAGAACTTGTAGAATTTATGTGTGTAGAGTTGTTCATAGTATTTCCTTAGTGCTCTTTTCATGTCTGCAAGGTCTATAGTGATGGATCCTCTTTCAGTCCTGATATTGGTAATTTTTGTCTTCTCTCTCTTTTTTTCTTTCATAACCTTGCTAGGGGCTCGTCCTTTATTTTTTAAAAAAAGGCTTTTCAAAGAACTCGCTCTTGGTTTCATTGATTTTCTCTATTTTTCTTCTGTTTTAAATTTCATTGATTTCCGCTCTTGTTTACTTTCTTCCTTTTGCTGGTTTTGGATTTATTTTGTTCTTTTCTAGATTCTTGAGAAGGAAACTTAGATTATTGATTTGAGATGTTTTCTCTTTTCTAATGTAATTACTTACATGCTATCAATTTCCTTCTCAGCATCATGTTAGCATGATGTTAGCAACATGCCACGTATTTTGTATTTTCATTTTCATTCAATTCAAAATAATTTTGATCTTCTTTGATCCATTGATTATTTAGAAGTGTGTTATTTATAGTTTCCAAGTGTTTAGATGTTTTTTTGTTACCTGTCTGTTGTTGGTTTCTATTTTGATTTCATTATCATCAGGGAACACACTCTATATGATTTCAATTTTTAAATTTGCTGAGGTTGGTCTTATGGCCCAGGATGTGGTTTATTTTTATGTCAGTATATGCTCTGTGGGTACTTGAAAAGGGTGTGTATTCTGCTGTTATGTGCAATGTTCTATTTTGACTGAATCTTATTAGTTGATGGTCTTGTTGAGTTCCATATCCTTGCTGATTTTTTTGTCTAGTTGTCTTAATAATAGTTGGGAGAGGTTATGTTAAAATATCCATCTATAATTGTAGATGTGTCTATTTCTTCTTTCAGTTCTATCAGTTTTTACTTTATATATTTTGCAGTTCTTTCTTTGATACATACACATTTAGGATGCTATGTTTTCTGGGTGGATTAACCATTTATCATTATGTAATGTCCCTCTCTGTCTCTGGTAATTTTCTTTGTTCTGAACTCTACTTTATCTGATGCTAATGTAGCCATTTCTACTCCCTTTTGGTTAATGTTTACTTGATAAAACTTTTTTATTCATTTACTTTCAACCTCCCTATATCACATTTGAAGTTGGTTTCATGTAGACAGCATATAGTTGGTCATGTTTTTTAATTTGCTCTGCTAATCTCTTCTTTTTAATTGGTGTGTTTAGGCCATTTGGATTTAATGTGATTATTGATACATTTGGGCTTAAGCCTGCTAGTTTATTTGTGGTTTTTTATGTTCGTTCTTTCTGTTTTCATTTCTCTGTTTTCCTTATCTTTCTTTCCTGTGGGTTACTTAAACATTTTTTAGAACTCCACTTTGATTTATTGATAATCTTGACAGAATCTCTTAGTATAGCTTTTTTAGTGGTTGCTCTAGGTATTACATTATATATATCCTAGTCTGCTGGTGTTGACATTTTACCAGTTTGAATGAAGTGTGGAAACCTTACCTTCCTTCAAATTCCTTTACTATAGCTGTGTATAGTATAATTTTCTTAAATATTCCCTCTCTATATATTTAGAACCACATCAAAAATTGGTATAATTCTTCAACCATCAAAAATAATTTAGAAAACTCAAGAGGAGAAGTAAAATGTATTATGTTTATCCATATTTTTATGCTTTTCTGTAATTCTTTCTTCCTTTCTCTAGTCCTGGGATTCCTTCTTTTAATTATATTCTTTTTGTTTAAAGAACTTCTTTTAGTCATTCTTTTAGGATAGGTCTTGCTGGAAAATTCTCTTATTTAATTTTACTTCATCTGAGAATGTCTTGAGTTTTTCCTTGATTCCTGAAAGATATTTTTGCTAGATATAGAGTTTTGAGTTGATAGCTCTTTTCTTTTAATACTTGAAAAATGCTGTGTCGCTTCCTTCTGGCCTCCATGGTTTCTGATGAGAAATCTGCTGTCATTAGAATCTTTCCCCCTGTAGGTAAGGTGTCATTTCTCTCCTGTTGCTTTTAAGATTTTTCCTTTGAGTTTGATTTTCAGAAGTTTGACTATGGTATGTCTTGGTGTGAATTTCTGTGAGCCTATCATTTTTGGGTACACTCATTTTCTGGAATCTGTGGCTTACATCTTTTGGCAAATTTGGGAAATTTTCAGGCATTATTTCTTCAAGTACTGACTCACCACTAGATGTCCTCTGACAGCATCCTAGAGGGGAAAAGGAGTGGTACCTTAATACTACCAGGTGGGGTTGGAAGTCTAGGCTTCTCATGTGGTCTCTACTGATATCACAGAGGAGGGAGGTGGTAGAAGGATTCATCACCACCCATCAGGGATAATTATCTCTCTTCCCTACTGGGTCTTTTCTCACACCACCCTGGCTGCGTGATGGGATAGGAGTGAATGTTGGGGAACCCTGTTACAGCCAAGAAAAATAGAAGTCTTGTCTCCCCGGTTGGCCTTTGCTGGCATGAGAGGGTGTGGGGTCACAGTTCTGTCCCTGGGTATTTGTCTAGAGTAGAGCAGTTATTGCCTAAAAGTTTTCTGTCTTGGCAGGCTGGCCCTTTCCTGGTCCTTTGGCTGGAGAAAGCAGGCTTTCTTAGGGCTTTTTTCTTTAACTACGGATGTTTCTCAGTTGCTAGGTTCTTTAGCACATGTCTGGGATTTATAAGGCAAAAGGAAAACTCAGGGAACTCACCACTGTATTATTTCTTGGGTCCCACAGTCCCTTGCTTATCTACCTTCTTTTCTCTACCTGTCAGTGTCTTCTTATGCTTGTTTTGTATATAATTTCCAGAATTTTTAATTGTACTTAGTGGAAAAATAGGGAAAAGTACATCTACTCTATCTTCCTGGAAACACAGTCATCATGGATTTTTAACCCTTGTCTTTCATGATATCATTGGTCTGCAGGTTATACCTGGGTTATAGGGATGTGATCTGAGAAGAGGGTAACATCCAGATCCTCCTTTAAGAGTTTGGTTTTATTTCCCACCTTCATTGTATCCAGGATGTGGAATGATTCTATTTGGCGACATGCCCTTCTCTCTTCCATCATTCCTCTTTCCCTGGACCAGATCTCTTGGAACTAGATTGGGCAGCCAAGCAGTATTTTCCTGAACAAATTTCTCTGAGCTTCTTAATGAGACTACTTTAGAGCCCAGCTATTGCCACAAAAAACATGTGATTGCTGATAAATCATGTAATACAGTTCCTAGCCACAGCTAGTGTTCAATAACTATGTTTTTTTTTCCCCATTGTGATGGTTACTAAAGTTCCTTGGGGTAAGTGCCCTTAGAGAGTAAAAAGTCCTAAAGTTCAAAGACTTTGAACTTACTTGTCCCAAATCTTTTATAGAATTGTTTGCATTAACAAGTATATAATACACACAAAGTGCTTACATAGTGTCTGGCTCATAGTGGGCATTCAGTGTATGTTAGTTGCTTTTTCTTCCCTTTAATTTTAGATATTCAACATTTGTTGCATTGAAGTCTTCAGTACAGAAGCTATACCGTCTGAGGCTTAATCACACAGGCTCTGTGTCAAGAAGTCAAGTATCAATCTCAGCTCTGATACTTACTAATTGTGAGACTTGGGCAAGTTATTTAACTTCGCTGTGCCTTGGTTTTCTCACCTACAAAATAGGAGAAATAATAGTAACTGTTGAAATTAAATGAGATAATGCTTCTAAAGAGCTCAGAAGATCACCTTTAGTATACACACGCTCGATTAATGTTGTGTCTTTGTTTTTTTTGTTATTCTATAGCATATCTTTAAGAAAGTTCAAGAAAGTCAAGGACTATGTCTTATTGAAGTTTGCATCTTCAAAACCTTGCATAGTGATTGGTGCCTAGTAGAAACTTAAATGTTTCAATGAACAAATGTGGGAATGAATAACTGAATCAGTGTATCTAGAGATGAAAATCTTAGAGGTAGCATAAAAGCAGTAGTCATTTCTAACTAATGGAGTTTCCCAGTTTCGTAAGAAATAACTTTGGGAAAGAGGTTCATTTTATGTGTTTCTTTAATTTAGCCTCAGCCCTTGCCACCATTGGGCCGCCTACAGAGTTGATTACCTCTGAAGTCACTGCCAGAAGCTTTATGGTGAACTGGACTCATGCCCCAGGAAAAGTGGAAAAGTACAGAATTGTGTATTATCCTGCCAGGGGTGGAAAACCAGAAGAGGTAATGAAGAGACAGTATTTTCAAACCATTATTTTTATTCTCTCAAGTCTTCTACAGTAGTGAGGACAAGACAGAAATGTGTATATAAGGAGATTATTCTGTCACAAATGTTTAAAATGATTTGACTGAAATACATTTCCACGTGTCCATGTTGTTCTTCCATCTCTCTGGATTACGGTATTTACATCGTCTCTTCTCACCTCCGTCACATAACCCTCAGAACTGATTATGTATCCACTTCTAACACAAGTTATTTTCACTTTTTTTTCTTTTTGAGTTCTAAAGCAAAAGGAAGCAGCAGTTAATGATCTGGCCAGAACCCCTTTTTACTATTCATATATTCTTTCTTTTTGGGGAGTGGTCTCAACTTTCTGCCTTAATGAAGTCTGTGTGTTTCAAATTATGTGGTCATATAGTCCTCCAGGATTTGAGATTTCCTGGATATTTGTGGAGATTAGTGCAATGGAGAAGCCGTAATAAAGCGTCTGTGGCCATCTTTTTTCATGAGTTGGCCATCACCGGAGAGGACGCCTATTGCCTGGTGATTTGATCCTTCCTATTTCCTATCTTTGAATCAGCAGTTCATGGCGAATATGTTAAAATGTGATGAAATCTCCCTTTCTTTTTTTTTTTTTTGAAGTACTAACCTTTGTTGTTCAAACCTCTGATTGACCTCAGCATGTTTGACAGTTTTCTTCTGTATTATGGCAGGATTTATGATTTCTTTTTTACGTGTTAGAGAAGTAGATCATGGAGTTTTAAATCATCTGGACTAAAAAAAATCAGAGTGCTTCCACTGGTTCTATCTTTTTCATGACTAATAAACCTTTTAAATGCTTCCCAAAGCTCCATGGAAAAATTTCACATGTCTGCTGTCATTAAGTGAACATGAATAGGATGATAATTAGCCTGAAAATGACACAATTTCCGTTAGATACGAATTAATAAGGTACTTTCGTACATATTCCATAAAAGATGCATCACTTCATGTAAAATTTAAGGAGAATTGACTGCCACAGTGGAAAAAAGGATGTGGCATAAATAAGAACATATTTAATGAAATGATCTTGCTAGAGGTATTTTTGCTTTTTTTTTTCATGTAGCCTTTAAAATAAGAGGTATTTTTGCTTTTTGATTTCAATTCTGCATCTGAGATATTCCATACTCTCATTCCTCGAACTGTTCTTTAAACAGGCGGTGGTGGATGGAAGTGTATCGTCCACAGTGTTGAAGAACTTGATGTCTTTAACTGAATATCAGATAGCCGTCTTCGCAATATATGCCCACACTGCTAGTGAAGGCCTACGGGGAACTGAAACTACGCGTATGTATTGAATTTTATCCCACTTCTGACTTTGTACATCATTGCGTAGATGGCCTTTCCTAAACTGGAATTCTGCTTAGGTTGTATTGAGGGCATCCTGAATCAAATTCATAGAAAATAGTTGTCACGGTATATGCAGCATTGTGCTATAGTCGCGTTTTGCAGGTGCTACATATTGGGAGGGATGTTATAAAACTCTGGTATGTTCAGGATAGAGCAACCTCAGTGGTGAAGGGTGCAAAATATTAATCATTTAATAAACAATATTTAGCGAATGCGTGTTATAAACTAAGCACTGGGCTTGAATTTCAGTAGTTCTGTTGCTCTCTTGTCTGGTAGAATACCATGGAAATTATGTTACATCTCTTTTCATTATTCATATCATTGTAATTAAAACAAGTTTTTGAATGCTAGTAATTTCTTATTTGAGCATGATCATGATAACACACACAGAAACTTTCAGAGAATCTTGGGAAAATATAGTTGTAATAAACATGATCACCTACTCATTTAGTTATTTCAAACATTAATTGAGTTTCTGTTACGTGCTAGGCACTATACAAAGTTGGTCTAAAAATTCTGCCTCTGATAGAACAGTGGCAATGTAAACAGCACCAATAACAATGTGCCAGGCATTTTGATGATCACAGTCCACATCCAATACTTTCTTGGATTTATCCCTGCAACAGTTTGTAAGGCAGATGTTAAGACCGTTGCTTTGCAGAAACATTTTAGCGACAATCTCTGCCCTCAGGGAAGTTTTAGTCCAGTAAGAGAGGGAATTCAAGCCAAGGACATGCAAACAAAGTAGCGCAAGAAGTACTATAGACACTCCGATAGAAGTGTGACAGGGAGCTGCCTGTGTAGCATGGTCCCAAACTTGATATTGTGGTTGGAAAAGCAGGTAGGAACCGATGGTGGAGGGCTTAGAATTATGTTTGAAAACAGCAATGTTTCATGGTTTTCATTGGCATGATTTAACCCAGGAACTTGCAATTTATCCTTAATTCTTTTCTCCTTACCTCTCAAATATGGCCAATATTATTTCTTGATTATTCCATTTTTCTCAAGCTCTGTTGCATTTGACTGAGTGAAATCTTATCACTGTCTCTAATTAACTATGTCGATGAGTATTTATTCATTCACGTATGTGTTTGTCCAGCCACCCATTTTGTCATTTATTAAGTGACCCAACAATTATTTTTAGTGGCCACTGCATGTCAGACACTGTGTGTGGTAATGGGCATAAAATGATGGTCAGAATAGTCCCGCTGCTCTTGACTGGCTCCCAGAGAAATGTGTCCATCACTGTAGTGGGGTGTAAGAAACTAGAAGATGTTCCTGATTTTAAACAGTCGCTATGTTTACTCTCCCGGAAGGGGCTTACATGGCTATGTGAACAGATTTAAGGATGAAAATTATCTGAAAAATAAGCTATGTTTACTTAGTAGCTCCTAATGCATAGATACTTTGAAATAAGCAAGCACAGTGATAAATGGCTGAACGTTAAAAAAATATCTCCTCTTGCAGTTGCTTTACCTATAGCTTCTGACCTTGAGCTGTATGATGTGACTGAGAACAGTCTGAGGGCAAAATGGAATCCGGTGGCTGGAGCCTCAGGGTACCTGATCCTCTACGCTCCTCTCACGGAGGGCCTGGCTGGGGATGAAAAAGAGGTAACTACCTGCTGCCTACCAGAGTCCTAGAGTCTTTGACTTCCTTAAAATCGATGTTTTTACCACAAGAATTTAATGTATAAAATTTAGAAAATTCACGTTAGCAAAAGGAAAAAAAAAATCGCTTGTAATTCCACCTAGAGATATCCGTTGTTAACATTTAGTTAACAATCTTTTTCAATGCATTTTAACACAAAAAAATGGAAACAGTTTTGCAGTCTTCTGTTTTCATTTTGTTTATTGTGAATATTTTTCATGCTGTTAAATAATCTTTTATATAGTCATTTTAGAGGTCACGTTTAATTAATCTCATGTTACTGCACGTTTAGCTAGTTTGCTTTGCAAATAATGCCTTTGGGGCCATTCTCAACATATAACTTTGCATGGTTGTCTGGTTATTTCCTTAGGATAAATTCCTAGAAATGGAGTTTCTTTTCATGCAAATTACCACGTATGCAAATTAGTATTAAGTATGCAAATTATTAAGGCTTAAGTATTATTAAGTATAACTGTGTATTATGAAATGACTCTAGAGAAATTTTATATAATTTATATTGTTATATGAAGTTTTCAAACGATTGTTTTCCCATATGTACACTGACTTGGAAAATTTTTTTTACTGATTTGAGAGGTAGTGAAATGTATCTCATTGTTGTGGATTTCTTTGCATTTATTCTATTTTAAATGAATCTTTGACTTTCAAATGATTTATTTTTGTCCTCATTTTAAATTAATTTATTAATTTTAAATAATTAATTTAGTCCTCAATTTAAATTAATATGCAAATGAAATATTTAAAGTAAATATTAATTATTAGTTAATTAATTTTTAGGGAACAACTACCATAATATAGATATTCAAGGAGTAAAGAGGAAATGTCTCTGACACTTGGGAGTGTCTTGGCGAGGCCAATGGAGTGGCTAAGAGAGGGAATTCAGTACTCGATTCTTGAACATCATCTAAAACCTGCCTCTGGTGACAGAAATCTTTAGGGCCAGAAATATGGTGAATCTGAGCATCAAGAGCAGAGAGCATTGATGACACGTGTTATTTTCTTTCCAAGATTTAGACGGCTTTTGCCCATTTGAGTTTAATGTTGATCTTATTATTTTGGCAGAAGGGAGACTTACAAATGATGCTAGAAAGATGCTCAGCTTTACCGGGAAAGAGAAAAATAAAAAAGAAAGGAATATCAGTTTACCTAATAGATTAGCAAACAGTTTTTAAAGTCTGATAATACTGCATATTCATGAGCATGTGGGGAAGCAAAACTACTCATATAAATTGGTATGTAAATTAGCCTGTCGAATACTTGGAAATATTTTATCAAGTTGAAGATATATACAAATTTTTGGGTATATATCATAGGGAAACATCCTCCAAGGGTTTTTCAATGTAGGCACTTGATCAGATGAACAACTGACATGTTCATCAAGGAATGGAAAATAGTGGCATATTTATAGAAAGGATACCATAAAGGAATTAAATAACGTTAACTCTGTCCCTGTGTATTGACATGGATAAATCTTGAAATGTAGTATTGACGGGGAAAAATATTATGTTGATATGGTCCCATTTATGTACGTTGTTAAAAATACAGAACCATGTATTATTTACAAATATATACATATGTATGTAGAAGTAAAAAGGTGGATCAGTAAGATACACCTCAACATTAGGGGAGAGGTGGTCAACAGAAAGAATGAAAAAGATCTTGTGTTTTATTGAATGTATTAGTTCTTTTAAAAATGAGATCTGAAGTCAATATGATAACATGTTGATATTTATTAAACTTGAGTGGTGGTACATCAGGGTATATTATTTTCTCTACATTTATGTTATATATGATGAGATATTTCAAAATTAAAATTTTTAATTTGAAAATAATGCTGGCAGTTGTGTGACTGAAGACTGTTTATGGAGATACTTTTGCCTTCTAAAACAAAAATAAAAACGTCTTGTCATGCAGTTGTCATTCAGTTGTCACACCACTAAGAATGTTTGCTAGTTTTCCTGACTCTAACGGTCAGAAAAATCATCCCAGAATCAAAAAGCAGATTGCCAAGTTGAGCATCAAGGTGGGTTGATCAGTTCTGAAGACTGGAAGAGACTTGGAATCCAAGTAGACAGGTCCCTTTGTTGAAGGGGGCAGTAAAACTGGTCCCCTTTGACTTAAGGTCAATTACTTTTGAAGCTAAAAGTGGGCATCCAGCCAAGAGACTGGTTAGAATTAGCCACGTGGTAACAGACGCCCACTTGGCCCTGCCTCCAACAGGCTGTCTTGGAGCTTATACTCTTTATAGAGAACATTTCTGATTCAATTCCACCCACACTCTTCTGGGGACCAAATATTTGACACTGTTATTCTGGCTGCATTTGCCACTTGTCCACATGTAAAGAGTTATCCTAAAACAGCACGCATGGGTACATTCAGTTTTGTATGGTTCCATAGCATCTGTTCCTAATAGAAAATGACATGAGACAATGAAAAACTGATAACTGAAGCCTGTTTGATGAAGTTGTGAGGAGACAAAGTCTTCTTACATGAAGTTTCACCTTTATTCAGTTCCACGCTAATCAACATGAATAATACACATTGGCAAATGATCTGATAACATGTGTTCTTTCCAGATGAGAATTGGAGACACCCACACAGACATTGAATTGAGGGGGCTGTTACCCAATACGGAATACACAGTTACGGTTTATGCTATGTTTGGAGAAGAGGCCAGCGATCCTGTTACAGGACAAGAAACAACACGTGAGCCGTTCGGTCCTTCAGATGAAATGCTGTAATAAAAGCCCAAACGAACGTTGGGATTCTGAATTTGAAATCCTGGTTTAGATTGGAACCTCTTAGGAACTAATTGTAACTTAAGAAAATGTGTGTTTTATTATGGGGAAGGAAATGTGTTTCTTCATCTTGTTATTATTGCGAGTCATTTGGATGCTAGAACTGAACTTTGGCATCTTTTAGTGGTTGCCACCAGTGTTTTTGTCTAAATCCAAATGCTAGATCAGAATACAGGAGAAAGAACATGGGCTTTAGAATCAGAACAGATGAGGTGGGAGTTCCAGCTCAAGTCATATCGTAACTGGGTGACAACGGGCAAGTGATGTAACATTTTTGAGTCTCTAAAAGGAAGACCAATAATCTTACAGCATGTTGTTGATCGAAGATTAAATATAGCAGTACAGATGAAAGCACTTAGTACATAGTTACTCAATTTTTCTTTTTTCCCCACTATCATCCAAATTAACACTTTTTTCTCAAAATTTTTGGACACCTTCTTATCTGAGACTATTATTATTAAAATTAGTTTTTAAAAATTGAATACAAATTTTATTGGCAAGTGTAATTTTAGCTAAATGTTGAAAATTTTTAATATTTTTAGGAGATGTATGTAATCATCTATTTTATTTGAAAATATGATAAAGACAAAATGCTACCTCGGCATACTAGCAATGCTTTGCTACCTACCATTAAAAAGATGGCTCTATTCATGGTGTTTTGAAACATAAATAAGTGTGGGGAGACTTGGAGTCTTGCACATCACTCTGGAGCACAATTTTTACAGTACTTTTGTATTTAAGATTCTACTTGGGAAACATACACAGAAGTTCAATGAGAAGGAAAGACGTTTTCTCCTGCATCCATTCTTTGTTGGTCAAGGCTATGCTGTTTTTTGCTCATCAGAGAAACACCAGTGTAATTAAAACGACAATCAAACAAAAAGCTGGTAGAGCCCAAAACAGAAGAAAAGAAATGAATTATGCTAGAAAGCATCTGATATATCACTTGACTTCAGTGAATTTTGAGACTGTGTCAGTTTGGAAGAAAAACTTTTCCCAACCGCCCGTCTCTCTTTCACTCAGAATACTCATTTCTTTATATTTAGAAAAAAAAAAGTGCATGACTCTTTCCTACCATTAGTGGTTGATTTTTTTTTTTTTTAAAGTTCCTAAAAAATGATGTCCTGGGTACCCGTTCCTGAGATTAGTATTTTAATGCACCAAGGAAACCAGACATTGTTCCACCATACTGCCAAATTTAACTGAACTCCAGAAGAATTTAGAGCTACGTGTGCACAACACTTAAAATACTTATATTGCTTTTCTCCTGCCTACACTTTCTCTCTAGCCCCTTAAGGAGGCTCTTAGGTATTAATTCTCTTAAGTATTAAGAGACCCACTAAGTCCCATAGCCTCTTATTGCCAAATAATCAAAATGTATTGAATCAATGAAAGAATTGGCTTTTGGGGTTAGGAGGCATCCTGTTTGTGGCTATGGCTGATAATTATTGTCATTTATCTTGCAGGTTTTTGCTCTGCTGGCTTATCAGCACTATATCACAGGGTCTCGAATCAATTGATCAGTTGTCTGGGTTAAATTCTAACTATTCTTCTGCTCCTACAAAGTGTGACCTTGGCCAAGTTACCACAATTTCATGATTTATATAAGGGGGCTCATTATAGCTCTATCCTTGCAGTCTAATGTAAGGATTTAATGAGATAACATGTGTTAAGTCTCAGACTCATGGAAAGCAAGCAATAAATCTTAACAATTCTTTTTGCTATAAACCTGTAAAAACTCATGAAACTCAAACATTATTGACAAGTTTTCATCTGTTGCATCACAGTGGGGTCTTTGAAGAAGTGCAAAAAGCTGTGGAATTGGTAGTCAGGGATCTGTAAAAATAGCAACACCTCTTTAAGTATTTTTTAAAGCCACAGCAAAGTGTCTATTTTTATCTGGTCTCACAAAGCCACTGGGATTTATCCAAGGCAGGTCTCCTCCTCATTGATTCAACAAATAGTTATTGAATACTTGTTATATTGGGGATAAAGCTGGGAACAAAATTAAACCAAATTCCCTGGTCCTCTGCGATTACAATATATCAGGGGAGAGAGACTGTAGACCAATAAATGTTCAATAGAAAAAATAAATGAGGGGAAGGAGATGGGTAGCATTGGGGTGGAAGGATTATTCTACATAAGGTGATGATGGAAAGCCCCACTGAGAAGGTGACATATGTTCAGAAATCCGCGGGGCCGCCTCCGTGGCTGAGTGGTTAAGTTCGCGTGCTCCGCTGGGCGGTCCAGGGTTCAGATCCTGGGCGTGGACATGGCACCGCTCGTCAGGCCATGTTGAGTCTGGCGTCCCACATCCCACAACTAGAAGGACATGCAACTAAGATATACAACTGTGTGCAGGGCGGGGGGCGGGTGCTGGGGAGATAAAGCAGAAAAAAAAAAAAAAAAAGATTGGCAACAGTTGTTAGCCCAGGTGCCAATCTTAAAAAAAAAAAAAAAGAAATCCGAATCTTGGATGACTCCAAGGTTTTTGGCCTGAGCAATGGGAAGAATGGAGTTTCCAAATGCTCAGAGGGAGAGACTGAGAGAGAAGGTTGGAGAGGTGGCAGGAGTCAGTGGTTCAGTTTTGGACAAGTTAAGTTGGAAATACCTTATAGACGCTCAAGTGGAGATGGCAGATGGGCGTCACCCTCATTTTACACGTGGGAAATTGTAGAGCAGAGAAGTAGAGTGACTTTGCCAGAATCATATGATAGTTAAATGGAAGAGCTAAGATTTAATTTCAGGTGTCCTGGTTTTTGACCCACTAGTTCTCTTATTTACATCAGGCTATAATAATAGCATTGACTGGAGACGAAAGGCACAGGAAATTTATCTAAATCTTATTTATTTCTAAGCATATGTAATTTATTACTGCCAAGCATTCTGTATAGGGAAAACTTTTTTCTTTGTTAATTTACTAATTTTCTTTGTCATAAGTTATCTGGGTGAAGTTTTTTAAATGTAAGTAGTTTGGAACTCAAAGATGCTGTTTTTGTCTTTTTTACATGTATGTTATTTAAAATTTTAATTATTTTCTATTCCATTTACTGTGAAGTGCCCTTAAGTCCACCCAGAAACCTGAGAATCTCCAATGTTGGCTCTAACAGTGCTCGGTTAGCCTGGGACCCATCTTCAGAAAAGATCAGTGGTTATCGAATTGTATATAACAATGCAGACGGGACTGAAATCAATGAGGTAAGCTGTGGAACACGATATCTATTTTTCCATGATTGTGTGTTAGCTTTTTATGGCTTCATAACATAGTGGCTTAAAACAATACTAAGTATTTATTTTCTCTCACAGTTTCTGTGGATCAGGAATTGAGGCTTGGGCATGTAGTTCTGGCTTGGGGTCACTCATGCGATTGTAGCCAGATAGCAGCTGGAGCTGGCATATGATAATGGCTTCTTGATTCGTACGTCTTGTGCCTGGCCTGGGAAGACTGCATCAGCTGTGAGCTGGAGAGGCTCTCTCTATTTCTAAGTAGACTTTTTCACATGATGCCTCCAGTGTGACAGCTTTAGGGGAGCTAGACTTTTTACATGTTGGCTCAGGAGTCCCCAGACACTTGTCCAAAGAGACAGAGAGAGAGAGAGAGAGCCAGGAGGAAGCTGTGTCCTCTTTAGTTTCCAACATCAGAAGTCACAGAGATCACCTCCACCACACCGCATTGGTAGGAGATATCACAAGTACCCGCATGGATTCAGGATGGGCAGGAACACAGGTCCCACCTATGGTGGGAAGCATGTGGGATGGAAGATATATGTGGATGTGGCCGTCTTTGGAAAGTACAGTCCACCCTGGTGGACAGGGGTGAGAGGTATGTATCTTCATAGAAGTAGTAAATTAGAAATAATGTCAGTGTTATCTAGTTTATCCCTCTGATTTTGAGTAAACTAGCATCTGAAAGGCCCTGGTTAGATGAGCTTAAATTGAAAACTGGATGATTCAAGTTTTGTGTAGGAAGATACTTTCAAATAATGGAACTTACTGAAACCCATGAAGATATGGTATTTTGCACTCAGTGACTAATGCTCTTCAGAAATCCCTTCTTTGGAAATATGCTTTAGCAGGAAAGATGGCAAAGTTATTTTTATTCCTTATCTTGGTCCAAGAAGCTAAGAGAAAGAGGGAAATGTGTTGGATTACATCGGTTCTATTTTCTGACTAAATAAAGCAAGTATTTTCATATGCCAAGACAAAATTTTCCTACAATTAAGTCCAAGCAGTATTTTGCCACATGCACCCTCATACGGGACATTGGGTCAGGAATGGACGATAACTGTACATTTGCTAACCATACAGAAATATGTTTCAATATCTTTCATTAAATCTTCATAAGTTCTGAGGGCAAATAATTCTGACAAAGCTGGGATCATTTGGACTGTTTGCTTTGCTTTTGAAGACTGGAGTCTGGAGTAGTGAAAAGATTGAAAGCAAAAACACTGATCTCTCAGCGTCTCTTTGTTATCAGTGATAAATAATCTACTTTCCAAAGGGTTGCAAATTCAGCTGTGTAGGAAGATCAGGCGGGTAATATGAATGAGTGAGGCATGCCATTAAATGTGCAGAGGTAGTCACACCCGCAAAGAAAGACACTCTCACCTGTTTTTCTTGAAACGTGAGGCTAACTTAGGCTGTATTTCATTTTCCCATTTTTGGGACATGGATTTAGAAGAAATTCTCTACTGAAAGACGATTCAAGACTGATGCTAAATGACAATGAACAATGGGGTGCAGTGACAAGGATGCTAGGGTGTGGTGGGGACAGACATGCTAGGGAGTACTTACATGTCCATGCGAGATGCGGCCAGCGTCGGCTCCTGCAGGTTGCTGCTGCGTAGAAATCCAGGTAGGGGCTCCCAGATCTTGTGACCTTTGATCTAGTGACCAGGGATTTCTATTTTTATGTGAAACTTACCAATTTAAAAGTGTTGACTCATTGAACAACCAAAATAACAGAACAACTGTATTCACCAGTAAATATTTGTTCACTGTGGAGCACCCTCCTTTGGTAATAATTTTTCATAAAACAAAAATAAACGATCATATATATGTATATATGAGTAATATTTGAAAATATAATTATATAATAAAAATTGTTATTATTTTTTATTGAGATATAATTGACATATAACATTATATTAGTTTCAGGTGTATAACATAATGATTCGATATTTGTATACACTGCAAAATGATCACCACAATAGGTCTAGTTAACATTCATTTAAAAAAAATTATAATTGGCAACAAATGCCAGCTCAGCATGAATCTCCCTGCTAAAAAAAATTATAGCTGTTGTGGCCTGTTATGGCATTTTACATTATTTGCCTTTGTAAAGAATGACCCCAGACTAATATATATGTTGGGATATACAAATTTGTTGTGCTTTTGTGTAGTGTTTTTCAATCTTGGGGACGCCTTTGGTGCTTGCTATTTCTAATTTGTATTGTGCTGGGAAATTAGAAAACTATGTTTGGTAAAACTGAATTTAAAATGAGTATAAATAGACTACAAATGGAAATCTGAGAAAATTTTATTTGGGTAAAATGCATACACAATGTGTGGATTTTGTAACATTTCCATTTTGACTGGGGGGGAGGTGTGTGTGTGTGTGTGTCTGTGTGTGTGTGTGTTCTTATTTCTTAATTCTTAACCATGCAATTGAGATTAGAAGTTGCTGGAGAAGTGTCTTTTGTTTAAGAGAAATAGTACGTTACCTAATTTTGGAATATATGATTTTGAGAGTGAGTATTCCTACCATATTTTGCTATAACTTCTATTAATTTAAACTTTATTTGTAGATAATGCTACAACTGGGTTTTTAGGAAATTCCCAAAACTTTCTGGAATGAACTTTGAAGTGTCCCAACTAAAATCTACTTAGTTTATAACATGTAATTGATTGTGAAATCTTTGCTTTTGACAACATTTCTATTTCTCGGCTTCACTTTCTCTTCCTCCCGTCTTTCCTCCTTCACTTCCTCTGTATCTTTCCCGAAGCATTGCTGCTCTCCCCAACTTTTTGGAGACTGAGGAAGAAAAATAAAACAGAGCACTTACACAACTGTCAATGATGTTGGTAATAATGGCAGCTAATGCATCTTGAGTGTTCCCCTGAGCCAGCAACTGTTTTGAGAGCTTTACAGAGACCACCTCCTGCAATCCTTATAAAAATTGCTGCCAAAGCATGGCTTGTCAAACTAAGGACAGAAGCCATCTCAGATAGCATCTAGTGTGACAGAATTTGGGGAAATGTGCAAACAAAGAATTAAGTGCTGCCATTTGAGTTATATAAGTGAAAGACCACAGCTTTTATGCTCTGAGAGGCGCTCCAGTTCTCAGCAGCCATGACTCAACCACAGAGCCCAACTCCCTGGTTCCTCATCAGGACCTCTTTCTTCATTCCTCCCAGAGTTAGGCTGAAGTTAACCTTTTAGCTAGACTGAAAAATTCTTCTCAATAATAGTTGCATAACAATGAGATCATAGTCATTTGTTATCATTTTCCCAAATCCTTCCCCTACATATTCAAAGTACTACCAACAAAATCAGTTCCAGAACTTTGTCTGAAACATAACTAATAAAAATAAATGATACCTAAAAGTTTTCATTTGATGAATAAAATAACTAATAATTAATGCATAAAATGTGGTCTGTTCAGTATCAAGTAAAATGCTTTAATAAGTAAACTAGATCTTTTCAACATATATATGTTATGCATATAAATTTGATTTTAATTGTTTTTGTGTATTTTGATATCTTCACAAAATTCCTATTTGTCATGGATTTGAGAGTTAGAAGTCAAGCCCTAACTATCCACTCCATTTAATAGTTTCATGGCTCCAGGAAGTTGAGTTAAGGTCTTTGGGCCTCAGCTTCCATGTTTGTAAAATGGTTATTGTGAACACCTAGGCTTTGGTGGGGGGAGGAGCAGACTAAATAAGGCAACGAATGTAAAGCTACAATTCAAAACAGCAGAAAGCAGTGTGTAAATGCAGTTTAGAAGAACATGTCTTGAGCTCATATTTTGTATGTGGATCTGTCTTTTCTCTGAATTTAAATAATGAAGACCACTGTAGATAGTGTTTATGAACATAGGATGTAGAGTTTGAAACACTTGTGTTTAAGTCCTAGGTACTAGTTGGTTTTCCCTTGGGCAAGTTCCTTAACTTTTCTGAGTCTCACTTTCTCATCTTCACATTAGGGGTAATAATTTGCTACCCTACACGGTTGTGTAAGGATTAAGCGAATTAATGTGTGTAAAGTATGCAGATAGTACCCAGACAGGAGTAAACACTGAATGCTAAGAATGACTATAATGTTATCAGGCCCAGATTCAGAAGAAGATAGTGTATATTTTTAGTTAACTATTGTTATGTAACCAACACACCCTGGCTTAAAATAACAACCCATGGTTATGCAACTTGGGCAAGGCTCAACACAGACAACTCGTCTTTGCTCCATGAAGTGTCAGCTGGGGTGACTCTCACACTCATCTGGGAGCTTGACGGGGCTAGAACTTCCAAGATGACTTCACTCCCATGTCTGGGGTGAGTGAAAAGGCTGGGATCAGCTGGCCCTTTCTAACGGAGTGACTCAGAGTTCCAAAAGGGTGAAACTGGAAACTCTTTTCCCCAAAGTTGACGCTCTTTTTTGAACTGCAGTTGATTCCTTAGAGATGTATATGGTTTCTGGATTGGCTCTTAGTTTAGATGAGCCCTTTTTTATCTCTTTTAAAAAGGCTCTTTGGTACCTCCATCTTCATTTTCATTTATTATTCTAGTCACTCAAAAAAAAAAATCACTTCAACATAGAGTGATGAAGAAGCTAAACAAGGTCCTGCCCTCAACGGCCTTACACTCTATGCAGGAGATAAACAGTAAGCAACTACATAAGGAAATAAAATAATTTCAGGCTGTGATTGGTGCTAGGGAAGACACAAACAAGGGCAGTGTTAGAGAATAATCCTGCTGAGCTAGGTGGAAACAGAAGCCCCCTCTGAGGAGGTGAATTTAAGCATGGACCTGACAGATGAGGAAGGACTAATTTTGAAAAGAGCTAGGGAAATAGGGTCCCAGACAGAATGAATTGCATGTGCAAGGGCCCTGAGGTGGGAAAGACATGGGCCTGATGGAAGGTCAGTGTGACTGGAGCCCAGCAGGTGATTGGGAGTATGGCAGAAAAAAGGAGCAGTGCTCCAGGTTATGTAAGACCAAGAGGTCATCGCAGGGGATTGGTTTTAATTTGGAAGGCAATAGATAGCCATGAAGGTTTTAAAAAGGAAAGTGACGCGTTGTATGTTTTGATAAAGGTCACTTTGACTGCCATGAGCAAATATATACAGTGAGCTTAGTCACTTTCCTCTTAACTCCCAGGCAGCAGTAAAGTTACTCATGGATAGCATTGTAAATAACAGATGTTATTGATATTGCTCAAAAATGTCTCTTGAAGACATTTTAAGGGGGATCTTTTTTGGCAGAGTCTGCTCTCGGATAAATAGGTACATTTCTTTAATTCCCTAGAGTATCACCAGAGCTAGCACATTTCATTCTAAGTACCCGCCTTATAGGGGTTTTGTGAGGATCCTTTGAGACTATGTGTATACAATGTATGTATGTGGGTGAGGGCACCATTTACTCGGTCTACACTATGTCCCCTGTGCTATGTAGCTCAGTTGGCCAACACCCAACCTCTCAGTGGTAAAGCTGTGTCTATTCTTCCTCTTACGCTGAGGATGACTTTGCTCAGGACTCTGTCTTCTCTTACTTTATGGTTTCTTTTGTCAAGATCTGTTCTTTGTTGTTCCTTTTTCTAATTCTTCCCTTTCCTTACACCCTCACCCCTTATCCCCAGAACTCCATCCCTTATGTGCCCTAAAGAAATTGGTATATATTTTTCCTAAATATGTCTCTCTGTGGAAGATAAAGGAACATTTCAAATATTTACTCTTATCTTTAATTTGAATGTCTCCTGATCCTTCGCCTGCATGATTGCTCGCCTATGCAACTTTTATAGGAGTAATTGTGTACACTTAGTCACAGTCAGCAGAGCCCAGGCAGTGAAGCGAAAAACTGGCAGCTCCTAACAGCTCAGGCTGGAAACATTATATTTATTTATATTAGCATTGTAAATTGTCTGCACTTTGCTTTCTCTGTCTTTAACAAATGGAAATAATACTGGTTGCAAAGCTGTCCTGAGAATTAACTGCTAGGTAATCTATTTGAGGGTATAAGATTAGAAATGTGTATGTATAAACTGGTTTAATAATTCAATCATTTTTGCAGTATTTATAGCTCTGCTGCCAGCCAAGTGAACTGCAGACAATAGTAAAATGACTTCTGTTTCCTGTACTTAGGGACCATCTGATATAGCTATTATTGACTTCTCTCTTTTGCAGGTTGAAGTTGATCCTGTTACTACATTCCCTCTGAAAGGCTTGACGCCCCTCACGGAGTATACTGTTGCCATCTTCTCCATCTATGATGAAGGGCAGTCAGAACCTCTGACAGGAATTTTCACCACAGGTAAGCCTTATTACGGTTTGGAAAGGTTCCAAGAGAAACTATAGGGAAACCAGAAGCCAGAGCAGCTTCTTCAACGGTGATTTTCAAGAGACTATGTTTTAATATTATTAATAAATGAAGAATTGAGTGACTACAAGTCATCCTGGCCAATTATTTTCTAGCAAATTATTCCCTACCAAAGCAAAGGAAAGAGAAAAAAGACCAGCTAAATTCAAAAATTCTCAATTAGGTAGAAGTGTACATACATTGTTCTCCTTCTAATCTCACATCATTTCTTAAGTTCCATCGTTGTAAAATTTTCGCGTCTTTCTTCCATTCATATCTGTATATATTAAGTTGAACTTCCTAAGTTGCTGATATCCAACAATTGACCTAAAAAAGTGGCATTTCCATATTATTGAACCTAATACATCAGTCCATAGCCATATTGTATTTCATGCAGCCTAAAATATTAATACAACAATATGGGGTATTTTAAATACAAAAATTTAAAATAAGGCATGAATGCATTATTTTCCTTTTCTTTATATATCCTGTCATCACTCAATAAATATAAAATATTTTTGCCTCTTGGTGGCAACAATTCTTTTGTTTTCTAAACCAATCTTTGATTGCACATGGAAACAAATTTGGTGCTATATGAAGATGAAAAGGTAATTTGGAGAGAAATGAGAAATAAGCTGGATTGAAAAATAATGTTCACAGAAAAAATTTCAGTAATTTCATAAAATCTCCTGAGGGCTAACTCTAGTTGGACTTCTCATGGTGTGCTGTCAAAGAGTTTAAAATCTCTGATTTAAAATAATAAAAGTCAATGAACTGACGATTAATTCCGGGTGTAGTTGGATGTTAAGCTTTCTGTTATACATCCAAAAAGTGTGTAAGCCATGAAATAGTGAAAGATCTGATAAATTATATTTCCCTTCTGATGGCAGCCATATGTACAAGTTGAAAGGACGAAGGTTCTTCTTTAGGATTTAACTTATTACTGGACACACAAGGGAATAGAGTTAAAAGGGACATTTCTTAGGCCTCTAGGGCACTGTTTTGCTAATTTCCTTGAAATACTTGGAAAATATTATCTTTGGGAAATAATGAATATGGCACTCTTATTTTTTATAGTTAATGAAAAGAGCCAAATAGAAAATCTAAGATTCTGGAAATTACTGGAAAATTTTAGAATCTGCTGTGTATGGTCTTCTTAATTTGTGCTGTGGGTAAACGCTGGAAACAGAGACGTAAGGTCACGCTGGACTGATCAACGCTGCTTTCCTGCTTCCATATGCTTTCCTAATGCAAGAAATTCCTCAGAGTCTTCTCTTCCTGTGGCTGGCCTTGGGAGCTGCTTGAGTTTTGATGTTCTTGCCTCCTCAGATCCCTAACAGAGTCTCCTTCCTTGGCTTACAGAGGAAGTTCCAGCCCAGCAATACTTGGAAATTGATGAGGTGACGACAGATAGTTTTAGAGTGACCTGGCATCCCCTCTCTGCTGATGAAGGGCAACACAAGTTGATGTGGATTCCAGTCTATGGTGGGAGGGCCGAAGAGGTGAGTTGCCTGAAATGGACTGAAAACTAATACAGACCATTTATCTGGAAGTGAATACCCACTGCTGCATTTGAATTGGTCTTCACTTTAAAATAGATCGAGAATCCCAGAAGTAATCAATATTTTGCATGGCATGGAGTTCTATAAATGTGAAATCACGTGATTTTTCTAAGATTAAAATGCATTGTTTCTAGGGCTTTAGTTATATATTTTATATATTTTTAGATTCTTTGGCTTTCATAAATGATATTTAATAAAATCTCAAAATGCCACTTTTGTATTTATCCAACAGTTTTATTTGCCAAGGGACTTGAAAGGAATAAAGTCTCTGGTTTGACTTTACGATTGAATTCAACAGCCCGGGAGTTCTTTATGCTTTGTTGTTTCTTGCTTACGTTCAGGATAACATTTTTCATTTTTATTATTTTTTCGCAACTTTCTTTTTCCTTTGTTATTCAAGCAAACCCAGTTACTAAGCACCAAATACTTTTCAGATTGTCCTCTTAGAAGACCAAGACTCTTATGTTGTTGAAGGCCTGGAGCCTGGCACTGAGTATGAAGTTTCACTGCTGGCTGTACTGGACGATGGAAGTGAGAGTGAGGTGGTGACTGCTGTTGGGACCACACGTAAGTCTTGGTCTGGCCAAGACGGACTTCATGAGCTCCCACCATCCATCCATTCTGACACATTCTTCACCCAACCAGATTCTCTCCCTATCAGCCTTATCCCAAGCTACAGAGGCTTCAGTTTCTCTTTTTCCCCCAGAATTTTTCATATATTTTCACCTTTAACGAAACTGATACGTGAAGCGTTTTAGAATCTTAAGCTATTATCACCATGAAGGCGGGGACCATATCTGTCTTGTTCACCATTATATCCTGAGCCCTTAGCACAGTACTTGGCATATCTTAACTGAACAATAAATACCTGTTTGAGTGGATGGATGGGTGGATGGATGGATGGATAGATTAAATAATTTATAAATGAATAAGCAAGCAAACAAATAAACCTAGGGTTAATATGTCCAAGAGTTTCTGGAATTTCCCAAGTTGATCTTGATTCCAAGAATCTTGTACAAAATTCACTCACTGATTCATTCATCCTTTCATTTTTTAAATATGAGGTATTAACCGCATTTTAAATTGTCTCTGTTTGGGTTCCTTGGAATCAGATTCTGAGACAGAAAATTGCATCCAGAAGGTTTATTGAAGAGTTTAATTGGGAAATACATCTGTAAGGAAGTAAGGATGACAGGATGGGACAGAGGCAGAGGCTAAAACTGAGCCCTCCACTAATTCTGCTAGGAGTTCTGGACCTGGGATGACCCTTCTGAGTTGTCCCAAGTTGAGTCAAAGGGGCTGGGCCTTTGTATCCCTTAATACCCGGTCTTTGGAGGTGGGCCATCCCCTGACAGAGTCTGTGACCTCAAGCAAGGCAATTTGCAGAGCTCTGAGCCACTGGCAACCAGTATTCTAGAAGCTGGTGGATGAGTGTGTTGACCCTGAAAAGAGAATCTGGGCCGAACACCATACAGCCACTCCATTCCACTCGTTGCCCAGGGTGGATACAAGAAATGGAAGATGTACTTCTTACCCGAGCATATTGCCTTCCTTGGTGGTCTTGTTTGGCAGCCCTTTCATGACCTTATCTACAGCACTATTTAATTTCCTTTAATTATCATGGTTATCCGTCATTTTAAAGTAACTGGGAGGTTTCACAATTTTATAGGTGTAATTCAAATGTTTATATGCAGTCGGGTATCTCTGATTAGAAACTTTAACTTCTTTGGGGTTCAGTTTCCCTATCTGCAGAATAGATATAATGTCTGATTACTACTTCTTCGTTCTTGCAACCATAGTCAAGGTTGTTGTGAGTAGCAAGTGAGATAATATAGGTGAAATTTTCTTTGAAAACTATAAAATGCTATACACAAATGTACAGAGTTATTATCATGACAAAATTTTTAAGTAATGAATATTTTTTTAGTTGACAGTTTTTGGACGGAACCAGCCACGACTATAGCACCTACCAGACCTGTGACTTCAGGTAAGGACAAATGGAAGCTCATTTACCCATAACCAAAGCTTGATTTAAACAGAAATTATGTTATCCCAGCTTTATTTATTTTATATTATTAATTAGGAATGGGACCTGCCAGTTCACATTACATGCCTCTCGGAACCTCTCAACCTCTTCTTACCCTGAAATGCCAATCGGTCTTCTAGTCTGCTAATCTGTTACCTCTCCCTACCTTTTCCATCTTTGTTTGTGATTCCCATTTAAACTTTCAGAGGATGTCAGCATAGCAGCCCCCACCATCTCTGCCCTCCTCTTTATCTCAGTGCCTTCTCCTGTGGCTCTCTGTTGAGAATTATTCACGTCATGGTTTCCTTGCTTCTCTGTGGTCTATTGTTCTTCCTACATCAGCTGTGTTCTCTCTCAGTGTAACTTTCCTTTCCATTATAGCACACCTCTCAGCTAGCTCTCAGAGTCAACTAGAGAAAACATCATTTGATAATATCATTTATTTCTCTACCTAAAACCCTTCATCGGCTCTCCATTACCCATTCATTCATTCACCAATTCATTCATTCTTCAGTTAATCTTTACTGAGCCCTTCTTTGTGCCCCCAGATCGCTTTATCATAATATTCAAGAGCCTTCCTGGTTGGGTTCTGCTTCCCTTCCTGGCCTCAACCATATTTTCCTTGCTTTCCCCATTTCCTCCTGCCATCTAGAACTCCTAGCCCTGAAGGTGAGAAGTTGCCTTCTATTACCACTGCCTGGGACCCTCCCCAATTTTGCCTGGTAAATGTCACTCTCCTACTTCCTGTGTGACACTTTTACTATTTTTGTCAAGAGTAAATCACTATATATTTCAAAGGCCTAACACAGTCTGACACACAGGAAAAGCTCAATGAATGTTTACTGAATGAATGAATAAATGAATGAAGAGGAGAGTCAGTGGAGATGGACGGAATGAAAGGTAGTCAGCACAGAAGGGAGAAGAAAAAAATGGGAGAAATGAAGGAGCAGGCACCTTGTGAAATGAGAAGGAATGTGTCAGAGAACACCCGTGAGGAGATTAGACAGATGTAAGAGGAAAGATAGTATCTGTGTGGGCTGAATGGATAGAGGCAGCCATAGAGAGTTGTGCTTCGAGTGACAAGTGTTAAGACAGAAATGGGGAACAGATGAGTGGGTCGTGCGTTGGATGCTGGATTGCACACTGAGGCTGACCACATCTGGCCCATCATGGCCACTTCCCCAACTCAGTGTTAGTGTGAGGGTTTCATGAGCAAACTCCCCTTTGGGCTCCCCTTAAGGTTTCCTAGTCAAAGGGCTTCTCCCCAGTTCCTCTTACTAGTATATATACAGAGCTCATAGCTTTGAGAGGTCCAGGGTCTCACCTTGTAGGCATCTCTGAAACCCATTCTCGTTTGCTACATGTAGGTATCATGGCTCCCCATTATGCACTAAAGCTGAGTTGTTCTTGCTTCACATGGGTCTACGTTAGAGAAATACATTAAATGATACTTGTTGTCACGTCCACAGATGGTTTCTGTAGCTCATTTTGGAATATGATGGGTTAGAAGTCCTTTAATACTTGGTTGTGTTTATTCCAGTTTTCCGGACAGGAATCAGAAACCTGGTTGTAGATGATGAAACCACTTCTAGCCTGCATGTAAAATGGGACATTTCAGACAGCAGCGTGCAGCAGTTCAGGGTCACCTACCTGACTGCTCAAGGGGACCCTGCGGAAGAAGTGGTGGGAACGGTCTGTATAAATATGGCTCACTAGAACCTCCACAGGGCGTCCTGACTAACAGAGCTAACGAGGCTGTCTCTAGAGATGAATGCAAGCTTTGCTGCTCATTTCTTGGTGACCCCAGAAACTAATCATTTCTTGGTGAGCTCCAGAGACAAATGGTTTTGGTTAATTCAAACTAACTACTGGTTTCTTGATGACCTTTCTGTCTCCGAAACTTGCTCCACATACAACCTGCTTCAAACTGATAATTCTTCTGAACCTTGTTTCCCATGTTGCTTCTGTTGCCTGGACAACCTGTTAAAGCACCAAAGCTGGGTCATAAATAGGCCATTATACACTTGTTCCTGTATGTATATATAAATATATAAACTTTTAATATATGAACTTTAAAAAATATTTATGTTAAACTTTTTTGCTCTTGGGAATCTGATTAAATGTTTTTAAGCAAAGCATACATGAAAGATATTCTTTATGTAGTTGAAGTGTTCCTAATAAAGTACCATCCCTTAACAAATAGTTATATTTTTCACTGACATCAACTTATTTTGACTATAAATGACTTATAGTCATTTCTAATTTGTTCTTAATCATGAGTGTCTCCCTTAGGGGATTTAGATTTTATGTTGAGTTTTCTTTAAGCGGTTTCCCATATATTTGTTTTTCTATATTAGAAATCTGGATACATCCTTAATTATGGCCCTTTCATGTTTTCTTAATTTACACTATATCATTTAGTCTAGAACCTGAAAATTATTCCCTAGACATGCTTCCTGGCAGACCAGATAACTCCAGTTTGCAGCCAAAAGAAGTTTTTCTTTTTTTTATCACGGAATATACTTTCTTATCCTCATTGCTTACATGTCTTGTCTTCTGCATTATTTTTGAGACACTCTGGGAAAGAAGTCTCTAAATTCATTATTGCTCAAGAATAACACTATTGTCCTTTCTTCCTCTTCCTTACTTATAAAGCTTTTGATGGAAAATTATTTTTATTTATGTGCTTATGTAAACAATTATTTGAGCCCAAAGCCCTCTTAGGAAAATACTTTATTTCAAGCTGATAGAGCAATCATTACAGAACACAGTGATAACCCTGAGAATAGCCACATCCCCTGTGAATAGCTAGAAGGTCCATGAAATTGGTCTGGGAGTAATTTTGCAAAGTTGATGGATGCTTAAACAAACTTGATTGAACTATAAATTCATTCAGACCATACATTTCAAATGATCTATGATGGGAAAATTCAAAAAAATTAAAATTCTGCTTAGAGGTGCTAACTAAAGATAAAATTTGGGTGTTTTGTTTTCCCTGTTATTGTGCTCGTGTTTTAATTTAGTTCCTAAAAATGAGACCCTTAAAAACTTCCCAGAATGAGAGCTGTGTTTTTTGTTTCTACTCTTTCCAAGAAACACATTAAGCTTCTTGCTAAATTATTCCTGCTAATTTGGAAAGAGTAACAATTTAATCTCATGCATGCACTTGTAAGCTATGCAAGGTAAAATAATAATAATATTTATCTTGGGTTGTCTTTAGATAATTTTCCCTTTGCTAGTTTCTTTCATTTCACACTGTTTATTTTGAAACACTTGGACACCTAGATGAAGGAAAAAAAGATCAAAAGTCTTAAACACACATGTGCCCCAGTTAAACAAACCCTTAATAAAAGTGAAAAATATTGATAAATTTGGTGATGATTATTTACTGTGCAGAAGTGTTTTTGCTATACAGAAGAAAGTACTGTAGAATTCTTTAAATATTAGGTGCCTTTAGTGAATTCCAATTAAATTGGATTTGTGCACGCAATTTACAGGCATGTTTTCAGCTGAGGATGAATCGAGAACTTATATCTCAGTGTTTTATGAAGTGTGATTACTATATAAATGTAATTTATTAGTGGAGACAGAAAATGGGATGCATTTTGATTTAAATCCAGGTAAAGGTTAGATAGGCTGTTGCAGACCTATAGCAAAATCCAAGGGTCTTGAACTTCCACACACCAAATGAATATCTTAAAATAATGATGCATGGCAGGGAAAGACAGATGGCTAAAACATATTACAAAAGTGGGAAAGGAAATGTGTCTGGATAAGACGAATGCCTCTTACCATCTTTCCAAATTTTCCTTAACTATAAAAGCTCATTAAGTTTACACGAGGAGAGGATAAGTTGGAGAATACTTTGTGTATATAAGATTGTAAACCAAAGTTAAGCTTTAATATATGTAAAACAAGGTGAATTAAATTTACTTTTCCAATTGAGGTAACTGAAATAATTTTATATTTTCTAAGCATAATCAAATCTACCAAATATTTCCAAGAAAAAACTTTTGAACTCTTAGAATGTAAAACTACTTGTCAAATATTTCACAAAGACTGAATTTTAACTCCGCTCTGAAATACAGAGGAGTGGCGATAACTTTGCCCTGGATTTTGCTGTGAAGATAGGGAAGTCTCACACTTCTTTGTTTGTGAAAGGCTGATCAGGATTTCAGACTTTTCTAGAGCCTAGATGTCAAAATCCATAGCCATGATCTGAATTCCAAGTTGCAAGAAATACTATGGCACAGGAATACGTAAAGTGTGGCTCAGTCTCCTATAAGATAAGGTCAGATATTAAGGATTAAGCTTTTAGAAACATTTATAGCAATTTGACTTTGCTGCAATATCCAAGAACATGATATTTTTTTCTAGCCATTTTGTCTTATTGTATTTTATAAAAATATTGGTCTTCAATGGATTGGAATTAAAACGACAGCACCAACACTGCCTAGTCCTTGCCATGTAGCGTGAGAAGCTCTGTCTAGAAACAGAGCTTTATAAGACAGGAACGCAGTGAAATGCAGGGAATCTTCTTTCCGTTGAGGGAACAGCTTGCTGGTGCTGGCTGGGATCCCGACTCCTCTGAAGAGCTTTGGGCAGTAATGGAGCCAGACATAAAGTTGCGTTTCTGAAAAAATTAAAAACAGGAAGCTCACTGGTTAGATTTGCATCTCATTTAACCGCGAGCATCTTTTATAGAACTGCTTTATAAAGAAAACCACCATCTGCTACCACCTGTAGCATCTGTTTTTAGTAGGAGCCCGTCTTTACCTTGCTTTGTGCAAACAAGCAGAGGCCAAGCAGAGGGAACTTTGCATACCCAAGAGGAGATTTACATTTGATTCTCGGGGAATGAATACCCTTAGGGTAAAGAGGTCCAGGCAGTGCCGTCATCTCATGTGGAGTAAAGGATGGTGAGGGACCAAAGAGAGGCTCAGGTCAGATATCCAGGATTTCACTATGGGTCCTTTACTCAGTAACTGTGTGGGACTCAGTTTCCCCACCTGTAAAATGACTATAAGGATACTCCTTACCTCAAAGGGTTGTGGTGAAAATTAAGTGAATTACTATATTAGAATACTAGAGAAGCACCTGGGACATAATAATTGCTAGGTAAATGATGGCTGTTATTATAAACCACAGCAACTACTTCCTGGCGAGCTAAACGAGTCCTCCAAAATGGCCCCACCACTTTTGAGTATTCCACAGGCTAAATTTGATTGGTTCCAAGGCCATATGTCTCTCAGTTTGAGAGATTACCTTATTTAAGGAACATCAACATGGGTGGTTTGCTAAGCAGACAGCTTGGAATGAATGCCCAGGCTCTGTGCTCCAGAGGAGTTATATTTAAAAGCAATGCCCTGAAGGAAGCTACATGGATGGGGCAACACAAGTCAGGGCAACCACAATTCTTCCTTTACTTGTCCTTACTGCCAGGGTTATCTAACTCTAGAATAAAGCAGAGCTCCTTTTTAAAAATATCCCTCCGAGGACCACATCAATACAACCTTGTATATTTCAATGTCCCTTTCATATGAGGAACAAAATCATATTAATCCAATATAATCACTTAATTCAGACTCCCTTTTTTCATATATTAAAAAAAATATTGCTTTTAGAGCTTAGCAGTATCTTAGCAACAGCTGCTTCTGGGTTCAACTCGAGGCTTTCTAGGGCTTATTCCATGATTTATAGGTTCCTTCCCTCATCCAGAAGTAGACAGCACAGCCCTTTGCCTGCTGGCATTTTACCCAGCCTTTGAATCAAAAAGCGTCTCCAGCTGTCCTGGTCTTATGACTCCCTCAAACGTATTTGGGTCAGTTCTTACATCCTAACATTTTTCCAGCCATGATTAAAAATGGCCCAGAGGTGTGCCAGCGTCTAACTGCTGGAGCACAGGCAGAAAGTTCTGTGGTTTTAGCATCGAGAACATGTGGCTTTTCTGGTCCATATATCCTCTTAGGGATGCCAGAATTTGCACTCCTGAGTCACATGGCACATGGCACTGATGTTTGTGTGGTGCTCACCCCATCGCTGCATCTCACTTTTTGCAACATTTAGTGACAGCGATGGCGATTTCAGATTGAGGAAGACATCGCCTGTCAGAAGTAAAAACACTGCAACATGTCTTAGTGTGACTGGTAAATATGTTTCCATCCAGAACACTTGGATTTATCGTGTGGTTCTGTTGTTCTTGGCTGGCACCCATCCTTTTCTAAAAGGCTGGGATTAGTTTTATCTCTGAAAGGGTAAAGAACGGAAGGCTGAATTTTCAAGAGGATACTTAAGTAGAATCAAAAACGATAAGCAGGCTGGGTCATAGAATGAACACTCCTAAACTATAAACACCTGCTTCCCAAAGAGATGACTATTCTTTCTTCTGGAGACTTTCCAAAGGCTGAAAAGATGTTAAGAGAAGACCATTCCTTAGAGCCTGAGAGCTTCAAATTTAAACCTTCTGCATTAGTGATTATAAAGTAAGGGTTGCCAAGAGGGGAATTTCAGAGAGAGATGCTTTTGCATGGATGCCCTTTTTTTCTCGTCACTCTGCAAACACATCTCCTTGCTTCTGATTACTTCAAAGTTCCTATGGTTCTGCTCCATTAGTGGACCAATGGAAACAGAGGTCTTACAAAGACCACGGTCCTTTGCTTTTCTGTTCAGGTTATGGTGCCTGGAAGCCAGAACAATCTCCTTCTGAAGGCTCTGCTTTCCAATACGGAATACAAAGTCACAGTGACTCCCATCTACGATGACGGAGAAGGTGTGAGTGTCTCCGCCCCTGGAAAAACCTGTGAGTGAAATTTTCTCCCTCTGGATACTAGCTGACTAATTAATTGAAAATGCAAATGCCCTGTAATGTACCCTAATAGCCACAGTGTAGTGTGGTGAAAAGAGCAAAAGAGATTTGGAGATAGAAAATGTGTGTTTGAATTCTGTCTTCACACATTCAAGCTGTGTGACTTTGGGCAAGTTGCTTAACTGCTCTGGGCTTCAGTTTTCTTGTCTGTAAAAGCTAAGACTTAAAAAAAAACCTGACATCTTACTCCTCCAGCATCTAATTCATCACAAGTCCTGTTGATTCTCCAAAATGCATTCTACGTGCTTGTTTACTTTCTCCTCATCCAGCTGCTCACCCCGATCCAAGCCACACTCTCTCTTACTAAAATGGGTATCTGAGCTTCCTGTTTTGTCCTCCTACTTCCACTCTTGGATCCTTTATTCTCCTCACAACAGCCTGAGGAGCGTTTCCAAATATAAATTATCTCACGTCATGCCTCTGTTTCCTATTGTACTCAGGGTAAAACCCAACGTCCTTCCCATGGTCCCACGAGGCCCTATCTGACCTAGACCCTGCCAATCTCTTTGATCTCACCTCCTAACAGTTCCCCCGGCCATACCTCCTTTCCTGTCTTCAACGGACTTTTGAAGCCTATTCCTGCCTTCAGACCTACGCACTAACTATTCCTTCCATAAGGAATATCCTTTCCACGATGTTTGCATTTCTGGCTTTTTCTTGTCATTTTGGTCTCAGCTCAATGTCACCTCATCTCCACAGACTTTTCTGACCACTCATGCAAAGTATGTCCCACTTTCTATGATCTTAACCTTTTTTGGTGTGTGTGAGGAAGATTGGCCCTGAGCTAACTTCTGTTGTCAATCTTCCTCTTTTTGCTTGAGGAAGATTGTTGCTGAGCAAACACCTATGCCAATCTTCCTCAATTTTATGTGGGACACCACCACAGCATGGCTTGATGAGTGGTGTGTAGGTCCACGCCCAGGATCAGAACCTGCGAACCCCAGGCCTCCAAAGCAGAGCATGTGAACTTAACCACTACACCACCAGGCCAGCCCCGATATTAACCTTTCTTTGATCATGTCATGGCACAATTTACTCTCTATTTTCTTGTGTACTCATGTATTTGTACACTGTCTGTCTCCCATCTCTGGAGAGCAGCATCGTGAGAGCCCACGACGTCATCTGTACTGTTCACTTCTGCGTGCCAAGCTCTTACAGCATGGTGTGGCACGGAGGAGGCATCACAAAATGTTTGTTTTAGATGGATTGGCCATGGTAATCAAGTGAGGCGTCTGCAGGAAAACCCCTGGTTAGAGTGCTACAAAGTCTTAGTTGTCTTCCCTATTGTTGTGATTGTCTATACTGGCGTGAAGACTACCCCAGGACCTAGAGGCTTAAACCAGCAACCATTTTATCCTATCACAGGATTTTGTGGGTCAGAAAGTTAGGCAAGGCTTGCTGGGAAATTCTCCTGTTTCATGAAGTATTGATTACGGTCACCTGGTGGCCCGGTTGGTCTGGAGGGTCCAAGACAGCTTTCCCCACTTGCCTGGCATGCTGGTGGGGAGCTAGAAGTCTGGACTCAGCTGAGCCTCTCTCTCTCCATGTGGTCTCAGAGCCGCCGTGTGGTCTTTCCAGCAGGATAGTCCTAGTTCCTCCATGAAGACTCAGAACTGTAAGAGCAAGAGCTTCAAGAGGTCGGAAGTGAAAACCGTCAGGACAGATAAGAGCTATACTTAGAACTAGGCCAGCGTCGCCTCTGGTGTAGCCTAGCGGTCAAGGTGGTCATAGAACCCATCCAGATTTAACGAGAGGGTCAAACCCCCCACCACTCAATCGGAGGAGGGTCAAAAACCTGTGCCCATCTTTAATCTACCACAGTTACCAAATGGTTATGTGTGATTAGGTGCAGAATGGTGGCAAAGGCTGACTTCTGTACCTGGGCACCTACGTGTGGATTTTTTGAGTAAGTGTGCAAGTTGTTAAAATTCTGTATCTGCAGCCTAAAGCCTTGAGTCTGCTCAACTGAGCAAATGGGTATTATTTGACAGTGCTGGCATGGCTTCCTCCTGCCATGCCCATGCTATGATGCCTCCACCCAGACTCCCACCACACCTGCACATTTTGCCAAAGATCACGCAGGGTGTTATCAGCCCTAACAGTTGCTGCAGTCATTTCCTCAGGGGTCCTGTAGGAGGAGAGAAGGAAAGGGGAGAGCAGAGCAGTGGGGGCGCTCCGAGCTCTTCACTACCCAAATGTTGGCATCTTGACTTGAGCCACACGTTGGAATTTCTAGCATATTTTGGTATTTTGCTATTAAATAAGTGTTTGAAAACTACAGACTTAAACAGCAACAAAGGAGAAAATCAAGCGGTATTAAATTAAGGTTCATGGAACACCTACTATGTGTTTTTAAATACATCATCCTTGTCTGTCTTGAATCCAGGTCATTAAAAAAAAAAGCAAGCCAGAATGGTTTAAAACAAGCATAGTAAAGCCTGCTGTTCTGAGTTGCTTTGGACTGTATTATTTAACGCTCTAATGTTCCATAAAGTTACCACAGGCCCCGCCACTATATCTATATGGTAAAATAATTTCAAAGTGTTAGTGGGTGGTCTACTTGTTTTAGACCATCCACTAAATTCTATCGACAGCGAAATGATAATGATGATACCCATCAATATGCACAATAGTTTGCAAAGTTCTTCCCATATAAATGGCTTTAATGTTTGCATAAAAAATTGATAAATGCTAATATAAAATTTTAAACAATATAGGCCATATAAAGATGAAAGCAAAAAAGAAAATCATCAGAATCTTCCCTTCCAGAATTACCATCATTACCATTGTGTGACCGTCACCCACGATATTGCCGTACATACATACTTGATAATGGCACAGAGCGGCGTGTAGACAGAAATTTTTAATAAACACTCTTCAATTCAGTTTCACTTAAAATTAGATGAAGAAAACAATGACATTGAATGAACTTCAGATCTTCAGAGCAATTATTGTCTATATATTTAGTATTTACAACAGCCACAGATTCTCAAAGACTTCTCCCCTTCGGGAAGAAGGTGAAGAAGAAGGTGGGAAGACATCTTCGATGCTGTTGCCAACAGTGTAGGGGTGAGGATGACCACCACCCTAAACCCGTTTTTCCTTTTCTTTCTTCCTCAGTGCCACCCTCTGGGCCCCAAAACTTACGGGTCTCAGAAGAATGGTATAACAGGTTGCGCATTTCATGGGATCCCCCGTCTTCCCCTGTAAAGGGCTATAGAATTGTCTACAAACCCGTGAGTGGTAAGTAACGCCTTTTAAAAAATATTGCTACCATGATTAGGCGTCTAAAATGTCTTCTAAGATAAGTTATTTTTGTTTTGTCTTTCTATTTTTGCTTTTATCTTTGGTTTTAAGAGGTGAGAAGAGCCTCTTACCTGTTATAAAATAAAGCTTTTCGAGTAGGGCCAGTGCTAGGATAGCTATTATCAGAATGATGAAGTTATGACCCCACCTGGAAAAAGACTGGGCACGTTAAGGGGCAGAATATGTACTTGGTATACACCTGACCTATGCGCAGCCCAGACAAGGAACCAGCCCGAGGAAACCTTGATTCCATAGAAATGGGAAGTTTCTATGGCTCAATGGGTATGTGTAGCTCTAATGATTCAGAATCTCTCATTTCTAATCCCTCTTCTACCTCTTACTTCTTGGATTAGTTGGAAAAAGTCCATTTATCAACTTCTCAAGTCTCCTCATTTTGGAAACTATGTTGGAGAATAAAATTCATCAAACCCTAAGATTATGATAGGAAAAGCCTTTTCCATCAGCCTCTTAGCCACCTTGATAAGAGACCCCTCTCTTCTTACCTCCCATGTCATTATATCCTGAAGACAGGAGAATGGCCCAAGTAGGGGTGATTGTACCCTTGCTCCATATGCCTTGAGATGAAACCGTCTGCCCCTTCACCTGTTATGGCATCATCTCCCAACACTTTCATGAAGGTTAAACAGGAGACTAAAAATAAATATGATAAGAGTCTTTTCAGTTTTCTGGATCTGGGCCTTCAGTACTCTGGTTGTTCAGCTGAAAGGGGTTCTTCAGTTATTTTTCTTGATTTGACAGGAAAATTTAAAAAACATTCTTTGGGCCACTAAAAAATTTTTTCTGCCCTCAAAACTCCATTAGTGTCCATCTGTCATCTGAGATGTTGTTCTTGCCTCTGTATCACTTTTCAGCCTTTTCTATTGTTTTGTCATCGAGTTCTTATAACTACAGTACCCCACCCCCAATTTCTCCGCACAAACATCCCTATGAACCATGAAAATGAAATAGCAAGAATATAGCATGGATGCACTAGCCTCCTCGAGACGGATTCCTTGGGATCCAGTATCAGTTTTTTTTGTTTCTTTTCTTTAGGCCTGAGGCACATGTTAATTCACGAAACAGCCTTCCTGAATTTGTTCTTTGGACCATTTTATAAATATTTGTCAGATTTTCTGAGAGAAAATAGTTTTCTTTTAAGCCAGTGGCTCTCAGTGGGTGCCGTTTGCTGCCAAACAAAGATATTTTGGATTGTCACAACTTGGGAGGTAGGGGGTTGCCGTGGGCATCTAGCAGGTACTGTTAAGCACCCTCTAAGTCACAGTACCTCCCCCGCACAGCTGCAGAATAAAGAATTATCCAGCCCAAAATGTCAATAGTGCTGTGGTTGAGAAACCCTGTTCTAGGTCAGGTGGAAGAATGTTATGTGGTCATTTGCATTGAGAGTTTGGGGCATGGGAAAATTGCTACTGAGATACACAGACATACAGAAATACGTAAATATATATAAATTCATTGTTGGAAGCGAGGATCTGGAGTAAAGAAATGAGTATTTTAGGAACTTGTACCTAACTCAAAGTTCTTAAAGAATGAGCACGTATGGGAAGAAGCAGATGGTAAATAAATTTGTAAAGGACTTAGCAAAGAATGTTTTTAATACTAAATCAAAGACTCCAGTGGGTTGAAACAGAGGTAAAAATGTAAAGGCCTAAAGAAGCCAGTTTGGTCAAGGGCTTTGGAATAAGAGTGTCCTCTGTCTGGTCTTAAAAATCATAAGAGGAGTGAATAGAACCAATGGGATAACGGATATGCTGGCCTCCCATGTGGCAGGATATGGCATAGTGTCTTTGATAAAATTTGCTGCTACTGCCACTTGCATGCCCACTGGAGACAAAGCCGGGTGTCTGAGAAGGGGAAATTGAGAATGAATTCTTCAGTTTAGCAAGTGCCCCAAAGCCTACGGCAACATGGTAGTTCCACTGTGAAGGCCTCATACTATGGTGGATGGTAGATTGTGAGGTGGACCAGTTTATTTGAGTAAATGCTAGGGAAAGAACTACATTTGAGAAAAGAATTCGATTTCTAAAAAGAGCCCTAGCATGGTAGTCAGGTATGTAAGCCTTAGAGCTAGATGGGGCTAGATTCAAAGCCAGCTCTGCTGTTGGCCTTCTGTATGATCCTGGACAACTGAAAACCAGTTGCCTGAGTACAATTCACTTCAGAGTGTTTCCATGTTTCCATGCTCTGTTGTAACTGAAATATACTTCTTCTCCTTTAGTTGCTGGCCCAACACTGGAAACTTTCGTGGGAGCTAACATTAACACCATTCTTATCACCAACCTCCTCAGTGGAATGGACTACAATGTGAAAATATTTGCCTCCCAGGCCTCAGGCTTCAGCGATGCTCTGACGGGCGTGGTGAAAACATGTAAGACTGATGTCCTGTCGCCTCCACCCCCACGTGTGGTTTTGCTGCTTTGTTTTCACTGTGACTCAATCCTTGCTTCAACTTGGCAGTTGGTTTCCCTTTTCCTCAGCATTGCCCTTTCTGGATGGTGTTTCATGGAAAGAAAGGTGTGCTCCTCACTCAGGGCTGTCATTCAGTGCCCTGGTTGGCAGGCGGAACGTCAGCCTGGCGTTCAAATAGACTTGGTGGTGGCAGATAGGAATTCCTTCTGGAAAGTGTTTGTTGGCATTTTTCAAATTAGATGAAATTTTCCAACCGGCCTGTAGCCTGACACAGCCAATGCCAGTCAAAAGGACCATGGGGAAGATCGCCTTTTCTCAAAACCTTTGCCCCTCCCCCTTCCACACACACACACACACACACACTCACACACTTGCCATCCACAAAAGATACATTCACCACTCTAAGGACTTTCTTCTCTACCTTTTAAGGATTTGCATGCTGTCTGCATACCATCTGGGACTTCTCATTGGCATACCCCACTCCCAGACACCCATGTCGTAATGCAGGGTTTTCCAAACTCCAGCACGTGTGTTCCATACTCCCGATGTTTGTTATACTTCCACACCATCTGTTTAATATATTTCTTTAAATTGACTTAGGACAGCTTTTTTTTTTTTCACTTAAATGCTTTTCAAAACCCACATAGTTACTCTAAACAGAGACCAGTATTTTTAATGACCGAAATAAAAATGGTTTGGCTGTGTGCCAATTAAAATCATCGTGAGTGCTATCCACATTACGTGTCCCACATTTGAGAATGATAATCACGGTGTCATCAAAAGTATAAGCCTTAAATCTGCTATTTATTACCTATGGCCTCGAGCAAATTACTTAACTTCTCTGAGCCCAAGTTTTTTCTCAACTCTGAAATGAAGATAATGATAACCATTTACAGGCTGACTGTGAAGATTAAGAAGATAATGTATAAAAAGTGCCTACCATATGGCAAGCACTCAAGGAAGAACCACTATTAATTATCGTAGTAAGTGTACTTTGCGCCCCTGGCTCATATCTCACCCTCATCGCTAATCAAATAAGTAATCTGATAAATGGAATTATGCAAGAATGGGGCAAATACTAAACCAGACCCCAAGCCGCCTATATTTGGCCACCTGTATTTTATACACAGCCAGCCTTTTTGTTAGAGGACACTTCCTGAATTCTCATTTATGGAGTATCTTGAGACCTTAAAGTCTAGATACAGAATCAGTTCAATCTCAAAAGAAATAGTCTCTGTCTTCAGCAGATCTAGGAAGCCGTTGGCCTGTGGTTCTGATCTCGTACTTGGCTGTCGAAGTGACGCTGTTCTGGGCACTATCATCAATTCCAAGTGATTTCCCTCTGTTGTGCCAGGATAGCAATCCCACAGTCCTTCCTGAGGAACATCTTACAATCTCTCATGCATTTTCCCACCCTCTATCTCCTCTCTCATTCTCTAGTTTATCTTCATTTTCCTCTTGTGATCACCCTTTCTGTCTGTGCCACTTCTTCTATCTCTATGAGTTTTTTATTGGTCTCTCTTCTCCTTGCTCTTTCTTATCTCTTTTTATCCCCCTGTATCTGCTTCTTTCTTTCTTCTGTTTCATCCCTCTTCTCTCCTTTAATAAATATGTTGAGTATTACAAATATAATTTCAAAAGATTGAGAGTATTGAATTGTTTTATGTTCTGTTCTTAAACTAAAAATTAGATGGGCTTATTCCTTTTCTCTCTCCCAGGCAAAATAAAACCCCATACAATACAATGGCAAATAAACTATTTTAAGGTGTTTTTTAAATTTAGTACAGTTATATACATCATTACTGATTTCCTTTTTTTGTGGGGAGAGAGGGGTTGTTTGATTTGTCTTAGGAAAAAAAAAATCTTCCCTCTCTGATCTAACAGAAGGGAACAATGTAAAGATGTAAATTGTGATTAGACAAGATTATTTTTACCATCTTGAGAAAATAATTTTAAGCTATTTTTTATTTTATGAGATATCTAAGAGAAAAGGAGAAGTAAGAAAAAATGATATGGATGGAAGTCAGAGGTCATTACAGAAAGTAAATATTATTAATTTTCTGCTTTGCTTGGATCAAAGTGATAAACACTGGAGGCTTACTCCCCTATTGTATTGGAGAAACAATATTTTTACTGCTTCCAAAAATAACCTTTATGTGAATCATTTTTGTATATCACAGTGTTCTAAGATTAATAGGAATATGTGTTTTTTTATAGTATTTTTCTGTGTCAAATCTTTCATTTTTAAATTTTCAAAAATTTATTCATTCTCACTCAACCATATTCTGAAGGCCAGTCCTTGTGAAACTGGACTCCTGATTCAGTAAAACTTCCATTTTATCTACTTTGCTCCTCCCTTTTATTTAAACCATGGCTACATTTCAGCGGTTGATAAGTACATATTGTATTTAATTTTATTATTATAAAAGTATTATATATTAATTGTGGAATATTTAGAAACCACAATAAATAGAGAGAAGATTAAAAATCACCCATAATTTCATCATTCATTGCTTCTGTTCTTTTTCCTGTGAATATATATTTCTTTTTTTGTTTACCAATAACAGACATACCATATTATACATGATGCTTTGCAACTATTTTTTCAGGTCATAAAGTAGTTATCTTTTGTGCACTAATTTATTGTGAGTTGGATTTCCCACCTATGGGGGTGGAAATTTGAATTCGAATTTTATTGCGTTAAAGTTAATTTCAGACTTGGGGACATTTGTGGCATTATCTGCAGTGTGACATAGTTATGTCTCTCTTTTATTATAGTGTTTTTGGGTGTGACCAATCTCCAAGCAGACCAGATTCAAATGACCAGCTTGTGTGCTCGGTGGCAGGTGCAGCGTCATGCCACTGCCTACAGGGTCGTTATAGAGTCCGTCCAGGGTAAGTGCGACCCATCACGTATGTTTTTGTCAAGCACTCAGGTACTTAGTTCTGTGCAAGTCACTGTGGACAACATACAGGTAACGTTAAACAAGAGCCCTCTTCTTGAGGACGCAGTATTGTGTTATGGATCACGCAGGATATGGAGTCAGAATGGCTGGTTAAGTCAATTATTTAACCTCTCCAAACAGCCTTTTTCTCATCTGTTAATGGGTATAACCATAGTGCTGACCTTGTGGCATTCTGTGAGGATTAAGCTGAGGGTAATCCACGTAAAGCACTCGCGACAGTGCTTTGCACACATTAAGCACCGAGGAAATAGTAGCTCCTACTGGTAGGAGGAGCTGAATAGGGGGACTAACGTACATTGAAATTATATGGTGCCGTGATTTTGGTATTTACTCCATGGGGATCTAGGTTTGACTTTAATGTTTTTCTTAGTGATTCTTTCCACTTTTGAGGATAATTGGTGGCCGACAAACCCTCATTCAGGAGATGGTCTCCTGTATCTATGCCATCGTGGACAGGTGCTTCAGCGTTACAGTTCTCAAGGACATCTACAACTCAGGACTGTGTTTCAAAGTTGAAACATTAAAAATGTCTCCTTATTTTCATTAAAAGTATCGAGAACAATAAGAAAAGGCCGATTCCCAAAAAGTGAGTTTCTAGCAACTGTTAATCCTCTTTTCACGTTATCAGCACGGGTAATATTCAGAAGATGAGACCGAATGATGAAAATTACTTTAATCACATTTGTATTATCAGTAGAAAAGGTATGTCTTGTTATTTTGGGGGGATTATAGGATGCACCAGAGAATCCCATAGGATTTTTTTTTTATCTTTCAAACTTGCTAATAAAATTGTTAAAAATTTTTCTATCTGGAAAAATGATCTTGGTTTCCCTATCTTAAAAAGCAGAAGGAGCTAATTTTTTGGGTCTGAATAAGACGGGGTTTAGTCTTACATCCCTGGCTATAACTACATTCAAAATGCAGAAATCCCACTTTTGATCCAATCCAGAAAGTGGAAAGCACAGTTTAGTAGAGTGCAGGTAGCATTTGGAAACATCCTGAGACTATGAGAATAGAGTATGAGCAACAGGAGAGGAGAGTCCTGCCAACGCCAGCCAAGGCATTGTCTCCGTAGACACGTTAAGCCGCTAATTCCTTGATTTCCTGTGTATAGTCATCCCTTTAGCCTGTAAGGATCCCTCTAGCTGGACATTGGCTAAACATGTGGGAGTGGCTTTAATCTGGAATAAACATTGAGTAAGGGAAAGTCAGGACAAGTCACATGGACTTTGTGGTTGTATTTAACATAACTTATGGGATGCTTCAGCAGAACTAGATGAAAGATACGCAGTTATTTGAGAAACAACTATAAAATCTTGAGGAGTTACATTTCATATATCTTTATACATCTAGATAAGTCACATTTTAATGTAGAAAGGTTGATATTTAATGGTAATTCTTAATCTTTAAAAAAAATACTGTGTATAGGGGCCATCCTGGTGGTGCAGGGGTTAAGTTCGCACGTTCCACTTTGGTGGCCTGGGGTTCGCCAGTTTGGATCCCGGGTGTGGACCTATGCACTGCTTCTCAAGCCGTACTGTGGTAGGCATCCCACATAAAAAGTAGAGGAAGATGGGCACCGATGTTAGCTCAGGGCCAGTCTTCCTCAGCAAAAAAGAGGAGGATTGGCAGCAGATGTTAGTTCAGGGCTAATGTTCCTCAAAAAAAAAAAAATACTGTGTATAAAAATCACACTCCCAAACTACCCCACAATACTTTTATCCTTTTATGTTATTAAGAAGTTGACATGAAGGGACATAGGGTCCTGGGGATATTCATTGTCTTTCATAGAAATTATAATTATGTAGATTGACATAAAGATGTATCAAAACTGGCTTTCTCAGTGGAATTAGCTAGATCCCTAAGTATTTATTATTAAGTGCTTTTAGTTTATCATATTTGCAAAATAACCTTGGGATTCTTATCAGAGGATATGATTGATGTGTCTGATAACATGGTCTGGTAATCTAAAACCTCAATAAGCTCTTTCTGAAGCCAAGATCTTTGCTACAAAAAATGAGTCTACGTTTCCTTCTTATCTTCAAGCTAAGTTAATTTGTACTCCCTCAGTGTTATTTTCAGGCTGCCAAAAACAGCTTCAACTGAGCTTCAGTAGTCTCAATTAAACAAGAATGAACAAAAGTGTTGTTTCATTTATTTTTCATCAACATTTATACCCGGGAGATTTATGAGCCCACTTAGCCTACATTTCATTCACTCAGTTGTCTAACTGAATGTTATTAACCAACTGGACAGCAACAGATTCTGGTTGACAGCCTCGAAAAGAAGTGTTGGGCTGGGGAGTGAGTGTGGGGATAGCAGTAGGCAAGATGTTTAAATACTTTAACGTATACAGTTGAGGTCAAGGAATAGTCTTTCTGCTTTGGAGTAGGGAAGGATTCGGTTGAATTTCTTTATCTTACAGAGAAATGTGATCATCATTCTGATCACTGCCTTCGAAGGACTTGTGGTCAGATGCCCATTCTTCCACGGACAGTTCAGTCCAAGAGCCCCCACTGTTTTAACTCTATAATATCTCCTGTTGGCTATATATGCTGTCTCTGGAGAAATTTCAGTTCTTCCACCCCAGAGGAGACACTAGAGGAAAATGGGACCCAACTCTTCTATGTGATGGAGAAAAGCTTTATCCCAGGGTGACCTATTTCTGAATGCCTTTGCAAAATTCCTAGTGTTTGACCAGTAATTTTTCCAGTTCTTTTTGTATATATATTCCCCGTGGTCTGGTCATGTGTACTTTTATTCTGAGATGAAGTCAGTGGAGAGGTCTCTGTTCTAACCATGACTGCTGGTCAACTTTCTTCCCTGGGCTTCCGTTTCTCTAAAATTACTTCTTTTGAAGATATTACCGAGGTAATGCCTACAAATTTCCAAGATTTTTGTGAATAAAGTAGCCAAGCTGTATCATTCAATGTTTGTTTGTTTATAAGCGGCAGAAATGCAGATAACAGGGAGTTAAGCAAAAGGGTCAATTTATTGGCTAATATAATGAAAATTTCAAGAGTATCTGGCTTCAGGCATATCTGGATCTTGGTGTTCAAACAATGTCAAGATTAAGTCTTAATCCATCCTTCTGCTCTGCTCTTCTCTGCCTCTCTGCTAAATTGTGTGAGTTGGTGCCAGTCAGATCCAGAATTACATCCGCCCAGCTTCCACTTAACAGTCTTAGTGAAAAGAGAGCTTCTCTTTCTCAATAATTCCAGCAAAAGTCCAGGAACTGAGTCATATTGGCCTCTTTTGGGTCACATGCCCCTAAATCTGTCATTGAGTTCAAGGGCGTGAAATAAACTGACTGGTTGGACCTGATTGCCTCCCACCCCTGTATGTGCAGGGGGAGAAGGGATTTTTATTCAGTCCTTCCCAAATCATAAAGACCAAGAGTGGGGAAGACTGGATTCAAATAAAGAGGGATTAGGTGCAAGACAGGCAAAAACAACAGATGTCCTCTACCCATGTAAATATTATGACATTTTTTTATAGCCAAGAAGAAAAGAAGGAATGATTACCAGAAGGATAAGGTCCTCTAGGGGAGACCGAAATAAAATCTGCTCTTGAGTCAGTCATCCACTTGCCAAATTAAATTGTAGGCTTTTGACTAATTGTAGGACAGAACAAAGTCAGAGACTTCTGGTTGGTCTTGGGTAACTCAGAACCCCACGAGAGTTTCCATTAGGTCTGTGGATGCTTTAGAGTCCTGTCTCTCTCCAGCTGTTTTTGAGTTGACTTGGCACCTGAAGTTGAGTATTGCATTTCCCTTCAAGTTCATATATTTATATACCACATGGGCCCAAATACTGTATTCCCTCCATAATCCTAACTTGGTGAATTGCTTTGTGGCCTCCTTAAAAAAGTTTCAAAGGATGCTCAACTTGTCTTTTATCTTTAGGTGTTAAAATGTCAATTTTGCAGTATCATCCATTAGCAAAGAGAGAGAATTACAGGACAGTAGAGAGCCTACCTTACCAGACACCAGATCCAAAAAAGAAAGGTCACATGAAAGAAAACCTGTTCTCCAGATTAAACTTTTTTGAAGCAGTAACGTTACAATCGGGGGGTCAGGGTATTTGAGAAACCTGGGGAATGGAAGCATTTGTATCATAAAATTTCAGCAGAGTATCCTGGATCCTGGATATTCTTTGCTTCCCGATCTCAGTAACTACTCATAGGACATTTTGGTCAGTCACGTTGGAGCCATCTTTATCAGCATGATAATAACCCAGAGAATGGCTTTAGCCTTGCTTCATAAGAATGAATGCACAAGACAGAATTTTTTACCCCATTCAAAAAAATAAAATAACTCCCTACTTTTGGCACAAAGGGTTGAGGAAATTAGTCATTATTTGATCAGTTTAAATATTTTCCTTTAAGGCAAAGCCATCAGATCTGAATCACACATGCCAAAAGCAACATTCAAACACCCCCATTCATGTAACCCCTCTTTGTTAGTATTGGGAATCAAACCAACTCTGTTTCCCATTAATTTTACATTGCCTGTTCCAGTTTTCCAATGATTGGTAGATTCTTTTTGTTTGTTTTAGCAGTAAAACCCATTTATATTCTATGGGTCTAGGGTCTATAAAGTGCACGGATACCCATGAGAAATAGGAGATGACAGAAAGCACATTTCTAGAGTTGATTCCTAGAGAGTCCCTGGGAACTTTTGTGAAGATAGGTAAATATGATCCATGTAGGATTTAGGAAATGTTTGTATCACAGGGGGCTCACAGAAGCTTGCAGGAGGCTCCAAAGTTGTGGTTAAGGGTTAGAAAGAAGCAGCTATTGTGGAGCACTGAGCCTGGGAACCGCAGACTGAATGTGGACATCAGCAAAGCAGAGCGCAGAGTTTACTAACATTTTCTTACTATCGAACTCCTTTCACAGCAATATATAGTCTCAGAAACACCTTAAGAATTTATTTCATCATTATGTAAAACATATGATAAAGAAATTATTGAGGTAGACCTTAATTCATTCTGAACCAGTATATTACTAAAGATTATATGATAAAGTTCACTTTTGAAACTCTTTAATATTCATAATTATAAAAATAAATTTCAAATTCCATTTACTAAATGGCTTTAATTTCTTTATATTTTTAAAATCAGGATTTAGTCATTAACAAAATTTTAAATGATATAAGTCATGTTTGTTCTGATATATGTATATTGTAATATATATGTTTTGTTCCTATATATATTAAAATATAGATTGAAATTTAATAGGTATTATACTTTCAAAATAGACAATAATCACTATTTAACAGTTTTGCATTTCATACTTAAAAAAGCAACTGGTCTGTTTTTATGTTTTCCATATTTTGTTTACATTTAATAAACTGCAAATAACATTTTGAAAGAGTTCTTTTTAACCACTAAATAATATGTGTAAGGTATTTAATCAATGCAGTTTTTTAACACTGGTTTTTAAATTCCTGGAAATAAAGCTATATAAGGCTTTGACTAGATGGATGCAACTTATGGATCAGATGAAGGTCAATCTAGAGGGAAATTTGTATAACTGTTCTTTTCGTGGTAGCAGTGGTTCTTCCTTTTACCCAATTATCCATGTGGTAAAAAAAAAAATAAACATGCTATGCCTATGAAGAAAACCCATTTGAAACTCTTTAGTAATGAAAGCCATCAAGGCAGGCAGCCATGTCCAAAGGGGTGATATAGCCCTGAGCCGTAAGGGGTCCTTAATCTGATCCCCACAAGCTGTCATATTTGCTTATTTCATATGGACCCGGCAGCTCTCAAACTGTTTCACTTTGAAAAACCATACAGTTCATTTATATCATTTTATGATCTATTCATGGAAATTAAGCCAGCATCCTCTGAGACTGCGCTCTAGAGTTCTGATTTAAATTTCAATTCTGCTACTTAGCATGTGGACTTTGTTAAGTTACTAACTGTTCTGGCTTTTGGTTCCTTGTCTTTATAATTATAAATATTATAAAGATCAAATGAGTTAATAAATATAAAATCCTTAGAATAGTTCCTGGCACAAGATAAGTGCTCATTAAATGTTGGCTGTAATTATCTTTGTTGTTATTGTTATCGTTAAATACCGAACACAGAACCTGGCACGTGGTAGGCCCTCAGGAAATGATGAATATAATTAATCCAGTTTCCCCAGACTCCAGACCAAAGGACCAGTGCTAATTGCTCCAGAATAGCACAGCAGTTTTGCTGTGGATGTGGGCATGAAGAAAGGAGCCAACAGTTACTCAGGTCTGCCAAGTTCTTTGTGCCTCTGTCGTGGTGGAGACACGGCAGAAAAGGTGCTATGTGGAAATGGCTATATATGGCATGTCTCCGCGGTAGAACAAAAAGAACTTTGGAAGCAAGAGTCAGTAGGCTGAGTTCTCCAGCATGTATGGCCCTAAGCACTTAAGCACCATGTCCGATTTCCTCACATTATGATTTTAAAAGAATAGGAAAAGATTTTTGAAGTGGATCGAGGGAGTTTGAAAAGCCTCCTCTGAACTCCCTAGGAGTCTCCTTTGCAACTGAAAGAATCATGGGCATCAGTTAAGAATCAAGCCTGAGAGCTGGGAAATTAGGTAGTCTGCACCCATGGAGGAAGCTTCTGACACCCTGGAAGCCCCTCTTGGCCCACAGGCATAAGAACTGCCCAGAACCCTACAGTTTCTAACTCTATACCTATATCTTCAGACCACAGCCAAGAAGGGCATCCTGTTGCCTGGTAATAAGTTGTATGGGACCAAAAGAATGTATCTTTTTATGTCAATTTGTAACTGGTTGACTGTATTCCAGAGAATCATGTTAAATAAAAGGGAATTCTGATTATTAAAAAAATGAATATACGTGCCTCCACACCTGTCCAAAAGATCAATTAAGATGTTTACATATAATTATATACATTAATAATTCTCCATTCATTAGAGGGCTCATCTCAGGAGTCTTTTAGCAGTGAAGTCACATTTTGAACGTATAAAGTGTGATTTTCAATTATAAAAATATCAATGGCTGTCTTAATTCTTTAGAAAAAGATACAATGCCTCAAACTAATATGATTCATTCGGGAATTATCTGATTAGGCCATGCATATTCAGCATTTCAGAAGCCAATCATCTACTGATGGCTGTTTCTAAAAATAACATATGTATATGTTTTGTTTTGTTTTTATTATAGATACAAAAAAGCAAGAAACCATTGTGGGTGGAGGGACAACCAGGCATTGCTTCTACGGACTTCAGCCTGATTCAGAATATAAAATCAGTGTTTATACAAAGCTCCAGGAGATCGAGGGACCTAGTGTGAGCATAATGGAAAAAACACGTAAGTCGAGTGTGCTCTCTCCTGATCCCCAGCTCCATGAGCAAACAGTATTTTAGACATCCTCTTTCAGTTCAAAAACCTCATTCCATTTAGAAAAATATTAGCTATTGCTGCCCAGGAATATCTGTAATTCCTGATAAGTCACAGAATTCACTGCATGTGGCCCATTAATGTCAGTTATATGGTTTTTTCCAGCTTCCATGTGTTTCCCAGGGGACTATAAGGCCACATGATGGCATAGCGCTCTAAACAATGATCTATATTGTGATCTATATCCATAAGGAACCTTTGTGGTATGCGGAATGTGAAATGAAGTTTAAGGACCGGGTTCTGACATTAAAACAATGGCGTACTACCACAGCCATGAGAGTGGGAATGGAGCCAAGATGTTCCAACTGGCTGACCCTAGACTTATTGCCTACTTAAGAGTCTCTTGCAATTTTTCCAAGTTGGCTGCAGATCTGATGCACTGAAGGGAAAGGCAAAGTACAAAATTAAAACAAAGCACTTTTTACATGTTCTAAAGAGCAAGGAGGGTGTCAACTTCTTGGAATGGCTTTTAATCAAGGATTCCTGACCTAAAGGCCACAAACATTAGAATGGTTTGAATTATAGTGAATTCTGGGGGACATTTGTGTGCTTAACTCGATATCCCGAACTTAAACTCAAAATCCTTGAGGATTTGTGTCTTAATGGGTAGTGGGCAATGGGCTTTCTTGGTAGCCCCTCTATCATGTATCTGACATTTAGAAAGTTCTACTGTCTATGTATAGGTCTTTCAGTTGATGTGGCCCCTGCAGAAGAAATCATTGTCAATGTGTGACCTTCCAAAACAGAAAGTCAAATTGTCATAAATGGAATCATCTAGTTTTTTTCTAATACAAAGACTTTATTTCATAACACTGAACTATTAGACATTTTATAGTATACATGTGTTTCTGATGTATAATTTATCTATCATAAGCTTCGCTCATTTTCAGTGTACAATTCAACGATTTGTAGTACATTTAAAGAGTTGTGCAGCCATCACTACAGTCCAATTTTAGAACATTTCCATCAACCCACAGAGATCTTTCAGACCCATTCACAGTCAATCTCCTGTCTCATCTTCAGCCCTAGGCAATTTGCTTTCTTTCCTTGTACATTTATTTGCCTTTTCTGGACATTTCCTATAGATAGAAATATGCGATACATAGTCTTTTGCATTTGGCGGCTTTCACTTAGCATATGTTTTCAAGGTTTATTCATGTTGTAGAATTATCAGCAGGTTGTTTCTTTGTATTGCTGATTAGAATTCTGTTTTATAGATAGAGGATCGTATAATTTTGAAGTTATTAGGGGCCTGGTAGTACACAAGATTTAGAGAAAAACAGGCTTGGGTGGAGTCCTTTCTAGCATTGTGGCTTTGGGAGATTCAACATCTTTGAGCTTCCTTGGCTCATCAGTAAAATTAAATACCTACTCTCTTACCTCCTGTGCTGGTGGTAAAGATCCAAGAGAATCTGCTGAGGAACTTTTCAACCTGTGTCATAAGACACAGCAAGTATTTTGTCATCACCATCACAAACTGATGGCCATGGGGTTAGCTCTCACAGTCAGCTGTGTTTTCTCTGGGCCATAATTTTTTTTTTTTTTTTTTTTAAGTTTTAAGCTGTTTTCCGAAAGTTCAAAGGATCTGACAACACATGGCACACAATGGTGCCAATCTGCTGAAAGCAAGTAACTGCTATCTCTTTTAGACAGCATATATGCACTCAAGTTTGCTAGTCCTTAATGTTTAGGCTAGTCCTTAATGTTTGCTTGTATTCGCTACTTGCCTGACCTCTAAAAATATTTGAGTTTGGGACCCCTGGTCTACTTCAAATTCCCCTAACCTTAACCCCGCAACTGTTAACTACCAACCCAGGGTTTATTTAGATGGCTCTGTTTGATGTAAATATTTTCCTTATGTTGAGGACATCTGTCGTCTTGTTGTTTCCCCCAACTGGCTCTAGTTCAACCTTCTGAAGCAATACAGATCAAGACTGCTCCCTCTTCTGTGTGACAGCCCCTTACATACTTGAAGACAGGGACCATCTGTATGCCACGTAGAGAATATAAACACGGGTCACCAGTTCATTGTGGTATTTCTTACACAAGAGGTTCTTTGGCAAGAGGTTCTGCTCAAATGTATCGATCTGTTTGCCATGGTCTCTCATTGATTTGGTTCTTGGTTTGTTGACTGAATTTAAGATATGCCTTAATTTTCCTCGTTAAAGAAGATATACAATTACAAAGATGACTCACTGCTTCCACGGATTTTAAGATAAATAAATCCGGCTTTAGAAGCATTTTATGGTGCTTTCACGAAAGTTTTGCAATCCTAATTTTACTATTAAGATTTATCGAGATTTTTTACTTTTGAAACTTGTTAGCTTCAAAAGGTTGCCTTTAAAAGATAAAAGTGATGTATACCCATAATAAGGCAACAGAGGGTACAAAGTGCATTGTCAACCTCCTTTCCCCATTCTCCTTTTCCAGAAATGCCCATTTGTACCAGCTTGGTTTCCTTCAAGAGATTCTACCTGACATATAACTACCAGATGTCTATCTATCTATCTATCCATCTATCTAGATATATCAATATATATCCTATATATCAGATACATTTTTATCTTTTATTTTCACAAATAGAACCATAGTTTTGTTTACTTTTTGTTTTCACAAATAGAATCATATCATGGCATTCTATGACTTCCTTCATGTCACGTAATAGTTAGTCTCAAGCATTTTTCCCTATCAATAATATACAGTTACTTCATTCTTTTAAGTATTGAATCATTTTACTCAAATAATTTTATCTTATTGGCTCTTAGAATTGGGAGAGACCTTAAAATTCATCTCCCCCAACTTCCTGCTAGTGAAGGAATTCCTTTTGCAACATTCCTGAAAATAGTCAGGCCGCCTGAGCTCAAGTCCTTCCAGCTATTTGGTTCTCACTGTCTCCAGAGACTGAATGTTCCTCTCTGTCAATGGCTGTGATTAGTCAAGGGCTTTCCCTCATATTAAACTGGGATAACAAAAACAATTTTCTATGTTTTTCTGAAATTTTTAGTGTCAAACCTGAATAAGGAAAAGAGTACATAGAAAATAATGTTTAGAATATTTATCTAATGATTCCATAACTTCCTGGTGCTTTGCCACATGAGCTTGTATGATAGTCACCACTCTGATGTAACTATCCTCAGGTCCTTTAACCAAACCTCACCTCACATATTACATAGACTTCTCATCCCTCATCGCCAAGTTGAACTGATTCAGACACACTGTAGTTTCCCAATGTTTTGCCATTTGGTCTTCAGAACTGAATGTTTTCCAGGTGCAGACTGACCAGAACAGAGAGTGAATCAGATTCCACCGGGGACCATGTTCTGGGGATGCAGGGTGAGAAGGAGCAAAGTGCTATTGGACAAGGATTGATGGTCAATCCTTAGTTAGGCAGAAGGGAGATGAAGTTTATTATATGTGTGAAAGCAGCCGCAGACCAATCTGAAATAGGTTGGCGGGATTCCTGCCTTAAATCAGCATTAGAACCACTTTGTAGTTGACAGTTTGATTGCATTGATTCCTGCTGGGTAAAATGAATTGTGGCGAAATGAGATTTCAAGCCTTTAGTCTGAGCTGCGGGGAGAGGAGGATGGATGGAGCCAGTGTTCACAGACTGTGGCTGATTTATAGTGGTCATTAAATTCGCTAAAGTCTCAAAGAAGACAATTGTCAGAATCATTGATGCCCCTGAAGAATTATTACTCCATGACCCCCCCTTTCTTTGCCACATATGAGATGGCTAATTGATGTTCTTTCTTCCTCTTCTTTACAGAATCCCCTCCTACTCAACCACCTACTTTTCCTCCTACCGTTCCACCAGCAAAAGAAGGTAAAAGAATAATACAATAATGATGCGATTTTAGGTTTGGGATTTCTGTTGGTTTTGTTTGTTTGTTTCTTTCTTCATTTAAAAGCCAAGGTATGAATAAAAGATATTTTCTCTTTAATACAAATCCTTATCCAACCTTGATAGGGTACAAACTTGCAATGAACAGTAAATAAGACATAGAGATCTTATGCACAGTACAATGAATATAGACAACAATATTGTATTATAATTATGTAATGTGATAGAGGTGCTAATTATCGCTACAATGATAACCATACTACAAAATATAAATGTATCAAATTAACACATTGTACACTTTAAATTATGCAGTGTTATATGTCAAATATATTCAATAGAAAAAGAGAAAAAAATCCATTTAATAAAAGATTCTGTATACACAGAGTAGATTTTCTAACAGAATTGCTTCATGTTTATTTCATTGAAAATATCAGAGTAGTAAATATTACATTGAGGAAGAATAGTCCCATAATTTGTGAGTGAGAATCTAGTTTGTAATTCTGTAGGCAAGGATAATAGTTTCCCAGCTTACCTCTGAAATGCCTCTCCCAGTTGTTTGTTTCTATCTTCGTCACAAGAGTTTCTTCTCACCTCTTACCTGAGCCATTAAGGTAACTTTCTAAATAGCTTCCCAACACAGTAGTGATTGTTAATTTTTGTTTCATTCCATTAATGAACATTTATTAACCCTACTCTTCATTCTCAAAGCTCTTATGCCCGGCACTTGGAATACAATAATAATATATGATTGCTGCCCTCTGCTTATTCTCAATATTGCGAGAGAAATAGGTGCTTATCTAGATAATTACCAGTCAAGGATATGAGTTAGAAAACGGGATTATACTACGGTAGGCCAGAAATGAGAACATTTAATGCTGCTGCAGGTTATTTGCTTTAAAGAAGGAGAAGGAATTTGATCTACACTTTGAAGAATGAGTTTTGCAGATAAATAATGGAGGGAATAGCACTCAAAGTCACTGAGTGATCTAAATGCATAATGTGTTTGGGAAAGCCTAAGTACGTTAGTGTGGCACAGAGAAAAGGGTACAGACAGAGTTATGAAGTGATTTGTGTTCCAGAATAAGGAGTTTGGGCTTTATCCTGTAGGAAATAGTGTGCCGTGAGAAGTTTTATGAAGGGAGGGTGACCTGAGGAAATCTATGTTTGTGAAAGATGACCTTGATGGGAGGATGGACTAGAGGAAAGAGGGAGATGAAGGTAGAACATGTAGTTGGAGGGTTGTATTAGAAGAGTTCTTCCGTTCATCATGCATGTTAAAGTGCCTGCTACATACCAGGGATCCAATGAAAAATAAGTCATTCCTGCCTTACAGAGGCTTAGAGTCAGTGGAGTCAAATGCTGGAGAGTGTAAGGGTCAAGGAAAGAAAGAGGCAATGAGGAAATCTGATAAAACTCAGCATCCTTCCTAGCAGTGTGAAAAGTCTTCAATGATCAACCTGCTTTGTAGCGTCATTTCCCAGAGTATGTTAGGTAATGGCAAAATTGTACAACTCAAGGTTTCCCATATTTGTCTCACGTTGTCCTGAATCTTTTAGTGCTATTTACTCTATCGGGAATGGCAGACTCTTTGTTCTTCCATCTTCATGTCTAGCCTTTTCTAGCCTTAAGAGCCATAATTATTTTCACCTTAGAACTGAAAATAGAATCCCAATTGATGAATTTCCTAATGAGACATTTCTGATACAGATATTATGGAATGCTCTGAGGTCAGAATATTTTTATTTGTAGCTGAGTGTGGGTATCATTCAGTAAGCATTCATGAATTTTCATGGAAGACACGCAATTTCAAAGGGTCTGTGAGAGTAAGGATTGACAAAGTAGAAACATTGGGCCTGAAGTGTTTGTGATGATACTTTTAGACAGAGGGGCTTTTGCAACTTGAATGCGTTATTTATTTTAGGTTCTGTTTGTCCTGAGTGTATTTAATTAAAAATGCCTATAAATTTTATTATTAAAGTAACACTGAATATTTATTAAACAAACATAAGAAGTAGGAAAGCGTACAAAGAAGAAAATTAAAAACACAGTTTCATAACCCAGAGGTAATTCCTTTATGCTTTTTGATGTATTTTCTTTTTTTCTTTGATTTATTAAGGACAGTTTTCATTTTGAGTATATTTTCAAATAGATTTTGCTCTCACTTCGAAGGTGAAACCTAATCTTGATTTCATCTTTCCTTAGAAACAAAGGACCAGGTTTTCTTTTCTAAGCTTATAATTAGCAGATCTGTGATCCCTTTCAGCTTTAAATTCAAACCATAAATTTATAAAATTTTAATAATCACAGAACTCTTGAGAACAACCTCCAGATCCTTATTGTCCCTGGAGTATTACCTCACTTGGAGATGTTTAGCTTACATTATAAATAGCTTTAAGGGAATAACATTGTACTTAAAATAAAACCGGGGTTTTTTTCTAAAGAAAGAAGAAAAACACATTATCTCATAGAATATTTGTGTGCAACTGGCCTGAGATTAAAAGATTCAGATTATTGAAGAGCAAATTCTTTGTTTCATCATAAAACAGAGTCAACCACAATGATCTACCCTACTGAGGGGAGAGAAGCACAAATAATCTGAAACAGCCTATGACACCATGATACATGATACATGAGTATGATACATGACAAAGGACTATGAAAAAAATGCTTTCAGTAGAGCAGGTTTCTGCTTGTTTGTTAGTGTTGATATCAGTGATACCTACTGATAATAGTTTCCCTGGGCTAGCATTAGTGTGCATTTCTTGACACGTATCAGTGGATGGCAGAGGAACATAGACAGAATTTTTGAGCAAGGCTAGAATTAAAGTTTGCTTTATGGCCTCAGCCCAAATGCATATCAAGTTGTAGATTAACCTGCTTCCACTGTGTCACATGCCTTCCTTCTGAAGTTGAATCTCTCTGAAGTTACTAACTCAATAAGCAGAGGACAGGGTGCTGAGAGCGATAGCTTGGACTTCCTTCTCATCAGTAGGCACTCCAGAGTGTTTGCTGAAGCTTCAGTCCCTAAATCACTTTAGTTCCACATTTTTCCATTCTCTTATTTCTATTCTTTGGGGCTGAGATTGGTGGATCTTTTTCTTCTCTAGTTCGACATGTTCCATAGAAGCTTCTTAGTCATGAGTAGAAACCTTGAGTATAGCAGAGAAATCATGGTCGGGAAGCAGAATGAGTAAGAGCTTGGAGTATGATTTACATCTTTCCTTTGGGGAAGAGGTCAGAGGAAAACCATCATCTGCTTCGTTGGTTTGACAACTGCTATGTTTTCCTCTTATCTCTGATTCACAATTCGTTCTTGGTCTTCAGTATGTAAAGCTGCCAAGGCAGACCTGGTGTTTATGGTGGATGGATCCTGGAGCATTGGAGATGAAAATTTCAATAAGATCATTAACTTTCTGTATAGCACTGTTGGAGCCCTGAACAAGATTGGTGCAGATGGAACTCAGGTAAGGCTAACATATCAATTGTTCATTCATTCTGTGCATCAAAAAATTATCCCAAGCTGTTATTATGGCTACTTGTCATGGGATATGGGTAAAGAACTATAATGATCGGATCCAAGCCCAGATGAAAGGATAGACAAGTCTGGGTTGAGAAGCAGCTTACTGATGCCTCATAGGGCTTGAGAAGACGTAATCCATAAAAACCATTGAGTTCAGCAGACTAAGAAAGGGTTAGAATGGCCATGTCAGCAGATGTTTCTTTTATATACTCAGATAGAGTATCTCCTTTAAGGATACACCCAATAGTTTTCCTGTCCTCAAGGACATTAAAATCTTGAAAGAGAGAGATTATGATCACAAATTACTATAGAACAAGTAGACCATAAAACTAATTTATTCATTCAACAAATATTTATTGGGGATTTATTGTGGTCCGTTACGGTGCTGTCATAATGGATATGATAATGTCCTTAATTTCATGGTTGTTTATATTCTTAAATGCAGAGAGAGGAGGAAGATGACAGACATATAAACAAGCAAACAAATAAATTCACAATGTAGGGATGTGAGCTATGAAAACAAAGTTATGTGATTTAAATTCACTGAAGCTTATTTTAAATTGTGTGGTCAACAAAGCCCTCTTTGAGGAGGTGTCTTTTGAACTGAGATGTGAATGATGCAGAGAAGATCTGAGCGTAGAATTTCCAGACAGGGGAAGTTGTAAGTGCAAAGGGCCTAAGGTGAAAATGATTTTTGAGGCGATGCTAAAACTTGTGGCTAGAATATAGTGGATGAGTGTGTGAGTGGGAGGAGAAGACGTGGAAGAAGTGGGCAAAGCCCGATCATCTTGAGCCTTATGAACTCATGGAAGGAGTTGGGTGTCATCATAAATGCAATGGGACACCACTGGAAAGTTTTAAGGAGAGAAGATCTGATGTGCTTTTTTTAAAAAAAATCATTCTGACTGCTTTGTGGAGCAGGAATACTAATAAGGGTAAGAGTTGAAGTCGAGAAACTAGTTAGGATGCTGCTCTCGAGGTCCAGCATAGAGATGATAGAGGCCTGGGCCAGGGTGGTAGCAATGAGGTGTGCTGAAATGCACAGATTTGGAATATATTTTAGAGGAACAGTTGAGAAAACTTGGATGTACCATAACAGAAGAGTAGATGAAGTGCTGAGGTATTTCAGGGAGGAAGAAATTTGTTTTGAATAAAGGAATCAGGGGAGTTTTCCTAAAGATGGTGACAACTGCAATAGACCTTGATAAACTGGTAGCAGTTGAAGGCTCACAAAATCAAAGACAGTACTCTGAAGATGCTATGTTTACTCCCTCCATCATAGTTCTGAAAAATAAACCTAAAACAATAAATTAAAAATGGCCCCAAAGTTCCACCGGAATGAATGCAGATTGTAGGAAATGAAGCCAGGAAAGTTGTATTGTAGTGGTTAAGAACACAGATTTTGAAGTAGAATACACCTAGCTTCAACTGTCGGTTCTGCCAATGACGTCTCTTGTGATCTTGTGCAAGTTACTTGACTTTATGTGCCTCGGTTTCCTCGCCTGTGGAATGGTGGAATAGTAGTAGTTACTTCATAGTTTTGCCTCATGACGAATCTCTGTAAAGAATGTAACTCTGATTCTCTGACCTTTGTCAAGTTACAAAGCCTAGGCTGCCATTTTTCCATCAATCCAAGGAGATGGCAAAAGGCCTACGTGCTTTAGAGAGAGATTTTTAAAATAAACTACTTCCTGAAAAGTGCTTAGAGAAAAAATGCTGTTGACTGTGTCGTCAGATTTAGTATATGACTTGTGTGAAATTTTAAACTCAGGAAATTGAGGACTGAGTTAAAAAATAAATTAAGATTGTAGGTGTAATCGTGCTATTGTGTGGGCTATCTGGCCTGGAGGAAGTCCACATACATGTAAAAACAAATATACCTTCTCTCTCCAGGTTGCAATCGTTCAGTTCACCGATGACCCCAGAACAGAATTTAAACTGGATGCTTACAAAAACAAAGAGACTCTTCTTGATGCAATTAAACATATTTCATACAAAGGAGGGAATACAAAAACAGGTAAGGCTAAAAAAAAGCCCAGTTAAGACCCAAAGTAATTAATTATTGGTAATTACTGAAATGATTTTTATGAAGCATAGTAATACAGATTTTTAATATTTTTCATTGATTTAAGAACTTTGTTCCTACCCTTCTTTCCCAAGAAAAACAAAAATGGGAGGTATTTCTATTTTTAATTTTTTGAGAAATCTCATACTGTTTCCATAGTGACTGCAGCAGTTTGCACTCCTACCTGCAGTATATGAGGGTTCCCTTTTCTCCACATCTTCTCTGACACTTGTTATTTCTTGTCTTTTTTTTTTTTTTTTAGATTTTATTTTTTCCTTTTTCTCCCCAAAGCCCCCCAGTACATAGTTGTATATTCTTCGTTGTGGGTCCTTCTAGTTGTGGCATGTGGGACGCTGCCTCAGCATGGTTTGATGAGCAGTGCCATGTCCGTGCCCAGGATTCGGACCAACGAAACACTGGGCCGCCTGCAGCGGAGCGCGTGAACTTAACCACTCGGCCACGGGGCCAGCCCCTCTTGTCTTTTTAATAATAAAGCTATTCTGAGATGTGTGAAGTCATGTCTCATTGTAGTTTTGATTTGTATTGCCTAATAATTAGCGATGTGTTTACTAGAGGGGAAGGGGGTGAGGGGAGGGTGAAAGGGGTAAATGGGCACATATGTATGGTGACAAATAAAAACTAGACTATTGGTGGTGAACACTCAGTCTATACAGAAGCTGAAATATAGTAATGTACACATGGAATTATTCAATGTTATTGACCAATATGACCTCAGTAAAATAATTTTTTTAAAAACACCGGGAAAAAAATGAGAGGGAATACAATTGAACCATTACCTTCCTTTGTTTCAGGAAAAGCAATTAAGCATGTCCGAGATACCTTGTTCACTGAAGAGTCAGGTACCAGAAGGGGCATCCCAAAGGTCATCGTGGTTATAACTGATGGAAGATCACAAGATGATGTGAACAAAATCTCCAAGGAGATGCAGTCTGATGGTAAGTTTTACATAGATAAAAAATAGCGGCTACCAATAATAACGTTAGCGTTGTTGTTTTCTGAACACAAATTTATAGGCTACATCAGCATGACTTAAACGTCTGCAAATTTTTCTTTATATTAACTGGACAATGTGATTTTAAAAATACTTTCCAGGTTACGAATCTATTATTTTGCTGTGTTTTCTCTAATCCTTTTATTACATACAGGATGGCTGTATGAGAAACTTTAGCAATAAGGGGAATACTATGAAAACAACCATTATAAAGGGCCAGGGAGGGAACCTGATCACAGACACCCTCAGCCTCCTCATCTGTGAAAAAGAAATTCTCATAGGACTGTTGTGAAGATTACATTCTATAAGATATGCCTGGCAAAGCGTAGTTTAATATTTATTTACCAAGCATTGAATCATGGCCCACCTCAGGCTGCTAAACCTATTAATACTTATCTCAGTTTCTACATCTGAAAAAAAACAAACAGATAAAGTTTCTCTGTTTCAACTACACTTCATCCCATAAATCTTAAAATAATTATTAAAAATAGGCAGACGTAAAGACGTTACTCAAATGGCAACCATTTTATCTCAAGCACTAATTGGGGCCTTGACCTTCTTGAGTTTCCTTAAAATGGAAAATTTTTTTTAGGGGATGATGGAATAACTATCATATAAATATGTGCATGCAGAATTCTGACGAACTATAAAGACTAAATTATCCACCCCCACTAGCTCTCGTTAATAAACATATTTTAAACATTTGGACATGTCTTATATTGCATTGTTTGCATTTTGTGCAGTTTGAGTACTCAGACATCTGTTCCCCCATTCTCCTACAGGCTACAGCATTTTTGCTGTTGGTGTGGCTGATGCAGATTACTCGGAGTTGGTTAGCATTGGCAGCAAGCCCAGCGCCCGCCATGTCTTCTTTGTTGATGACTTTGACGCCTTTAAGAAAATTGAAGATGAGTTGATTACTTTTGTCTGTGAAACTGCATCAGCAAGTTAGTTCTTTGGAATTTGTACTTACTCATGTTGCTTAAAGGCTGAAATATTAATACTGATTAAATAGTGAGTCCCAGCTTGATCTGAGGAAAGAATATTGACTTGCAGAGCTGTTTGTTAAGCAGACGTTAAGTTTTATGGTTTTAAGCGTGGAAGTAAACCTCCCCTCTCCCTAGTTTAGAGTTTTAGGTGGATAAAGACTTTCCCTAATGAGAGGAGAGTCTCTGTTTCAAACAACTCTGCTTCAGTAGTTGTAGCAAGTAGTTTTCAAAAATGTATTAAGACTACTCCTCAGGGTAAGACATTAGAAGTGAGACCTCTCCCAACAAGTGCTCTCAAGTGACCGCCATAGATTTTAATAGACCCAGGAGAGGAGAAGGAAGCTGTGGTCCTTTGGTTTTAATAGATGTAAGAGCATTTGAATCTTTAGGAATCCACTGAAGACCATAGCCACATCTGCTTTGGATCCCCTCCACACCTGACTTCCGGAAAGATTACGTTAGCTTCCTGCTCTCAGGACAGGGAAAGAATATGTTTGGAAAATCTCTAAATTAGGATTTTGTATTGTGTGTTTTCTTTTCCAGCCTGCCCACTGGTGCACAAAGATGGCACTGATATTGCAGGTATGCATTATCACAATTTTTCCAAATACAAATATATTAAATAACTCCCATTTGGGGGTCAGATTTTCTTTTTTAATCATTAATAAACTAATCTTGAAATTTAAAATCCAGAAGTGGCTGTTTATTCTTTTTCTCTATCTCTTTGTTTTTTTTAGGATTTAAGATGATGGAATTGTTTGGTTTGGTTGAAAAGGATTTTTCATCGGTGCAAGGAGTTTCCATGGAGCCTGGTACCTTTAATGTTTATCCCTGTTACCGCCTTCATACAGATGCCCTGGTTTCCCAGCCAACCAAGTATGTTCCCATTGCAAGATATTAAAGCCAATCATTTGTTTATTATATCTCAATGTGAAAATGATGTCAACTTGAAATATGCTGTAATAGTTCCTGATAGGATTTTCCATGACTTTTAGAGAAGATGATGTTTAGATTTCTTTGTTCGAAAGCATCACAGTCATACATAATGCTGGTTGAACTTTAATATCTTTTGAACTGAGAAAATGTGTAAAGATCATTGATGCTTACAGAGCACTACTGTATGACAGGCATTGTTCTAAAGCCTTCTGTATATTAACTCACTCAAACCTCTGAACAACTCTACGAAGTAGATTCAATTCTTATCTCAATTTTATAAATAATGAAACTGAAGCACAAAGAAGCTGAATGACTTGAGTAAGGTCACTTAGTTTAAGTGACAATGCTGGGATTTGCACCTGGCCATCAGGCCCCAGAGCCGACACCCTGACCCACTTCATGCTAGTTCCATGAATTTTTATCTTGGGTTTTTATCTTTGAGAAGTCACCCAGCAGCTCTACAGACTTGAAGAGTATTTTCAGGTTTATGTCAAAATCACATGATCTAGTTGCTTTATAGTCTGTGAGGCACCTAGGGATTCCTGGGGCCTTTTGCAGCAATTCTGCAGGCTCTGGAGGTACTTGAGATTACAGGTTAGGAATTCCTGGTTTCACGGGGCATCTCTCAAGCTGTCGTGTGCTACTTTACATCCTAAATCAACATTTGTTTTTGTCTCAAAGTGCCTTCAGTATTTTAATGTGAAATATTTTCAGTGTCCAAATTTTGATGTAGTGTGCACATGTATGTGAAAAAGTGGGAGAGATCATAATAGAGTATTAACTTCATCCATCCAATTTACAAACAAGTTGCTTTTCTGTCTTCTTCCAAAATATTATTTATTAAATTCTAACCTATTACAGTACTATCCAAATTATTTTATTGTGCTTCATTTTGGGGAATATTATTTGAAATAAGTAGAACTCTTTTAATAATTTAAAATATTTGTTGTTATAGGTATAGCTTCATTTTCTAGAAAACTGTTGTAAATGTCTTTGATCTACAGAATATATGTGGTTTTAAATAAAACCAACATCCGATGTTACCTTTTGGCAGGTTTTTTTACAGTGTCTAGTGATGAATATTAAAATGTGCATTTAAAAAATCATTCCTGGATGTCTAGCAAAAATGAGAATTGCCAAAGGGAAATCCTCTACTACTCTGCTGAAATTGCTCATTCGATCAGCAATGCCCTCCACCTTGCCAAGTCCAAACATTAGTTCCCAGTCCGTATCTTACTCACCTGTTACCAGCGTTTGACAGTTAGTCACCTCCTCCCCCTGGATTCACTCTCCTCCCTCTGTTTCTGGGACACACACTCTCTTGAGTTTCTGCCTTGTTACCGCTGTTCCTTTTCAGTGCTGGCTTCTCTTTTCTCCTCCACCTCTTCATTTTGAAAAACGCAGCCTAGCTCCTTGATCTCCTTGTTTTCTGTGGGTGTACCTGCTCCCTAGTGATCTTTTCAGTATTGTAGTGTTAAGCACCGTCTTTATGTCAAGGTCTCCTAAATTTATATTTCCAGTCCAGACCTATTTCCCAAAAGTTAGACCTGCATATCCAATTGCTGACCGGACATCTCTCCTTGGATATCTAATGGACGTTTCTTACTTCATATTTCAGTACCACATCCCTGATCTTCCTTCCAGAACCAGCTTCACCTCACCTTTCCCATCTCAATGAATGAAAACAACATCTAACTAATTTCTCAGGCAAAAATCCTGGCTCCTCTTTTTCTCTCAAGCTCCTCATCCAATCTATCAAGGAATCCTATTGTCATGCCTTCTCACCACCTCCTCTGCCATGGCCATGATATGGGCCACCATCGTCTCTTTCCTAGGTAATTGCAGTAGCCTCCTAATTGGTCTTCCTGCTGCTCTCCTTGCCTTCTTAGAGTCTGTTCTCTAAGTTGCAGTCAGAACCATTCTTTTGAAATGTAAATCACATCATGACACTCCAAAATCTGCCAGTGATTCCCCACTCCCCTTGGAGTGAAAGTCAAAGCTCTTCAATGGCCTTTTCTGGGTACCTATTAGCTCTTTGACTTTACCTTCTGTCTCATTCAGCCTGTTCTCCAAACACACCGGGCACACCCCACTTTGGTGTCTTTGCACTGGCTGGATGTCTTTGTCACCTTTGAGTTTTCCTTCAAATGCAACCTTTTCAGTGAACCTATCATCCAACTTAAGCTTCTCAATGAGCCTCCTGAGTGATGCCAGTGCTGATGACTTTGATTAAAATTGCAGGAGAATCCACTCCAGCAGTCCCAATCCTCATAATGCTGCTCCATTTTTTTGTTTTTCTGTGGTACTTATTATCTTCTAACATACTGTATAATCCACCCTGCTAGAATTTAAGTGCCTGTACAAGGATATTTACCAGTTTTATTCATTGATGCGTCTTAAATGCCTATTACAATGTCTAGCATACAGTAGGCACTCAAAAAATATTTGTTGAATGAATGAAAGAATTATTATGTAAATAAGTAAATGAATGAAATGTTTTTATCCAGGTAAGTCAAACTTTCATTTTCAAATCCATGCTAAATTCCCACATACTCACAAATTTATCTATTTAGTTAATAACTCTTGTGGGTCTCCTATATATGTAGAGGGTTATATTTGTTGCATGAGGAGAAAATTTGAAAGCATGTAAGTGATCCGCTTAATTGTTAGAAAGATGAGATGCTGTAGCAGGTTGGGTTCCCCAGAAAGCAGATCCAGAGGTGGAGAGTGGTGTGCAGGGAAGTTGATGAGGATGTGCTCTTGTGGAGGGGAATGGAAGGACGTAGGACAGGGCAAAGGAGAATAGTCTAGCTGTGAAGCAGTCTCAATAAAAACTTCAGCTGACCCACACTCGGGCGTTCTGAAAATAGATCTATCTCCATTAGAACGAGAGGCTCTGGTCCTTATATCCTCTCAAAGACTAGTCATTGAAAAGAGGTGCCATAAAAAAGTTGACCTGACCTTGGGGGAGGCCTCTTTCTTCAGCTGAGGCAAGTCCTGAAGGTAGTTGGTATCTGAGCACTGTCTACAGACATCGCCACAACAGCAGGAGTAATGGATTCTTAATTCTTGAAGGCAGACCTGGATGGTGCATCAGAGCATGAAGCACATACGGAAATGCAGCTAACTGCAAGCTGTGGTTTCTAGAAAGTGACAATGCCTTAAATTTTGCTAAAGGACTATAAATACATGTTATCTGTAATACTAAGACTTTTGAATCTACTTTAAATGTTCACTCAGAAGTGGCCAGTTAGATAAATTACGGAACAGCTAAACAAGAAAAGATTGTGCAGACATTAAATATCATGCTTTTAAAAATATTTAAGGAAGTATTAAATGTGTAGTAAATAGGGCTAGGAAAAGAAAGGTGCAAAATTATATAAATTGGACAAATACTTACAGATATTTTTTAAAAAACTAGAAGGAAATGCCCCACACCGAAACAGTGATCACGTCTATATGGGGTTAATGGTAATCTGTTATTTTTTTCTTTTCTGTTTTGCCAAATCTTGTATAATGAAGGTGTGTTTGCTTTTATAATCAGATAAATAACTTTTTGAGGGGGAATGCAAGAAAATATTGTTTTCTTTTCATTTTCAGGTATTTGCATCCAGAAGGATTACCCTCTGACTACACCATCAGTTTTCTATTCCGGATTCTTCCTGACACTCCGGAGGAGCCATTTGCCATTTGGGAGATTTTAAATAAAAATTCTGACCCATTGGTTGGAGTCATTTTAGATAGTAAGTATATTTATTTATATAATATTTACACACACATGTATGAGTAATATAGGTGGCATGCCATCTTGCCTATTTTGTGTATCTTGTAGAGAAACTCACTTATCCTAAGCTGCAAGTAAATACCGACAGTGAACTATCTAGCAATTGGTTCATTCATTTATTTATCCACTCATTGTTTCAACAAATTTTTGTTTGTGTGAGGAAGATTGGCCCTGAGCTAACGTCTGTTGCCAATCTTCCTCTTTTTGCTTGAGGAAGACTGTTGCTGAGCTGACATCTGTGCCAATGTTCCTCTACTTTATGTGGGATACTACCACAGCATGGCTTGACGAGTCGTGCTAGGTCTGCAGCCTGGATCTGAACCTGTGACCCCTGGGCCGCTGAAGTGGAGTGTGTGAGCTTAACCATCATGCCACCAGGCCAGCCCCACAAATATTTTTTGAGTTCCTGCTGTGTGCCAGCACTTGACTCTGGGATTCAGTAGTGAGCAAGATGGAGCGAGATAATTACTAAGATAGTGAAGACTGCAGGAAGAGCAATTTTCATGGTAGGGGAGGAGGGGCAGTAGGAGGGGTGGGACCAGAAGTCATTTTTTGCATATGGATTTGATAAGTGTAGATGCCTCTTTTGGGTTCCTGGACCCAATTCCAGCATGTATGTTCAAGTAAGGCTTCCCATACAACACCAAGCAATTCTCGGACACCAGCAGAGTGTCTGAAAATTCAATTCAATTCTGACTGAGCCAGGCTGTTACCTGTGCTTCTGACCAATTGGCTACAAATTGGAGGTTCCAACGACCCCCTCCAACTCAGGATGCAGATCATGTGTCCAGGTTGTTACCTGTACCTTTGATTGACTGGCTATGGTCAGAGGTTCCCGTAACCTCCTCCTCAGTTCAATTAATTTTTTAGGGTGGCTCACAGAACTCAGAGAAATATTTTACTTACTAGATTGTCAGTTTATTATAAAAGGATATAACCTAGGAACAGCCAGATAGAAGAGATGCACAAGGCAAAGTATCTGGGAAGGGATGCAGAGCCTTGGGCCCAGAGCTTCCATGCCTTTTCCAGGCACATCACTGTCCCTAATCTCCATGTGTTCACCAACCCGGAAACTCTGAACCCCATCCTTTTGTGTTTTTATGGAGGCTCCATGATATAGACATGATTGGTTAACTCATTGGCCATTGGCAATTGAACTTGATTTCCAGTCCCTCACCATTCCCTGAAGGTTTGGGGGAGGGGTTGGGACTGAAAGTTCCGACCTTCTAATCACATGATTTGTTCTCCTGGCAGCCACCCCTCCATCCTTAGGTTACATAAGGGCTTTCTAAAAGTCACCTCATTAACATAACAAAAGACACGTTTATTGCTCTTATCACAGAAAATTCTGAGGGTTTTAGAAGCTGTGAGCCAGGAACCATGGATGAAGACCAAATATATATTAGAAATATATTTTGGTTGTCTGAATGGCCAAATATATATTTATTATAAATCACCAAAGTGCAATGCTTATTTCACATCCTAGAAAAAAATGTGAGATTGGCAGCAGCATATTTTGGTAAAAATTCGAGAATGAAGATATAAATTTGCAAGTTGTACATGTGTGGTATCTATAAGCCATGATACTGGGTGAGATCATCTAGAGAGTGAGTCTAGAAGGAGCAAAGAATAGATGTGAAGACTTGGGAAATTCCACTGTTTGGAGGTTAGAAAGTTGAGGAGGAACCAATAAAGGGAGCTTCTTAAACTCATGCTCTTGTGTGTCACATATGATGATCACTTAAGAGAATCATCCAGGTTTTGGTTAGTATCTCTGACTTTTCTAAATATGTTTTTAGTTTAGGATTCCAATCAAGCTAGGAGCCAAAATTTGGTGGCTATTGTTAGGTGCTAACTCAGACATTTGGGTAAGGAAAGTGTTGTAGGCTTATTTCCAACTAGTGTTCATGAAAGCACTTTTCAGTACATGGAAATGAATCAACAACTAAATATGACACTATGAGCCCTTTTTGCATTGATATTGAAACTAAGGAAAAGCTGTAGATTAAAGGAGTGTAAGTAACTAACTCCATATACACCCAGGACTTGAAAACAAAGAAGTCTCTCAAAATGCTTAAGACTAGCTTTTTCCTTTTCAAAGTCAAGTGAAGAATTAAATTGTAATCTAGGGAATAAATTAGGGAGAAAACTGTTCCTATTTTTTGTAATAAAATATTCCTTTTGTAATAAAATATTCTAAACATGAAGTACTCAAGATTAGAAAGGTTGTGTTTGTTTCTTTGTTCATAATAAAAGACGTATTGGAATATCACTGTTTTGGGATGGTGTAAGTTGCTTGTCCTGGGAAAGTTGGTTGCTCCAGTGGGTTAATATGGCAAAGAGTCTAGTTTCTATTTCTTGAGATTTGATTAACTTCATTCTCCCTTTTTGTCTGCCTCTACTCCCAGTTTCAGACAACCATCTCTCAAGAGGGTGATGGGGATGAGAACACAGGCAAGGAAGTACAGAGAAAGATATATGTAGGAGTCCTTGCCTTTCCATCATCACCACATGGTTAAATGAGTTAATCTGGCCAACTGAAAGCCTGGGGCAACCCAAGGACCACAGATGCTTTCCTTACTTACTCATCGCTTCATTCTAAACTCAGACTCAAAACAATGCATGCATTATTTTCAGTCTTGAGTTAAATTTTAGAAAAATTATTTACCCATTTTAATTCTTTCTAAAATGTTTTTATTTTTCTTCATTTGATTAGATGGTGGGAAAACCCTAACATATTTCAACTATGACTACAGTGGGGATTTTCAGACTGCTACTTTTGAAGGACCTGAAGTTAGGAAAATTTTCTATGGAAGCTTTCATAAGGTGAGTATGCCTTGGATACATATATTCTTTATTCTATTTGCTATGGGCAAAGCAGCAGAAAGATATAAAAAGAAAATTCCACAAGCTTTGGATCTCAAATTGCAACTGAAGTAAGGATTACCTGTGGAGCTTGTTAACAATGGCCAGAGATTCTGATTTGGTTGTTCTGAGAGGGGACCCTGAAATGTGCATTTTAAGGAAGTACCCTGGGAGATATTGATAGAAGTGGTCCAGGTTCCCACTTTGAGGAACAATATAGTAGAGGGTACTATATTATCAAACGGACAGTTATCAATTCACTACATTATGTGTAATGTAGAAAAAGGATTGCTGGTCAACCTGGCTACCAATGGAGATGAAAGCACACTTAGCCGAATCATGTTACAATGTGAAGATAGACTGCACTGATATTTTATTATATATGAGGACAACCCATCACTGTGATCATAAAATTTACCCCGAGGAAGAATTTTGTAAAATATGACTTTAGTTGTTCTTATTTTAACCTGGCCCTTGTGAACTCTGTCCTTTAATGTTTCACATCTCTGAAAGTCTTAGTTTTGGTGATCGCTGGAGTAGACACGCTTCCTTCCAATATTCACTGTTTCCTTTATGTTTGGCGGATAACCCCACTGACCCCTGGGCTGTTAAGGAATGCAACACCAAGATTGCAGGAGAGCAGAGCATTTACCAGGTGGTGCTGCAAAAAGTCTTGCCTCTTAACCAAGCCCTTCTCACCCCTTTAGAGGAGGGAAGGGACGTTGCACTGTAGTCTTCATCTTGGCTTCTGTCTCCTGACCCAGAACATGTCAAATCCATCTGACTTACACAACTTTGCTACTTCCTGGGGTTTTAAATACCATAACTACCTAAGAACAATTATCTAACAAAATTTGTACTCTTTCCTGCATAAGAAAAGTTGCATTAAAAAAATGTTATTTTTTCTGGCTTAATAGCACTGTACTACCAGAAGTACAAGGTATCTTAAAAACACATAAACACATGAAGGTGGAAATTTATTAATTTGTGGTTCAAAATGATCCGTTAGCAGCTCTTTGGGGTTATTGTCATTTATTCCCCAAGTTCCTCTTGACGCAGTTCTTTTCTTGATTAGGCAGTGTCTATTGCAAAGTAGTCAAGAAAAATTGGAGGGGAGATGAAAAGCAAGTGCGATATCATGCATGTTAAAAAAATTTGCCACCTGAGCCTGTGCTATAGGCACGAACTTGTAATTCTCATTTGAAAGAATCCTTTGTGAGCCTTAGGTAAACCTTAAGCTTTACTTGTCTTTACCTTTGAGAAGAATTCAAAGACATATAAGTCAGGTGCATTAAAAATAGGTTGCAAATTTATAAGCCTTCAAGTTTTTTAAAGTTATATGAAGAAAAACCTTTCTCTACTTTGCAAAGTGTTAAAGTAGCCAAACAACAAAACAAACAAAAAAGAAAAGCTTATCATGTAACAAACTACTTCATTAATAGATCTATTAATGGAAAATCTTGATGCAAATTCAATCGGTAGAGATCGAATTTGATTTGTTCATAGACTTATATTATAACTGAATAAACACTTTACCTTGATTTATTGTTGATTTTTAGTTGGCTTTATTTTTTTACACTTTGGGTTTGAAGCGTGGCCCCATGGTCTCTTTCAAAAAGTTAACATTATATAAATGAATCCTTAAAAGCAACCAAAGAAGCAAAATACTTTTGAAAACTTTGCAATGTCTCATTTTGTACAGCAAAAGTTTTTTTTTTTAAAAAAAATCATATGAATAATTTCCCTACAAGCTCACAGTTCCTAAATCATGAATATTATATGCTAAGTTGTCTACCACCCAGTATGAAAATTTCTCTAATTTAATGATGAAAAGTGTTGCAAGGTGCAAAAACACACAAGAGTCAAATTATACCCTTCTAAATGATCATAAAAGAAATGTTAATAGGAAACAAGTAATGTGGGGGATTTACTCCGGCAGTATTTCTCCAGATAAGTAATGGTTAACTCCTTTTTGAAGGAAAGAGAATTCTCTAGAGCCTCCACTGTTGACTTAAATTATTTTTTATCATGATATAACTTAAATAAAACATGAAATAAAAATTGGTATAAATCCTTATGCTTTCAGTTCCTATGCAATAATGAAACAAAAATAAATGAAGATTAAATAAAACCAGTAAAGTTAAAAGTAACACTATTTTAATACGAAAGATGACATTATTTCGGTGACATTCAACCTCTGCTCACAATACAAATACAGTCCTAGCAGCTGGAACCGTGTGTCTTATAACCATGAACATTGCCTAATATTTTTTCTCTTTGAACTACCATGATACCTTCCATTATGCAGCTATTTGTAACTTTTGGCTTTTACTTGATGTGAAATCATTATTTGCCTATTAATTTCACTCTTTTAGCTCACTAAACAAGTAATCTGCTGCAAACAGGTAGTACTCATGAGGCAAGCGCCATCATAAACTGAAATGCATATATAAGCACTGAAATTTCATGGCAGAACTGGCTTACAAAGCGATTCATCGAGCATATATTTACTGTGTGTGTGTGTGTGTAAGAGTGGCTCTGAGCTAACATCTGTTGCCAATCTTTCTCTTTTTGCTTGAGGATGATTGTCGCTGAGCTAAAATCTGTGCTAATCTTCCTCTATTTTACGTGGGATGCTGCCACAGCATGGCTGGATGCACAGTGCTAGGTCCATGCCCGGGACCTGAACCTGTGAACCCTGGGCCACCAAAGCTGAGTGTGTGAACTTAACCACTACTCCACCAGGCCAGCCCCTACTTTTGACTGTTACGTACATGATAAGATAAATTTTTACGACTCCTCACAAAGAATGTGTAGACGCCTGAATATATTACCATGGACCTTAAGATTCTAGAGATTTCAGTTTCAGAAAACCACATACATCAAGCCAAAGGACTTTATTTCATTTGGACCTGAAGTGACCAGAAAGCCTTCCTCCTTGCCCTTCAGATTCTAGATCTCCTCTCCTCACCCGAAATTAAACAAATGTTTTCAAAGTGAGGTTTGCCAACTACTGGTAGTACCTGAGATAACTTTTGCTGGTAAATCAGCATTTTTTAGTTTTAATGTTTTCATGTTTATTTTAAGGTGCATTCAGAAAGGCACAACTAGTACAACAATTCTGTGACGTCGAAATGTTGCTGCTTTAGAGGAAGGCTAGATTTTAAAAAGTGAATCCTTTCAAAATCATTTTAAAAAAGTATTAACTAAATAAAAATAGAGATAATGCCTGAATGTTGGACAATCATGCAGATGGTAAAAATAGAACCTTTTTCCTCTAGCAAAATACATAGTGACAGAATCCCTTCTCTTTCATACTTTTTAGTGATGAATCATGCAATTATGTAAAGTTGGTTGATATTTCTTCTTGTTTCTTACCTCCTAAAACATTTTTACTTTTACCCAGCTGCACATTATTGTCAACAAGACTTTGGCTAAAGTGGTTATTGACTGCAAGCAAGTGGGTGAGAAGGCAATAAATGCGTCAGCTAATATCACGTCGGATGGTGTGGAAGTCCTAGGGAGAATGGTTAGATCAAGAGGACCAAATGGAAACTCTGCACCAGTAAGTGAATGAACAAATGAATCTGTGTTATTGTTATAGAAAAAAAATATTTTAAAATATAATTATCTATTTTCCAGGGGCAAAGTCTGGTAAAAGGATGGATGGATGGATGGATAAATAGATAACACTCTCTTTAAATGAACTAAAACATACATTCAAAGCTCTTGGGAGTATGCTTCTGCTATGTTATAATGAGAATGCTCCAGGAATTGGGCTAGTTTGTTGTCTAAATTCATTTTAAAATTCAAATAGTAAAATATTCATCACATGGTTGTGACATAAATAGTTTGTTCGTGAGAATCCAAACTGTAAATGAAAGTCATTTATATAAGCAAATAGAAATCCAGGCAAAATATGTGATTGTTATATATGGGAAATTGACATAAGCCTCTCATGTGGGTTAGATCTGAATATTCTAAAATGAGGTTTTTGCTATTGTTGATGAGAAGTTTACCCTTTAATCATTAATAGTTATTTAAGTAACAAATCATCTAAGATAATATATTTTTCATCATCCAATATGGAATGTAAGACTGGGAGACTTCCAATTGGCAAAGAAACCACATTCCCTTCACTGACTACCCACAAAAAAGAACAGTATACACAAGCTTTTGTTTTAACACCATGTGTTCACAGCTAATTAGCAGCATTCTCTAATTGAAGCCCTTCTATAATTAGAACCAATTAGCCTGGAGGGTACTTTATCTTGTAAACAATTCCAACTCTTCTAATCTACACTTCTCTACTATGTGACAGAAAAATCAAGTTAATTGTGAATCACTGTTACTGTCGTGCACTTTCACAGCTCTGGAGAACTAGCCAGCTATATGGAACTTTAGAAAGACTTGGTGGTTCCCAAAGTCTTTTTAAGCTGAAGATTGCTTTGCACAAATGAAATCTTCTAGAATGTCAAATAAATAAATAAGATTAAAACAGAGCCACGCTGATTGATGCGAGAGGGGACATGGGGTAGCAGGTGTCTACACCCACCAATGGTCCCTAAGGGAGCTTCAAGGAGCACAGGTCAATTCCACTATTCTCTCATAACTTGTTCACTTTATACACCAGCGAAGAGTCCCTGAGTGGTGAAGTGATTACTTTAGGACACTGCTATTTCATGGCATTTCTCTTTGTGGTCACAATAGAAGCGAAATCTTTGTGCTCGTAGGAGGACATTGGTGCTTTCACACCTTGGTGGATGTGTGCTAATTAATTGAACACTTTAAAAGTATCTTTAAAAGTGCTTTTGTCTCTACTTTGCTTTAGAGAAGTATGGATTAGATGTTTGGAAAGAGAGAATATTCTAAAAGCTGAGGAAGGCTCCCTGTTTTTCAGGAACGGTAACAGACTTTTAAGAATGTTTATATGATATTGAGGTGTTGTCTCCTCTTAATGTGTAGTATTTCATGCTGATTTAGAAATGCACCATCTTCTGTTCATGAAAGATACTTTTGTGATAGCACACTCCAGAATTATAAGACTCCAGAATTAGCAAACTAGTCATATCTTGTACGGATAAATGGATGTATATAGACGGATGCTTGGATGGATGAATGAATAGACTCTAATTTAAGAAAGAGAAACAATTTTAGGTGTATGAGATTCTGGGCCCAAATCACTTCTTCTTCTTCTTTTTTTTTATTTTAGAAATAATGCATATCAAATCCCTGCCACTTAGTAGGCATTTAATGAAGTGCAGCTATTACTATTGAAGGACGTCAATAATACCTTCTCCATCTCACCTTTTCTAAACCTCTTGTACTTGGTTAACACTTGATTATTTGTAGTCATATATTATTTTCACGCTCTTTCATATATCTACATTTGACCTCTCCAGCCAGAGTATAAATCTCTCGAAATAGAAACCATGTCATGGTCTTCATTTGCATCCACTCTCTTCTAACTCACATCACAGTATCTAATGAAATATGAACAGAGTAAGTTCTCAAGAAACATTGAGAGAAATTAAAGAGAACGTCATCTATTTGAATTGTATCCTGTCTTTTCTTGAAATGTTGTTTTGCATATATTATTTTCCACGTGTGGATTGACAACAGTCCAGTAATATATATCATACCCTCTCCTAATTATAATTTGTATCTTACATTTACAGTTTTGATTACAATTACAATGATTGTATTTCAAATTACACTCTATGTAATAATTTTACTAGAAATATATGACCAATTAAATATCAAAGAATTTATTTCCGAAAGCAAAAATGCCTGTAGATTTTAGGCCTACCGGCGATAAATCTTTACTTTTTAGCCATGGAAGAAAAGCAATTAAACAGAGCACCGTCTGTGGTAACTTCCAACCAGTAGTAGACAAAGGGGAATTTATAGAAGTCACTTTAAAGAGTTCTTTGTAAGACTAGGAGGAAAATAGTTACGGCTTTTGTTAGAATCTAGAAGTCTACAAAGGATTACTAAATAGATTTTCAGTCTGCCCACTTATGGAAGAATTTGATTATGTTGAAATGGATGGTATTAGATTAGATCTCAAGAATGTGATTGGAAACTCACTTGCTTTTTGGGTTATTACTTGTTTCAGTGCAAAGCAAGAGAAAAGCTTCCATGTTCAGCTTTCAATTTAGAAATCACAGATTGCTAATTTAATCTTGATATACATCTGTACTCCAATACCCAGCAAAAGGGAATGTATAATGTGCAAGTGTGGAATTATTCCAGGAGGAATAATTATCATATGAGACAGACTGACTAGTAGTTTATAGGTCAGCATTCCTGACAAATTCAGCAATGATTTGAGAAATGCCAGAGGATGGAAAAACTAAATATTCAGTCTTTAAAGAAAATACATTCTTTTTAAACCAAAGTTGAGTGGAGGAGAGATTAATGAATTTAGAGATACAGTAACTACTGTATTGAAATTACTCAGTGAGTAATGAAAACAACTGTGTTCAGCAATGCAAGATTTTACAGGCAGCGGAAGTCCCTAGTGGGACTAAATTCATAATCAGGCTTAACTCAGCCGTCAAAACACATGTGGGAAGAAACTTAACAACTGTGCTTCTCCTCTCTAATCTTCTTTCTCCTAAGAAGTTTATTCTACTTTTTCTGATACCTAACAAAATTATAATGCTGCCAATCAGAGATGATTCTAGAAAAATTTTTAGCTCTTGCGTAGAATCGTGTTTCTTAGGGTCTTTCTTCCTTCCACCTTTTCAAATCTAACACATAGAATTATCCAATTGACATTTGTTTAGCCCTCTGCTGTGTAAATAAAGACAAATACAAGTTGTGTTATGAAGTTTTTTACAATTTCATTTTCTGAGTTAAAGCTTCTATGTAGGAATCAACAGTAGGCTAGTCAATGATCCTATAGAAACAAGTGTTTTCAGATTGCAGGAGAATGTATTTTTGCGTGACTTATATCTTTTAATCCTTAAAATGATAATAGTAGCTAGTATTTATTGCATGCCTAATGTATGCACTTTTCTGAGATTATTTCATTTAATCTTCCAATAACCCTAGGAAGAGAGACATTATCTCCACTTTGTGGATGCAGAAACTGAGATTTGACGAAGCTAGAGAGAGATCCCTTTTCAAAGTGAGGAAAGTGAGATATGAGACTGTATCTCATAAGTTTACCTGCCTCCCGTTCTAAGCTGTCTTCCACTGGGAGAGACTGATTATCACACAGCTTAAGGCAGAGCAGGGAGTCTGGCCTGAACCAGTCACCATATGCCCTGTCTGTTCACTGACAAGTTCAAAGACTCATCGTTATTTGAATTATGACCTTGAAAGTAAATGTGATCAAAATATTCCCCTAAAGTGTGTCAAACATTCTAATTACTACCAATGAGTACAATAGCTGTCAATTTTCATTTCCTAAATTAATTAGTGCTCTTATGGTTTTCCTTAAATTCAACAAATTGAGGACAAGTAAAAATATTATGTTCAATAGCTGACAAATGGTATATGCTTAATACATCTTAGTTTTGAGGTAGAGCCAATAAAAGTTAAACACCAAATTAAAAGCAGAAGATGGGCTGGGTTCACAGTAACCTGCCTCTGCTATTCTCGTGCAATGTAAAGCTCTCTAAATATTTGCGTAAGTTCAGGTGCAGCTTGACTTCAAATTATCATCTTAGGTTATGCTGGAAAGAAACATGATAAAATCTGGTATTGAGTGAAAAGTGGATCTGGGGGTGCGTTTTGATTCCTATTCACACATCGCAGTGACTCAACTACTGAGAAATATTTTAATCTTATATTCACGCTAACATTTGACCCCAAATGACTTGCCTTTTGTGCTAGACCCAGAAAAAAATGCCCAATAATGGAAAACAAGCATTTGTAATTGGCTAAGTATTCCCTTGAAAGAGATTGTAACAAGTGAAAGTAGGAAATTAGGCGTCTTTTTCTCTCCTTTTTTCTTTTTTTTTAGTATAGATATATTTTTCATAATGTTCAGTTAGTTAAAAAGGACAAAAGTTACAGCAGTAAAAAGGGGCTGCCTCTTGGCATTAGTTTCTTGAGATATGATTTATTTTTAACCACATTGTCTCGGATTTACAGGCACTTGAATATAAGATCTTTCAACATACCGTCTCTGTACTGTTTCCTACATAATAGGCACAAATATGTGTGTCATCGCTTTTGGAATAAAAGCCAGGGGGCTTTTTTTTTTAATCAATCCCCAGAAATGTGCCTTGGGAAAGAAGTCCCTAAATAAAGGCTGAGGAATCCAAACTATTATGGATGCAAAACAATTATGAATAAATTTGTTGTGCTCACACAAAAAAAGGCTGCTGACCTCATCCAACTTGAGAAAGAAAAGACGGCCCACGAGGAGCATTCCTCAAATGATCGTATCGGTTTCATTCAGCGCTTAGTAGGCATTCGACCCCTGAATAAACAAGACAAGCTCGTAAGAATCCTAATAACTCAGTAGGGCAGAAGAAGTTTAGCCAAAGGTTTGTGTGTAGACATTATGCTGTCATAGGTGATTAGCTGGTGAACATTTATTTGAAAAACTTATAGAAAGTCTAGTGTATACTGGGGCTAGTGAAAGAGCTGTGCTTTAAATAAATCTTTCCATTCATTAAAATGTTTTTACACTGGGAACTCTATTCAGAAATGGAAAATTTCTTAATGGATGAATGACTTACAGATTTAACTGACTCTATCTAATGCCGTCATAATGGGACCCATTTAATAAATGTCCCCAGACAAATGGCTTTGTAGGGTTAGACTGGAATATCTGGATTGTAAACGTTACATCAAAGATCTGTTCACTGGAAAATGAGCCACGAGAAAATGAGGTATGATGTTCACATCCCAAGTAGAACTCGGCTTTCAGCATGTGCTAAAATTACTTGGGGTCTTTCATCCTAGCTCCTAATCTGCAGAATGGGGTTCACATTACTATTATACCTCACATTGGTGACCTGAGGATTAAATGCTATAGACGAAATCTTTAGGATAGGGCCTGGCACCTAGTAGGTTTGCAACAAATATTTGCTGCTATTATTGTTGTGATTTGCTAAAATGTTTCTCAACCAAAACATTAAACAGATATCATTATTGTGGAAACAAGCTATTGTTCTATTTCTATCCTCAATACTGTATCACTTTCATTTTGATTTTACTCTTTTCGCCTTTGTATTATATACTCCTACACCTTCAAGAATTCAATTATGAAAGAACTGTACATGTTGCACTCAAATGATATTTATTCTCCATAATACCCATCTTCTGGGCACTGTTCTCAATATTTCCCTATATGTATATTTTTGTTTGTTTGTTTGAGGAAGATTAGCCCTGAGCTAACATCTGCTGCCAATCTTCCTCTTTTTGCTGAGGAAGACTGGCCCTGAGCTCATATCCGTGCCCATCTTCCTCTACTTTATATGTGGGATGCCTACCACACACAACATGGCTTGCCAGGCGGTGCCATGTCCACACCTGGGATTCGAACCGGCGAACCCCCGGCTGCCAAAGTGGAACGTGCGCACTTAACTGCTGCACCACCGGGCTGGCCCCAATATTTCCCTATATTAACTCATTTTATTGTTATAGCTCTTATTATTACACTAGTAAATAGCTACTATTGAAAAGCTACTATTATTATACTAATTTTACAGATTAGGAAACTTGAGACTCCAACACATTAAATAATTTGTTCCTAACGACTTAGCTTGTGAGTGAAGGATTCAAGGATTCCACTCAGACCATCTGGCTCTTTAAAAATGTTTTAATTTTTAAAACCTAATTTTTTAATGATCGTAATTTTGTTGTGTGGTTGTCCTGCCCAGACTCAGATACCATACCCTTTGGGAAACAAACTTTTTTAATCTAGAAAAAAAAGATAGTGAGCCATGCACCTATTTCTTCAAACAACTCAATAGTTGTGTCTAGAAACAAGAAGACATGATGCCTTGACTCATGGATCTGCTTTCAAAATTTAAGGGTTATTTGCAAATAATTGTGCAAAACTCACTTGGGGAAGGATGTTTGCAGCAAGGCACGTTCTTCTTGAGTATAACAAGAGAAAGCCTGACTTGATTCTCTTTCTGTCAGAGAGGGCAGGCTTCTGTGATGCTGCATGCATTGCTAGTGAACTATTTCAGCAGGACTAGCTGCTTGGGCATTCTCCTTTTCAGCAAGGGGACCCTTGATGGGGGCAAGTAGTATTCCTTAGGAGAAAATAAAGCACCAAGAGTTTCTAGCTCTTGCTGAAAACACCACTTGCTGAAGGAAGGTTGCAGATTTAAAATGAAAAGAACTTCCTCCTTCTCCCAGCTCTGTAATTCATGACACTTTTAATATTTGAAAATAATATAGGAAGAAATATAATATTAGAAATGATTGGGTCATGAAGCCAGTGTTAGCCCTTAATCTGTTGTAATGATGTTTCTGTATATTTCAAAATGTGCATTGAGTTATCGCCAACATACATGAGTAGAAGACTATTTATAGCATGATCAATAGCTTAAATAAAAATACACTTGGCGCACATTCTCCCAATACCGTATGTGAATTTGTCATGACATTTAGCACATTGTAAACAGTATTCATGTGCCTGTCTCTCACTCCTTGTAAGATCTTTGATGGCAGGATTCTGGTTTTGTTCATTTCGTATCCTAAAGGTCTAGAGAGTATCTGGCTTGCATTATGCAGTAAAGAAAAATTTGCTGAATGTGTGCATAAATGATTGAAGTCAGAATTAATTCAATAAACATCATGATACCTACTACATGCCACATAATATGATGGAGACACACAGATGAATAAGTGGTTCTCTGTCCCTTGAAGAGCTCACAGTCTAAGGGGGAGATAATAGAAATAATTGTGTGGTGGGGGATGTGCTATGAAAGAGACATATGGAGTGCTGTACAGAAGACGTTGGAGTAAGTCTGATGGGCTGTGCAGGGAAGATTTCAACAGAGGAGCTAAGCTTCTTTAGGCAGAGATGGGAGGGGGAGGTTGTGATAAATAAGGGACTTTGGATGGTGGATGTAGTAACTAGAGACAAAGTCTTAAATCACTGTATGTTTTTAGGAACAAAATTAGTTTGATATTGTTGGAACGACTTTTTTATTTATGTACTGTAATTTTGTGTTATAAATATATTGGTGTTCTCTTATGTGATACATAAAATGAAATCTTTTAATTATAAACACAATGTATCTATACATCTTTTATTGAAGGACAGTTTTCTCTTTGAATTGCAGTTCCAGCTACAGATGTTTGATATCGTTTGTTCCACATCATGGGCCAATGAAGACAAATGCTGTGAACTGCCAGCCCTGGTAAGAATTCTTCTTTCATTATTTGTGGCTGTTCTTTATTGAAATTTTCTGGAGTTGTATTTAATTTTCTCTGAAAATGGAATGCTGTTTTGCAAAATTCATATCAGAGATAATTCATTGTGATGATAATGAAAATTAGAAACAGGTTAAGAAGGAGGTGTGCCTGAAATCAGCAGGACACACCAACATATATGGTGGGAACTGTAGAACTCCAGGGCATGCTGTGGTCCAGATGCCTCCAAATTTCCTGGTTCGTGAAGCCTTTAGTGTTGCAATAATTTTTTCATGGCACCCCTCAGCCAAAAGGAATACCTAATAATTCCATATATAAAGTAATTAGGTCCAAACATCTTAATAAGTATTTATGTCCTAACAACTCAGTAGCCCTGTGAAAAAAGAATACACATAGATTGAAAGAGAAAATGACGTTTTAATTTTATTCTTAAATAACCACAATTACTTACTAATGGCATGTGTGCATGCCTATTGGGAATACCCAGTTTCTCCTATCTTGGAATCTGATTGGACGTCATCATCCTCACTCCTTTTTCCACAATGATGTTTCCCATGGTGCTTGCTTTCCATCGCAGCAACTGCCAAAAAGCAGATTTGCAAATCGATGACATCATCAAAAGAAGTATTTTAAAATCTAATGTTGAAACTGTGAGCTACCTTGAGTTATTTATTCATACAAAGTCCAATGGGTGCCAAATATTGCTGTTTCTCTTTTTAAAACATTCACAGTGCCCCTGTGAGTTTGTTTTGTGCCCCAGGGCATCTTGGCACACAGTTTTGGAATCATAGTCATAATCTATATAACTTATGCAATGCTACTAGAAAACCAAACTTTTCCTGGCTATTAATACCAAGTCTAATTCATGGGGGTATCCCTGTGTATATAACAAATAGGTTCTTATCTTAGGATCCTTAGGACCAGTGAGCTGAAGTGGATGACAGTAGTCATGTCTTCATCATTAGACCTGGAGAATGGGCATGGAGAAAGCTTCATAAGGTCTAAGAGATTTGCTTTTTGAAGATCGTACCCCAGATCACATCATCTATTGCAGGCAGTAGATTCATGGTGACTCTGTTTGAGAAGGAAATAACTTACTCTTTCTTCATCAAAATAAATTTCAAAGTAAACTCTGGTGAGGAATCAAATGAGTGACACTGTGCTGTTATGCTGAAGTGCAGGTGGATTGGAAATAGGAAGGGGAAACACTCAGAATCCTGTGCTGTATCAAGCAAAAGGTGATCATTGCTCCTAGGAAGGACCCAGACCTTCTCAGAGATTTTCTTTTCATTCCTGTCACTGAAAATGTGTAAATTCCATGATAGGAAGACATGAATGGAGACACAGTCGACATCAATGGCCAAACCATTATTGAGTCTCTGGTCACAGGAGATCTACTGTCAGCCTTATTTGGGGGATCTTTCAGGGTACTGAAGTTTGAATTTCACTCTAGCTGCCCAGATATCAGGCCAGATATGTTAGCGGGGAAGTTTCCTGTAATGAGCTGAAAGCTTTGACTATTGTCCAACATTTAGAGAAAAGCATGTGCAGTAGCTTACAGGCCCTTTGCTCAGCATTTTTGCAGTTTCTTTTGTGAATATTTTAGACACTGAGATTATTTTCAACTTGATAATTTAATTATCATCTGTGCTCCATCTGCTCTAATCTTACTTTCCCCCAAAGTCTTAAATAAAGAAGCTCATTTTCTCTCTATCCTAAGGGACCGATGAACTCTATGAAGTTCTACAGTCTCTCATCCCAGTGCAGACTTCTTTTTGGCCCCTGCTCTGAATATGGTATTCGCAGATTGCTCACTAGCTGTTAGCGGGTACTCTGCTTTCCTCTACACCCAGCAACTCATTCAGATATACGCAGCCTGACATTCATAATCTATCTTGTAGTGTCACATGACAACAGAATTCCCCAAGAGAAGAAAAATGACCTCCTATCCCAAAGCTTTAGATTGATGCTGTGATGTTTCTTTTATTTTCACCCACAGAATGTGAGCAGTAGTTAAAATTGCTACAGGAAATTAATGATGTCTTCAAGCACTGCTTTTATTTTGTTTTGTTTGCTTTATTATAGATGAGATTGTTTCGATCGACTTTTCCGGTGTTTTCGTTTATCGTTTGAAATGGAAAAAATATAGTAACACAAAGAAAGTTTTCAGGACCTTTAGTTCATAGAGTACCACTACTTCACCTGAATTAAGTAGTACCCAGGATTCCTTTGCAGCCTCTTCTGCCTTACTTTCTTAACCTATATTCCCAAGCTGGTTTTATCAAAGTCCTTTGGTAATGATTATTATCAATGGCTCACTAGACACCCATTCATTTTTCTTTAAAGAAAAGATTTTGTGGTCAGGAGAGAACAATCTCTTCCTTTCTTGACTAATACTCACTTAAATTTTTTTTTAAATGTCTTAAATCAAAGTGTTTTCTTTAAGTCCATAAAGCCATTTGTATAGACTATCTTGTTAACAGTTATGCTATTTTTTTTCTCCCCAGAGGGACGAGGAGACCTGCCCAGAGCTTCCACATTCCTGCTCTTGTTCTGAAATCAGTAAAGGGCCTCTGGGACCAGCAGGCCCACCAGTAAGTCTTGCCTAGTCTGGGCTTAAATGTTCTTTAATAATATTTATAGCTATCCCTTGTTGCTTGTCTAATATGTGCTCACCACTGTGCTAAATACTTACTCGCTTAACCCTATGAGCAAACTGAAGCACAGAGATGTTAAGTAACTTGCCTAAAGAACACAGCTTGGAGGAGCTGCTCTTCAAATCCAGGTCTCCGTGACTCCTAGAGATGGTGCTCTTAACCACTATGCCATACTAGCTCTCATATTCAAAATCTTGCTTTTAAACTCCTGAGGTTTATCTTCAGTGTGACTGTTTCAAACACTAGCCTTCTACTTGCACCTGTAAGATTTGCACACCCTCCCTTTGCCCATTCTGTATCAAAATTTACATGTGAAGGGAGGATTTCGAATTCACCAGGAAAAGTACCCCATCTGAGCATGAAGTTCTCCACTACTGACTGGAACTTCCTAGAGAAAAGAAGAGAGAGAGAGAGGAAGGAAGGGAGGGAGGGAGAGAGAGAGGAAGGGAAGGCGGAAGAGAAAGAAAACATTTTTGTAAAATATAAAATGTATATAATTGCACTATCTGGTTCTTTGAATTTACCATGATAAATCCTCTTTAACAGGTTTAAATGCTCATTTTTATGTCTAACCTGCTTAACTGGGGTTATTAGTGTTCCTTTAAGGTAAATATGATATAGCTGGTCTGTGGTTAGAAAATGGCAAATATATCAAGGCAGAAAGGCAAAGAAAACAGGGAGAAGATGCAGGAGCACATAAAGAAATCCACTCTTTGCAAGAGGAATATTCTGATGCCCAACTGGTCCTTGCACGTTGGCTTTCCAGAGGCAGCCAGGCCCAGTCAGCACGCGTGCAGTAGCTTACCCACGCTGACAGCTGGCTTGCAATGTCAAAGTTCACTCCAGGTTGGCCCTACCAACATGATTTTTCGTCATTTCACATTTCCTGATCTGAACAAAAAAGTGAACCTGCTGCATGTATCTGAAATATGTCCCAGCAGTTTCTCCTTTATCTTTGGCACATAGAACATTCTTTAAGCTCTGTATATAGAACCCAAATACTTTTTCTTTTTCTTTTTTATTTTAACAAGACTCTTTATCCTAAAGGAGCAGATGTAGAGTAACGGTAAAAGCATTAAATTTAAATAGTTAGACTAGGCACGTCCTGGAACCACTGTGTGAACCTCCACGTCCTCATATGTAAAATAGCACCCACCCCTGTGACTAGCATTGTGAGAAACACATGACATAATATGTATAAAAGTATTCTGTGCATTATAAAACTTCATTCAAATGTAAGGAGTTGCCTTTAGTGTAATTGGGGAATTGAAAACAAAGAATTATTTTCAACCGTGTGCAGCTTGCTTTTTTCACCCAAAAGTATGTCTTTGAACTTTATCAAGGTTCAATGTACATTGTTTAGTTTATTCATTGTACCTGCTGTAAGGTATTCTATTATATAACCTACAGTTTCTTGACTCATTACTATGGAGTATTTCCCTATTTCAGATATTGCTACAGTCAACATCCTTTGTATGTCTCTTGGCTCTAGAAATAACACTTAGATTTGTTGGAGAGTAAGGAAGTTACATCTTCAATTGCATGAGCACCGCAAGTTGCCCTTCAAGATGGTTGTCCCAATATACTCTCCCACAAACTGCAAGTAGGAGGTCTGGTTTCCTGGCATCTCACCAGCACTGTTGGGTGTTGCTTATCTGATGACTCTGAAATCCTATGTCATTGTTATTTTAAATATGACTTTCCCTCTCTGCTAATGAGATTGAGCCGTTTTTCATTTGTTTCCGAGCCATTTGGATTTCTCCTTATGTAAACACCTGTTTATAAACTGTGTTGGCTTTTTGTTGTGTGGGTTTTTTTCCCCGTTGATTTGTAGGTGGTTTTATCTATTCTGGACACTAATCCTTTATTAATGATATGGCTCGCAAATATCTTTTCCTAGTCTGTGGCTTCTTATTGTTGTTTACGGGAGCTGATATTGTCTAGAAATTTTAATTCTAATATAGTTAAATCTAATATTTCTGTGAGCTATCATCTCATATTTTTCTTTACCCTTCTTTTAGCTGTGATTTACTTAGAAGTATCTTTTTATTTTTATTTAAAAAAATTTTTTTATTGAGATATAGTTGACATACATTATATTAGTTTCAGGTGTACAACATAATGATTCAGTATTTGTATATATAGCAAAACTATGAGCACAATAAGTCTAGTTAACATCAGTCACCATATATAGTTACAGAATTCTTTTTCTTGTGATGAGAACTTTTAAGATTTACCCTGTTAGCAACTTTCAAATATGCAACAATGTTATTAACTATAGTCGTTATGTGACTACGTATATTACATACATGCAACTATGTATTTGACTGACTTATTCTGTAGCTGGAAGTTTGTGCCTTTTGACTCCCTTCACAATTTTGCTCACCCCTGACCTCCTGCCTCTGACAACCATCAATCTGTTCTCTGTATCTATGAGCTTGCTTTTGTTGTGGTGGTGGTATTTTTTCAGAGTCCGTGAGATCATACAGTATTTGTCTTTCTCTGTCTGACTTATTTCACTTAGCATAATGCCCTCAAGGTCCATCCATGTTGTTGCAAATGGCAAGATTTCACTCGTTTTTTGTGGCTGAATAATATTCCATCGTATATATACACCACATTTTCTTCATCCATTCAGTCTTCGCTGGACCCTCATGTTGTTTCTATATCGTGGCTATTGTAAATAATGCTGCAGTGAGCACAGCGTGCGTTTATCTTTTTGAGTTAGTGTTTTCATTTTCTTCAGATAAATACCCATAAGTGAAATTGCTGGATTGTACAGCAGTTCTATTTTTAATTTTTTGAGGAAGCTCCATACTGTTTTCCACAGTCGCTGCACCAATTTACCTTCCTACCGAAAGCGCACAAGCGTTCCCTTTTCTCCATAGAAGTGTCTTTAAATTTCTAATCATATGTGCGATATTTGTTATCTTTTCCTTATTGACGTATTAGTTTTATTGCACTTGGTCACGGCAGACAGTCTGTACAGTACCAATTCTATGACATGTGTTGATATTGGCTTTGTGGCCTTTTGTTAAGTTTTACAGATGTTCCATGTATGCTTTAGAAGAATTTGTGTTCTTTAACTGTGGAGTTCAGAATCCTGTATATAAATAATCAGTAAAGTAAATCATTAATTGTATTGTTAAAATCTTCTTTATCTGTGCTAGTTCTTTGTCTTTCAATTACAGAGATAGATGTTTAAAATCTTCTACTCCAATTGTCAGTTTCTCAATTTCTCTTTGTAATTCTGTGTTATATGTCCTGAGATTGTATTACAATGTGCAAAAAAAAAAAACAAAAAACACAGCAATTATCTTACTAGTGACTTGCTATGTCAATATTTCTCTTTTGGATTATTTTCTTAGTATGTATTTTCTTCATCCTTTAGTTTAAGCCTTTCTATGTCTTATATTTTAGATGTGTCTCTTTAAATAGCATATGTCTGGATTTTATTTTTCGTCCGGCTTTAAAAGCTTTCTTTTTAGAGTTTAGTCCTTTCTATTGTTTGTAATAATTGACCCATTTGGGTTTATATTTCTATATCCATCACCTTAATTTTTGTTTTCTATTTTCCCACATAGTGTATATGTGGCTTTCTTAGTTGATTGAGGTTTTATTTGTTTATTTACACTTTTTGCCTTTTTGCTTTTATTCTCAGTCTTTTCCTTTCCTCTCCACTAGTTTGGAAATTGTAGTCTCTATATTTTTTCTTTTAAGAGTTAACTTAGAAATTTTAGGAGACATATTTAGTTTGACAAAATCTAAAAAGAACCAAGATTTCTTCCCTTCTTTCAACCAACGTGGTATTCTTGGAGTTCATTTCTCTTGGATCATCCTTTTTATAATTTATGTGCTGTTTCTTTCCAGTATTTTAGTACTTTTTTAATATCACAAATTAAACTGATAAGAACAGATACTACAGTTGATGTTAGCCAAATGGCCGAGAAGCAATAATAATGTCACAAATTAGATATTTTATTATTATCACTTGTTATAAATTAATATGTGTTAAGACTTGCCTACACATTTGCTGTTTCTTTGCTCATGATGTCTTCTGGTATGATTTTATTTTTCCTAAAGCCATCCGTTAGATGTTCCTTTAATGGGAAACTATTGGTAGTAAATTTTTAATTTTTGTTCATCTGAAAATGAAAATTTCCTATGTTATCAAAAGATAATTTTGATGGTCGTTACAGAGATTGCTGATTGTCCTCCGCATTCATTGTCACTGCTTCTTTTTAACAATAGAATCCCCTGAATGTTAGCCAAGTACATGGCCATTCATCTAGGGACTTGATGTCTTAGCATCTATGCAAGTAACTATGACCTTATGACTAAGTCCCAGCTAATGAGAGAGAGGGTGTATGCAGGCTCCCTGGCTGTTCTTCTTAAATGAAAACTAAATGCCCTCCTTAACCATTTTCACCCTTCTCAACAGGCTAGACTGGGAACATGTGGTAGTGAATTCACTTTGATGAACAATATCCCAGGGCATAGCAGAACAATAAGTAGAAGCAACTGAGAGTTCACACTGCCTTACATGGTACAGCTACTCCACCACTTTGGATCAGCCTCCAGATCAGATTTTAATATAAGACAATAGTAAACCTTCTATCTTGCCTAAAACCTTTAATATTGATCTCAGATAAGCAGTCACACAACTTTCCAAACTAATAAACTGTGTATACAATTCTAGATGAGCAGTTATTTCTCTGAGCACTTTGTAGATGCTGTCACACTGTTTTGTAGCTTCCATTGTTGCTATTGAAAAGTCAGCTGTCAGTCTAATTAATTGTTGTTCTGTGGGAACTCTTTCCTCCCTGGATGCTTTCAAGATCCCTTTGTCTTTAGTGATCTCAAGTTTCACTGCAATATGTCTCTGTGTGGATTGTTTTTGTTGTTGTTGCTTTGCCTTTTTGGAAATCTTTGGGCTTAATGAATTTGAATCATTCATTGGTAGATATGTATGCTGTATATATATGATGCACATATATAATTCATATACAAAGAATTATACATTGGCATAATGTTTCTCATTGAATTTATAGTATTCTCAGTCATTATCTCTTTGAATATTACCTCTCTCCTATCACCTCTATTATGTTTTTATGAAATTCCAGTTAGTAGTAGTGGTACACTATAACTTCTAATTTTATTTTCATATCTCTTAACCTCTCATTTTATTTTCTACTTGTCTCTCCAGGCTTCATTCTATGTAATTTCTTCAAATATATCTTTTGGTGTACTCTATAGTTGGCCATGTTTAATATGCTATTTAACTTATGCATTTTGTTTCTGTTTTTGATTATTATATGTAGCAGATCTAGAAGTTATTTTTGGTTCCTTTTTAAACTTTCTGGTCATTTATATAGGCTCTTCTTTTGTAACATTTTCAAAACTATTTTTTCTTTAAATATGTTCAATATAGTTTATATTCTTTATCTGATAATTTCAATATCTGCAGTGTATGTGCTTCTGATGCTGCCGTTTGTTTTTCTGCTGGTTTTACTCATGCTACTTGTTTCCACGTGTATTTCGTGATTTTTTTTTAGTGTCTATTTGAGTTCCTATTACTTGAAACATTATCTCTGGGAATATTTCGAGCCTGTGTTTGAACTCTATTCCTCCAGAGAATATCTGTTCGGCTCTTGCTAAGCTTCTGGGTGTACAACCAACCGAGAACCACCTTAAGGGTTTGACTTTGGAGTGTTCTTTGATCTTCACAAGCAGTGTGAATTCTGGTCCCTTGATTGTATGAGAATCAGCTTCCATGGAATATTTCTTGGCAGGGATATTTCCTACTCCCATAGCTAAAGTGGAAACAACATCTTGGTCATCCACCTGCTAGTGGGTCTTTTTTTTCCCTAGCTCATTCAGAGTACAGCCTTTCAAGTTCCTCAGCTTTAAAGAATGTTTCATATTCTACCCTCCCCCCATCTATCATAGGTCCAAGTTCACATTTTGTTGCCTTGTGTGCCTGTAAAATACAAGCTTTGCAGCCAACCTCAGCCATCTTCCCCATCCTCCCCGGGGGCAGCCTCCGTGCAGATGCCTGCTGCTCTGGTTTTTTTGCTTCGTCTTCATTCCTGGTACTTAAGGATTCAGTTCTTAATTACAATAATGTTCTTTTAGTTTAAACAGCGTTAATAAGCTTATTTAGCTGGAGGGTTTTCAAGTTTTTTCATCTGCAATACTGTTGGAACAAGTTATAAAATATTTACATATGACCTAAGAGTCAAACTTTGTAATGAGTAAAAAGCAACAGAGAAGGGTTGATCTCTGACTTGGAGGAAAAGGTGATGTAAAATAGAAAAACGATTGAAGTTTTCAAATATTTAAAGTATAATAAACTATTTAAGAAGTAATGTCCCCAAAATATGTAACAAACACTATCTGATGATTTCTCATAGTCGTGATTATTTTTTCGTTCAAGAATTTACACATTAGTATTATGTGCCAATAACACTATAAAAGAGCTATAGGGAAACGTGGGTAAAATAACCATATTCCCTTTTCCTAGCCTTAACCCTTTCTTATTAAAAGGATGAAATTTTACATCCACAAAAACTTGTTGAATTCTTGTCATGTACTCAGTGATGAGGGTTTGGGATTAGGTGGAAAATAACATAGAAGTATAAAATGGTCCCTGGTTTTTAGGCATGGTGCCTGTAGCATGAATATCTGTGAGTCAACTAGTCACATTTGAACAAAACTTTCCATTAAAAATCAATCATTTAAGATGCACAAACAAAATTAAAGAGTTGTGCCAGACTGGGTATGTTAATTAGGTTGCATTGGGCTTGCTGCAAGGAACAGAAAATTTGGCTAGTAAAGTGGTGCAAACCATTAGGACATTTGGACCTTCCTTGTTTGCTCAACCAAAGATTTAGGGGTAGATGGTCCCAAGGCAAAGGAGGCTGCTCAACAACCCCTCCAGGACACAGATTGTTCCAGCTTCCCAGTTTGCTGTCCTTAGTCTTGTTGCTTCTTGATCAAATTGGCCCAAACTGGTTAACATGCCCATTCCTGGTTGTGAAGCAGGCTGGGCAAGTAAATTTCTGTCTTTTTGAGCCTTTCTAGTGGGAGATATAAAATGGAGAAGGCAGTCAGGGAAGACTCTTTGGCAGCCAACCAACAATGTCTGGCAGACTGGAGGAAAATATTAGCATCCTTTATAATAGTTAAAGGTGTAGTACCCAAATATATGAAGAATTTCTGCACATCGAAGAGAAAAATACATCCAACCCAATAGAAAACTGAGTAAAGTATACATAAGTAACTGCAATGAGACAAAATGCTAATGGACAAACTTATGAAAAGAAGTTCAATATAGTAGTTTTCAGGGAAGTTAAAGTTAAAATAAGACTAAGGTATTATTTTTACCAGTCACAGTAAAAATGTGAAGTTTGACAATATCAAGTGTTGACTAAGGTTTAGAGAAACAGGGACCTTCTTAAACTCTTGGCAGATGAGTAAACTGGCGTGGCTTTTCTGGAGTGCAATATGACAATATATCTGTATTTGTATCAAATTTCAGTTATAGTTCTATTTGTTGATATCTTAAATATTAACATTTTCACTTAAATGTTAACATTTGTACTTAAGGGATATTTAAAGATATTAATTGCAGTATTGTTTAAACAGCAAAAAATTATGGGGAAATCCTCTACATTTCCAATAACAGTCAAATGGTTAAACAAACTATTATATATCCATAGTTTGAACAACTATGCAACTCATTAAGAATAAGTTAGATCCATATGTTATATCATGAAAAATTCTCTAAAACATATTAAATTAAAAAGCTCAGAACTATATAAAAAGTGTGAAGGCCAGCCCCAGTGGCCTAGTGATTAAGTTCCACACACCCCACTTCGGCGGCCCGGGTTCAGTTCCTGGGCGTGAACCTATACCACTAGAGCCGTCAGTGACCATGCTGTGGTGGCGGCTCACATGCACAAAGAGGAAGATGTTAGCTCAGGGCGAATCATCTTCAGCAAAAAGAAAAAAAAAGTGTGATATCAATATGCAGTCTGTATATATCAAATAATACCACAAAAAGTCTGTAGGTAATTTTTTTTATAGATACACATAACACATGCATAAAATACAATTTTATAATTATATTTTAAAAATCTGGAAGGTAAGCAACCAACTGATATTGGGGCAGGGAGTGAATTTAAGTGGCTAAAAAAAACTGGAAGAAACCTGATGACCTGACCCAGTCTTTTCCAGGGATGCAATCTGATGCTACACAAAGTGATTGTGAGTAGTCATGGACATGACAGGGCATACACTGGAATCGCACAGTGAGAAAGCTGTTCCGTTTCAATGATCTTTTAATCCTTCTGCTCAGGTAGAAGAGAGATTCTCAGTTTGGTACCCATGTAGCCTAATACTTATTTCTCTCTCTCTCTCTCTTTTTTTGTTTTTTGGTGAGGAAGATTGGCCCTGAGGTAGCGTCTGTGCCAATCTTCTCTTTTTCCTTGAGGAAGATTGTCCCTGAGCTAACATCTGTGCCAATCTTCCTCTGTTTTGTATGTAGGATGCCACCACAGCATGGCTTGATGAGCAGTGCATAGGTCCATGCCTGGGATCCAAACCCATGAACCCTGGGGTGCCAAAGTGGAGCATGCAAGCTTAACCACTACACCACTGGGCCAGCCCCTGTTTATCTCTCTTTTTAACAAAGCGTAAACCCACAGCTCACAGACTTCAATAGGGAGAAAATCTAGCTAAATTTAATAACATTTATAGTATATTTTTAAGGTTACCTTTTATTCTTAGTAAGTAATATGTTTTCCCATTTACTGTAGTGCTGTAATATTTGCTTTTCAAAAATATATTCATTTAAGTAAAATAATTTGTCAATTAAAAACTATTCACAGGGCCTATATGCCCCTAAATACAAAGAATATATGTTTGCAAAGAAAACATATACACTTTTATATGTTTATTATGTGTGTACATATATTTCTGTATAAAGAAAAATCGTGTGAAGTGATAATGCAGGTGGTGCAGTAATCTGGCAAAAATCTTGAGGGGAAATGCAAATAACTGAAGTTTCAGAAACACTAATCTAATTAGCTTTTTAGGGTGTAAATAAAGAACATTAAATTCTTACTATTTTCTTATGTTTTTTACCATTTAAATAATTTAATCTCAAGGTTGTGGTGTAAGACATACACAATTTTAGGTTAACAGTATTTTATCATTTGCATCCATTAATAACAATAGTCCTACATCACTAAAAAAAAAAATCTTGTAATTTTTTCTTTTAATTGAAAAGGATTTGGCATAGAAAGTTTGCTCAAACTATGAGATCATCAGCAGGGAGAGGTGAGTCTGGGCGGCAGATTTCCAATTAAGGATCATGATGAGTGTATATCATTACGCAATGTGTTGGCCTTGATACAAAATAAAAATTACATAATCCATATTCTTAAAGAAAATAGATGCAGTATACGGCTTTAAGATGTCTTTGTGCTAATACTTAACATCTGTTTGCCAGGGTGGTCCAGGACTCCGAGGACCAAAGGGTCAACGAGGTGAACAGGGCCCAAAGGTAATGTTCTCTCTCTCTCTCTCTTTCTCACGCACACACACACAAACAACTAGACATAGTATAATTTGGAGTTAAGTACTATTTACCTTTGCAATATAAAGCTCCTTACATTTTTATGAAAATTGTGTCTAAGCTTTTTCCCTTATTCTTAAAGACTTGTACTTTTTCATCAAAAAAATATTTAGTAACTTAGTGAAAAGAAAGGTTTCTGGGTCAGAAATAGAGTGTCAATGACCTGGGTGGTTTAGTTTCCAAGGTATTTCTCTCTCCCTTGTACATTCTTCTCTTTCTCCATCTACAACGAAGATGCATCTTTGATGGAGCACTGGTTCACAACTAGGCAGCAGTCCCTCCCAGGTCATTTCGCAGGTTTTAGATTCTTCTTTTTCCCTTCCCACTGTGTATAATCTAACACACAGCTCTATTTTTCCATTCTCACTATCCAAGGCCACCAAGTGTGGTGGTTCAAGTTGTACACTGTACAAAGGCACCAACCAAGAGAACCAAGCCATGCCACGTCATGTCAAAGCACATGTTTTCCTACTTTGCATGAAAGCGCCTTAAGGGCTGGCAGAAGCTCAGCCACTAATTGAGTTCAGGCCTCACCATCTTCTATCTGATTTTTGGCAAATCTTCTAACTGGTCTCTTGGCTCCAGTGGCTTGATTTTCTCATTAGTTCTTCACATCTGCCCCCAGATTCATTGCTTTAAAGTTATGCTGGGTCATATTATACTCTTAAAATCTGCAATCATATGCTATTGCCTTGAGAATACAACTTACCTTCCTTGACTCCTTGTCTCATTTTTACCATGTTGCGCCACATGGTCTCCTCTCCGTCCATCTTGCTTGACTTACTGCCTCAATGTGGTTACTTGTTAAATCTGCATAGTATTTATTCATAGAGAAGAGAACATTGCAAGGTTTCTTACTATCAAATTGGAAACAAGCAAAGCCATGTAGGACAGAATGTGGGGGAGAAAAAGAAGTAAATGAAAGAAGGCTGAAGATAATTAATCAAGTACTAGTAGCCAACTCAAAATTCAAACCAGAAGATATTGCCTTTTTTGTTTGTTTTATTTTCTGAGATTGTGACGCATTTTCTCAGGCAGAAACTTGATGTGTCTTACTTGGCTCCATCTCTTATGTGCAAAAGGAAGGCCAGTGGTTTGAAAGCCTCTTCTCAGACAATGATACACTGGGTCTTCCTGACCTCCTGAGCTCCCACAGATTCTGGCTCCCTCCTCCCAATGCCTCTAATACCATTGTCCCATTGCTTTTCTAACGTTCTCACTGGATGATGGTTCTGGTCATGAAGACATAGTAGGAGTTCATAGATGTTTGATATTCTCAAGATCATCCCTTCCCTCTAATTATCCGTTCCCATCGGATCACTACTGATGTGGTAATTTCTGTGTGATGATTTTGATGAATCACAGATACAAGTATGTAGTGGTTTGAGGAAAAAGTCTTGTTGGACAAAGGATACTCATACATCCACCAGTGTGGTGAGTGTAAGAACAGATAAACTATACTTTCCAAATGGAAAACTCCAATATGTATTATTTCTTATTTCGTGGCTTCGTATTTCAGTGGCAGCAAATAGGTAGTAAGAATTTAGAAGTTTGAAGCAGCCCTGTTGCTGGTCTCTTCTAGTCATTTTTGTCTCATACTTCACGGAATAAAATGGGATCACCTCCTTTCTGCTCTTCTATTCCATTCTCAATTCCTCGATAGTATACGAATGATGTGTTGTTAAACTATTATAAATATTAAGTAATATTTTTAAATCACTTCCGTGTCTTTCCCATCACATTTTTAAAAAAATCTGGCTACTTCTCTCTCCCCTCTTCTTATGTCATGTTTCTTGTAAGAATCGTTTTCATTTAGTTCTTCTGCATCCTCACCTGCAAAATAATAATTTTTTTGTTTGGTATATAAATGTTCTTAGCACCTTTGTTCACAATGGCAAAAAACTGGAAGCAGCCAAAATGTCCGTTAACAGGTGAATAAACAATTTTCTGTATATCCGTGCAATGCAATACTACTCAGCAGTCAAACATGCAAATTACTGAAACATGCAACAAAATGGGTGAACCTCAAAGACTCTGCTGGTGAGAGTGCACAGTGTAAAATTGCTCCTGTTAGAGTCACCAGTTACCTTGTTACCAAGTCCACGGGCTGTGGTTTAATTCTTATCTTACTTGACATCTCTGCAGGATTTGAAATGATTGGACTCCCATTTGAAATTTTCTCCTCTTTTGGCCTTTCCTACACCGCTATACCCCTCTATCTTCATTTTCTTCCTAATTCTTAGGCTTTTTAATTTCAGCTTCTTTCCTAGGCTTCTCTTCCTCTCCCTTCTACCTGATTTTCGACTCATCTTTATCCATTTCCTCTTTAATTCTATCAACAGTCTCCTTAATAACCTTACCCACAAACACATCTTCAGTTACTCCAAAATCCGTCCCAGCTCAGACCTCTCCTAACCCCCAGACTACCATTTCCACCTGGTTATCCCCATCCACGTAAAACTTATCAGGCCGCACTCATTATTTACCCCTACTTTACATCATTTTGCTTTTTCTAGTGTGTTGCTTGTCCTGAGTAATGGATTCATCAATCTCACATCTGATGAGGTGGTACCCAGGTGTTGGAAGCCTTAACTTATAGAATAGCTTTCACTGGAGTCACAGAAGGAGAGAAGGGAAAGAAGAAGAGGTTGAGGACAAGTACGTTTTCTAGGTCTAATGTTACAGAACTGGTGTAGCTTTAGCTCAACCACGAGGTCCAAACTATAGAAGTAAGAGTTGCTAAAGTGAAAAGAATGCCTGATCCTGGGAAGAAAAGCAATCAAATAATGTTGAGCCTAGGGTAGGTCATTCAGTGGACATTGAGGAAGCATAGGGTGATGGCAGGAGCAAGGTGAGGTAGAAAGCAGAGGCCAGGTGCAAAGTCTTCTGTAAACGCAGAGGAGTGCCCCAGAGGTAGGGAGTTGACAACAGTGAAGGTGGAGGGAATGTAGTTCAGCTGGTTGGTGTGAACCTTTACAGACCAGGAGGGTGGTCTTGAATCGCTGATATCTTTTGGATTTGTTATGGAGTGTGGGGGGTCTAGTTACTCACATAGTTGGCATGGTATTCGTATTTATGGAATAAAAAAAATTGCATCAACCCGTGTGTGTTTACTCTTTTGGTTTACTGATGACATTTTGCCTGGGAGGTGAATCAGCTGAGGCTTGATATTTTGTTATCCTATGCGTGTTTCATGTCTTAGGAAAAATTATTTAAGGAAATAAATTATAAGTGCCCTAAGCAGAAATATCTCTTGGGTACCAGAGCGTCTATCTCTGGGATGACTTTCGTCTCTTGCCTTACAGGGACCAGATGGCCCTCGAGGTGAAACAGGCCCTCCAGGACCTCAGGGTCCCCCTGGACCCCAAGGACCAAGTGGTCTTTCCATTCAAGGAATGCCTGTAAGTTGTGTGTAAACATTCAGATGAATTTTATTGTTATCACTTCTCCATGAGTATATAAAGAATGAACTTCTGTCTCCTGCGCTTTAATAATGAGCCTTAGTCCCTCCCAGCCCCTAAAAATAAAAATTGAGAAATAAAAGTAATGAGTGAGAGTTCGTTCATTAGCCAATTTTTTTGTTCAATGGTGGAGGTCTTTTATAAACAGATACATGCCTCGGAGTAGGTATATCCACCATTTGTCTATAGAAAAGAAAACAGGGTTTGACATATAGGGCCTTTTTTCTTGTTTCACTACGTCCTCAACGGATGTGTAAGAATCTAGAAAATAACAAATGTTATACAAAGATAAGTTATTCATTATGGGTTTGTAGTAATTGTGGATGTAGATTCATGAAAGTCATTTATTTATGATCTTTATCTCAATGGCTATCAAAGTGCATTGCACTGAGTATGAGTTTTAGATTATAAACAGTATACTTTATACAACCGCATTTCTTTGTAAAAGCTGTTCCAACCGTTGAAAACAAATTTAATGCCACTCACTGATCTTCATTAATCTTACTGTAGGGATCTCGATTTAAAGGATAAAACCCATCTCTGTGATTAACATTTGAAGCAAACAGATCCTTTTAAACACATTTTTAGCAATCTTTGTGTACATATGATTGTGTCTCTGTAGCTAAGATGTTTTCCTTTTCAGAGTTATTTTCACATTTTAGAAAGCCTTAACATGCCAGTTCGTACAATTACTGCTACTAATAAGCATTTGTTGAGGTCTTGCTACTGGCCAGGTACTGTGTTTGGTTTTCCATTCTTATAAATTTCTAGCTAAAACAAAACAAAAAGCTATATAGATAGAATCTTTAAAATCTAAAGTATAAATAATACTGAAATATTCAAGACTCATATCCACATATTTACAGTATGGGCTTAGCCATATCAGACTGTATATTCTGTGTTTAAACTCTCATGATATATAAACATTCAACTCCATGGGAAAGCTTACGTAAGTGGTGTAGCATATGCGAGAAGTGAAATATACCATATTTGGATGTTAGCGTGAAAGCAATTTAATGTTGACGATAGAACAGTCAGTGGAGAAAAAGAAAAGCCTAAGAATTTACCTACGTGAATTTAACCCTGTGTACTTTTGAATATACAGGGAATGCCGGGTGAAAAAGGAGAGAAAGGAGAGACCGGCCTTCCTGGCCCACAGGTATTATTATTATTATTATTATTATTATTTCTGTTAGAGTCCATTAGAATTGGAGTTAACTGTTAGAGTTAGAGTTAACGAACTGTTAACTCTGTTAGAGTTAACTAGTCTAGAGCTTTGCCAAGGGGATAAAAAAGGCTGTAGCTTCTGAAGTCAGCTATGATCTTGGCAATAAGTGGTTTCTATATTAAAGACTGTTAGCCTGTATTCACTTACCTTAAGCCCCCTTTGAGGGTCATACTGGTGGTCCCCTGGGTGAGCTTTGGCGGGAGGACGTCTCTTTCCTATGAATAACTTCTGCGTCTAAATTCTCAGTCACAAAGGTGGCTTTTACACTATTAGCCTTGTTTGGTGACCTTGATCTATTTCAGGGAAGCTGAGTGAGAGTGTTATGGATTTCCATGAATCTGAATTTTTTCTGTCCTTTCTATGTCTAGGGTATCCCGGGGGCTGTTGGTTCACCAGGACGTGATGGCTCTCCAGGCCAGCGGGTAAGGATTTGCCCAAGGTTAGTTGTTAGCACAGTAGATTCCTCACCAAGTCACTCTGCTCCTGGCCCGTTCGTGTGCAAGGAAGTCAAACCAGGTGTTGTTGGTTTTTTTTTTCTTTTTTCCTCTTGTCTATCTGCATTCTACCTTTCCTGCATCTATTTCCTTTCACTGACATTTTCTATGTTCATTAGTTTCATCAAAACCTGGGAACTTTCATCAAACCTTCCCAAGTTAGCAACACCTCTTTCTGAACATTCCTAGAAGCTGAATACAGTTTGCACTGAATTGTGTGCATCAGTTTAGCAGATTTTCTAGTTTTTTCAAATCCTCAAGGCACAAACCTAAAGGAAATCAAGAATCATTTGGATTGAAATTTAAGTATTATCACTATCTGCAATATTCTCCATTTACTTAATATATGTCAATTACCTACTCTTTTAACCTGTTCAAGTGGACAGCAGTGAAAGAAATTAGAAGGATGGTTAGGAGAGGAAGGAGTTAGCATTTAGTGTTTGTTTGGTCGACATGTCTTCACTGGGCCAGATTTGAGGTCCTTGTTGCCAAAGATTTTATAGCTTAATGGGCGGAAATATAATCAAATAAGAAACAATAATATACGCTGTAATGGGGGCGGTATTCACAGAGCTCTATGGGAGTACAAAGGACAGATAACTAAGCTAGGCCTGGGGGGTTTGGGAAAGTTTCCAAGAGGAGGCACCATCGAGGCTGAGTCTCAAATGAGAGGTAGAAATTAGCCAGCTGCATGAGGAAGGAAAGCTATTGCAAGCAGAGAGAATGGCATATACAAAGGAGTGGAGATGAAGAGAAGGTGGGGCATTTCCAATATTGCACATAGTTCTGTATGGCTGCATATTAGAGTGCAGTGTGTATGTGTGTGGGCACATGCATACATGTATGTGCACACATGTATGCACACACTTAGATGTGGGAAAATTTTCAAGAAGTGAACCTGGAGAGAGACACACAAATTCTCCTGAATCATCTATTTTTTTTAGGCTAGGCATTTTGAGCTTTAACAAGAAGGCAATAGAAAGTCATTAAATTTTCAGCGAGGGTGAGAGAGGCTGGTCTTTCTTAAACTGTCACTGATTTAGACATATGGGCAGCTCCTCAATTTCTCTGAAGACTGAATTGTATGGAGTGGCAACCACTTAGGTCCAATCCAGAGAAGGACAACACGTTTGGCATGCACTGATTATTTTTGGTACAACTTACCCTCTAGGTTAGCCAACAATTGGCTGAAAGGCTCACTTCTCTACTCAAACAAGGCCTGCCTTTAGCTCAGGGTGGCCACACCACTCAAGAATAAGGAAATTGTCTTTTCCATAGAGGTGTAGGTGTGGGACCTTAAATTCTTTCCACGTTCTTTTTTTTTTTACGCCAAACTTTTATTTGCTTAAAATCACTGTTTAGTCTCTGTCCATCAAAGGAATTATGCAGTCTGTAAAGCGTGTCCAGGTGAACGTATCTAAGGGAGGCATTCTCTAAAAGTTAGATTCAAGTAGATTTCTTGTACATGTAGGAGTGTCTAGAAGTATTTATATGTTTTGGCAATGAGCTTAGGCTAAGATCCGGTGCGGTTACACACCTAGGTTCCTTCGTGATTCCTGAAGTTCAGAAAGTGGCAATTCTAAAGATTTGTTTCAGTGAATTAGCTTGATTTATCCATGCATGGGGTCCAGTGTTGGCAAAGAACTCCCAAATCAAACATATCGGATTAGTGTTTGGGTCATTTGATTTTGGAATTCTTTCTTTTAAAGCCAATATACCAACACAGACTTTTTCATAAATATTTTGCTATTCCTCCAAACATGTTTTCTTTTATGGGATGAAAAGTTTTAGAGCTGTAATAAAGTGATAAGATATCTGTACATGGATTTTATTTTCTTCTCTCTCTCAATTTGGAAGTCAAACTTGCAGAATGTGTTTGACTTCTATTTTGAAAAATTCTTGGACGGGAATGGACTTATTTTTAAAGCTGGTTTTCAGAAGATACTCATTCTTTATAGGGCCATGTTAAAAACAGATTGTGCAAATCCTGCGGCAATTGTTTTAGAACAGGTATTTGAGGGCAATACTATTCCAATGTACAACTCTAGGGGCACCATTCACACAGGATAAAATAGAATGGTGCACCCTGGAATGGCATAACCTGGCTGCCCTGCATGAGGGAGGGACCACATATATTCTTTTCAATATCTTAATATTCTTATTTAATAAGATATTAATGGAGCACATATCTTAATTGAATACATACTGTGTGCCATCTACGGTGCTCAGTCTAGAGAGAGTTGTCCGTTACTGCCTCCAGAGGGGAAGGATCCAGAAGAAGAGAGACTCAATAGCTAAAAGAGGCAATTCGTAGACCATCTACCTGAAGGACCTGGAAGGATGGGGTGGTGTCAAGAGCCTGACTCTTTTCCTGGGTCAGGAAACAAATGGGTCTTACTCAGAGGCACTCCAGAAGGAGGGAAAGGTGGGTGAAAACAGAGGTATTTAGGTGGCTCTGATCTGTTTAGTTAAATATCTGGAGGCTTAAGAAAAGTAAAAGGTCTGAAACAATTATGTAGTTACGTGTCAGGATTGTAAAGTGGGAGGTCCAGGACCAACATTCATGGTGATAGGGACAGATTTAGGACGTGGATTGCCTTCCATGAGGGCCAGGTCCCTCTGGGACAGCAGGAGTATCCAGGTCTGTGGTTAGGCAGTGGGAGAGGGGCGTTGTTGAAAGAGTATTAAGGACAAGCACTTTGCAATTATTCCTGCTCTGCCTTAGGCCATCCTAAAAGGCAGAGCTGCAACCAGAAAAAAAATAATAATAGCAATAACAACCATGGCATAGAAGAGACTGAGAACAAACACGCTGGATGATAAGACTTACTGCTGACATGCCCGAGAAGCCGCTTCCAGAAAACTGCCCAGTTAGACTTGACTCTCCAGGGAATCAGGAAGGCAGAGTTATTTTGTCTTTTCCTCCCTCTGGACCTTTAAATCACTTACTCTTGTTGTACCATCATTTCCCCTGATCCTGAGTGAGTAAAGCCCACTCTAGGTAAAGAAGGAGGAAGCTGGAATGGATAAATCTGTGTATGATGTCCAGTCAGTGCTTCTAGCTGTTGGGAAAGTCTTGCGGGTGAGTGAGTGTGTGCCGTAGGAGCGCGGGCTTGTCCTCACTGCTCCTTCTTCTCTCTTTCTAATCTTTGTCTTCGCTTATTGACAGTTAAGAACTCACTGCCCAAAGCTGGCACCATCACTTGACAATTAGCTTACGGAAGGGTTAGCATGTCTTTCCTGGAGCGGTGTCAATGTTACTCCTTAATTTAGCCTGGAAGGAGGGAATGCTTAGCAAAGAATAAAAAGAAGATTAAACATCTCCTCTTTAAACAGGGAACATGTTTTCTGATGTTTCTAGTTTATTTTGGCATTTCCCGAGGGGAAGCTTTGACTCTTAAAGGCTGATCATATCCAACCCTGGAACCAAGGGCAAAAGCAAGTCCAGCAAAAGTTGGACTTCTTCATCGAACAAGTCTCAGCCTCTTGCTGGGAAGCCCATAGAGCACAATGCAGGACCCCACTTCATAGAGCAACAGTGCAAGTTCAGATTTAATAGCTGAACGCATGCAGGCATCCAGGTTTCACCCTGAGCCATCCCAATCAACAGTATTCTGGTTTCATCTTTCTTTTCCACTGTACATCTTGCCACCTCTCTCTTGCCTCCTTCCTTCTCTTTTCCTGGTGTCTGTGACCCCAGGGTCCATCCTGTGATCTTTGAGCTCTTCCACTGTAGGGTGGATCTCTCTGCCCTCACCCTAGACATCCAGGTGGTCCTTAGAGAAACTAGGAAGAACAGGCAAGACATGGATCAGTCTAAGAAGTAAAAGAAAGAACTGACATAGAAAAAAGAAAAGAAAAACAACCTCTTTTCTAGTTCTGAGTCTTATTTACATCCAAGACCACCAGCTTTCTGTCAAGCACTCCAAATAGAAAGTTTAAAAATGATTTTTATTTTCCAGTGCTCGATACAGTTATGTAAAAAGTCAGAGAGACAAGAAATAAAAGTGACAAGAAGATATATATTTTATGACATCTGGAAGATAGTAATTCCTCCATTGTGCAGAGGGTATTAGTTTTTCAATTCCAAGTAAGCTTAATTTGGAATGCTTCCTCTCCCCTAAGTTTCTGCTCCCTGCATCTCCGTGCCATAACCACAGGCTTCCTTTCTCATCCATAAAAGATGAAATACTGTAAAAAACAAAAAAACCTTCAGTATGTGAATTCTGCTGAACTTGTGAGGTTCTGAGAAGCAGGATGGCCTGGTGGTGAATATCAGATTTGGACTGTTAGCCAGACCTGAGCTTGAACCCTAACCACATGACACTGAGCCAGTTACTTAATCTTTCCAAGCCTCACTCTCCTCATCTGTGAAGTGGAAAAAATAATATTTGACTCCACAGAGTTATTGTGGGAATGAATTCACATAAAGAATTTCTATATCAAACTTCAATTTTAGCTGCTGTTGGTATTCACTATTTTCAATGTAAACCTATTGAGTTAGGACAATATATTATTTTATAATGCCTGTACTTGACATATTAAGGCTTCTTAGACAATTTTAAAGAACTCTAAAAAAGTCTAAAGAAAAGTGGTTTGTTGTTGTTGCTTAATTTTCTGGGATTCCACATTGAAAGGACACTTGGAATATGCTTCCTTTTCATGTGGGTTGATGTATAGAATGGCCATATTTGTGATGAATATCCTATTTCATCAAAGTGAATTGGACTTAAAATGTATTGGAGAAATTGAACTTGAGTCAACTATCTGGATTTATTCCTGTCATAAATGTCAAACAGTGATGAGAGATTCGTTTAAGGAATATTTTGTTAAATACTAAGATTCATGATAATTGCCCCTTGAGTATCTTCCTCCTTCAGAAGAGGAAAAGTAAAATACCATCGCAAAGCTGGTGGAGAGGATGATTTGATTTTCTTTTTCATGGGTCTGGATGGGTTTTCATCAAACCCCAGGAAAGCATTCTCACCATCAGCCACAGTCATGATCGTATATGCAATCGAGACTTGGCAGATTATTTGAATAAATATAGCAGCAACCACTATCATTCATTATTGACCAAGTGCAGACGCTTTACGAATGTTATGTTCTCTAATCCAATGGGCACTGTTTATCCCATTATACAGATGAAGAATCTGAAGCTCAGAAAGCAGAAGTATTGAACAATGCCACACAGCCAGTAAGTGTTGGAGCCAGGATTAAAATCCATCTCTCTGGCTCCAACGAAGCAGTCTTTCTTTCCACAAAATTACGTTAATAAAGGTCACCAAGGGATTTTGTTAATGTGGGTGAGTCTTCCACTAAAGATATTTAAGAAGCCAGGACTCCATCACTGAAGTTATCTTGCCCAGCATTTTTGGGTTGTAGGAACCCAGTTTGGGTAACTTTCTTGGTGAAGTAGGAATTGATGTATTTCACACATAAGAATATGTTTGTTTGATTATTTTCCACCTTTACTTGGAGAGTGGCACATGTGGGCACATCTCAGGAGAGAACAGTTACTTAAGGAATTGGTTTTGTGTTATTACTGGCTTTAAAGATATTTCTGTTGGAGCACAGGGTACAAATAGTAGCATCTGCTTTGTACTCTGGGTCTCATGCTGTCCTTCAGGGTCAGGCCAGACATCTTTATATTTGCAAACCAGCAATTCCACAGCTTAAGCGATCAAGTTTTTTTTTTCATGTTTTACTTTGTTTTTTTAATACACAGATTCCTGGCCTTCGACCTCAGAGATCCAGACACAAAAGGTCTTAGGCATGAATAGGAATGTATAGCTTTAAAAAGCTTAATGATTCCAATATCAGCTAAGTTTTGGACTCACTGGATAGTGTATTGCGTTAGGCCTATTGTATGTCAAAGTAACGTCTTAGATAGGATATTGCTGCTGTTTTTTGTTTTAATTCACTGAAGTCATTCCTAAGGGTTACTAAAAATACACATGTTTATATTTATACATATACATTTAAATTATGGGTGTAATATATACACACATATTATATATATACGTATTTGAAATAGTGTACTGTGTATATATAACATAAATATATGTATATGTTTATGTATACATATGTATACACACATACATAAATTTTTTGTGTGTGTATGTGACCGACAATTCCCCAGCATGACTCAACATGGTATCACACATAAGGATTGATCTTGTATCTCTAGCCTGGGCCAGTGTTTACAGAGTCTGTGGCTTTTCACTGCTTGGCCTCTTAATCTGGTGGTTGGTCTTAATCTTTTGCTGCAAATAGCAGCCTTATTTCTTATGGCTGACTGCCACACTGATCTGTCGGCCGTTGCTCGCAGCAGTTCAGAGCCATGCCACACGGTTGAAATCGTGCAGCAAGAGTTTCTTCAAGTGTTTCTCTACCCTCACTGTTTGAGTTTGGTCTGTTTCAATAAACTCGTCAGATGCCAACTGCCCAAGAGTGTAGCATCAGTTGAAAGACCTTAACAATTGGTGTTCCAGAATCTCAAGGTTAATATCCATGGCCCACCATTGTAAGCTTCACAGAAGCAAGGATGGTGATTATCCTAATTGAGTCACTACTTCTGAGTGCTATTTCTAATAGCTACGTAAACATAAATATTCCAACCTCCGACTTGAATTTCAGTTACAACTCTATTTCTGGGCACATCAGTTTCATCCTTTAAGCACCATGGTCATAGTGCCTAGAAACGAGAAACTTTAAGAGCCTACAAAAAATACTTATGACTAGAAAGAAGCATATATATTTGCTCTAGAGTATGGAAAAGAAAACTGGAAAATGGAAATTAATAAATGTTCAGTTTTATAATGGTACACTTTGCCCGTTTCAGCAGGAATTAAATTTAGTACTCATTTGAATATTAGTGATTTTGAAAGCAAACTTTAGATTAGATTTCCTTTTGCTGATAAATCATAGCCAACCGTAACTTAAAAAGTTGGTGATAGCCAAATGTTTTCAAAAACAAATTAGAAAAATCCTTTCAAGTGTTTATAGCAAAAATTATTCTTAATGTGGGCTGTGGGTGTGTATGAATATTTTGAAGCGGGAATTTCAAAAGGGAAAAATGCCTGAAGCTACTCACATTATAAACCATCCCTGTTTGTGGGTGGCTGATTTCTTGTACTTTAAAAAACATATTTGTCGGCTTAACTGAATTCCCGCATTATGCTTATCATTTAATCTTCTATGCCCTAATATTCATTCTTCATTACTTAATTAAGGGTTTCTGCTTTTTATGAAAGTACATAATCCACAAACCAAACACACATCTTCTCAGTCTGGCTCCCTAATGTGAAATGGAAAATAGATATAGAAATGTTTTGCAAAATGCAAAACCATTTTTAGCTGTTAAAAGTTGAAGACCATTCAGTGAGCTTTGATTAAAGTGAAACTGAATCACTAAGCTAGAATTTGCCAATTATTTTGCCCAGGAAAATGCAGACATTTTACAGAGTTTTTCTTTTCACCAAGTTTACTGCTTTTACATAAAAAGCTTCTGCAGGGGCCAGCCTGGTGGCATAGTGGTTAAGTTCATGCAGTCTGCTTTGGTGGCTTGAGGTTCACGGGTTCTGATCCTAGGCATGGACCTACACACCACTCATCAAGCCATGGTGTGGCAGAGTCCCGCATACAAAATAGAGGAAGATGGGCATAGATGTTAGCTCAGTGATAATCGTCCTGAAGCACAAAAAAAGAGGAAGATTGGCAACATATGTTAGCTCAGGGCCAATTCTTTTCACACACACACACACACACAAGCTGCTGCCATTTCTGCTCGCCTGGATGAAGAAGTGAGAAAAGGGAACTGAACCCTCCATAAGAGTTGACTGGCTTTCTGAGGGTGGGCTGTAACGTGGGCACTGCTGTGGTACTGGAGCAGGGAGACTAATGCAGTGGACCCAACCATGCTGAGTCCCTTGACTTACACACCACCTCTCCTGAGAGACCCGCCTTGTATCCCCACGCCTGGGTTAGGTACTCTTCCCACATGTTCCCATGGAACTGTCTAGTCCATCATCATAGCACATTGTCATTTTGCTTCAATTATTGACTTTTCTCAAAACTGTAAACTTCTCAGAAAAAGCCTGTCTTATTCATCATTGTTGACCCAAGACCTAGCAGAACCCTGAGCACATACCTCTGCAAATATTTTTTATAATGTGACAAATGTAAGGCTCACAATAAAACTCTTTCAAAGGTAAATTTACTAGTGTGATTCAAAAGTGAAAAAATAAAACCGCGTGATGAAAAATGTGAACATCTTTTATTTTCTAGGGTTAGGGAGAAATTTTGGAAAGAAAATGATTTTGACTGTGTTTCTAAAAAGGTCTTAAGCCTAACGTACTTTTAGTTATAACAATGTGTAACAAATAAATTTTAATTTGGGATGATGGAAATAGGTAACTCACAGTAGCCTTAAGAATTCCTTTATTCTTGAACTGTTATATCTAAAAAAGCCCCATTGTTCATGACAGTCCTTGAAAGAAAGTGCCAGAGTAAAATGCACTGAGGTGGATACTGTTGGTGCTCTAATCAGATCCCCTTTACCTGGCAAGTGTACTCCATTCCCTGGTTGCTAAAGATGTTGACTGCTAACATCTCACAGTTGTCTCTTCTACAGTGAATTACCCTTGGAAATGCCACCTTGGCCCCGGTCAATGACCAACCAATATGGGTGTATAAAACCTTACCATGGGTCAACTGTGAGGTATCACTCACACTCCAGAGATGCCCAGGGGATCAGGCTGAGACTCAACTTCAGCTCAATCCAGTTCTCCACTTATCCTTTTCCTCTGTCCTCTCCTGCTTCCTTTACTACCTTAATGGTTCCTCCCAAGAAGACTCCCTCTATAAATCAAATGTACATGCATCCGGGTCAGCTTCTAGGAAACCACCCCTAAGATATTCACTGAAATGAAATTTCAGCTTCTGAGGGTAGATGACTCCTGATGCCTTTCCTCCACGCTATGGAGGATTCGGGAGCAAGGAGGGATAACATTGGCATTGTCCCCCTGCCCTGTCCATTTCCAGACTAATTATACCCGCAATTAATGTTTATTTATTCCACATGAGGAGCAGAGCGCTTCTTCCAAGAGCCTCAACTGTATTCAAATTAACCGTTTTTATTAGCACCTATTTTGTGCCAACAGTGTGCTCGAATGTAACAATGAAGAAAACAATTTCTGCCTCCTTCCCTCAAAAATAAGAAAGCTCAGCTTCTGAGGATGCTTTTTAGGTGGGAGAACACAGAGTGAACATTTTCTCTAGTCTCCTCTTTTGATTTGATCACACTAACTTTAGCACTAACCCCTCCACCAAATTAAGCTCATATGGAAGAACAACATTTCATCGTCTTCCCTTCCGGAACATTCACACGTGGTGTCTATAAATCAAGTGAATTCAAAACTGTTCACAGGAATAGCCTCCTGGTGCCACCATAGAGGAGAGCACTGATAGATCATTGCTTTTAAACTCGTTCCACATGATTGGGAGAGGGGGGTAAATGTGTTATTTCCTGTGAGTCTTCCTTGGAATAATGCAGTTTTCTTTTAAGAAAACATGTCATGGCTTGACTCCTTCTGTGGATACCATTGCCCCCGCTTGTTTTTGAGATTTTTCTTCCTCTGGATACAATCTGGAAGGAGTCCAAGGAGATTTGCTGCAGCAGCGCTGTAGTTTGGATGCTGGGCAGTTGTGTTCGCTGTGTGTCATGTGTGGGCTAACACATGGGTGCGGGTTTCCTTCCTGTCCAGGGCTGGAAGAGTTTTAAGGCAGGAAGCAAAAGACATCCTTTTTAAAACATCTTCTTAAGTTATGTAATATGTGCCCAGAGTCCAATTTTTTCTTATGAGAACTTCGTCTAGCAAGTAAGAGTGGATTAAAAAATTCTTTTTTTTAAAAAAATAAGATCTCCTAACCTCTCTGGGTCCCAAGTTTTCTCATTTATAATGTGAAAGATTTGGACTGGGTGAGTTCTGAAGTCCTGTTCATCTCTCATATATTCTGATTTTTTATTTCCTGAATTTGCTATATTTAAACTCCAAGTAAAATAATTTCTTTCAACCTGTATCAGAATTAATTTTTGTTGTTTAGTTAGCAGATAGAAGGAAGAATGCGTGTATACATGTGTGTTTGTATGTATGTGTGCGTGTGTGTGTGTGTGAGAAAGAGAGAGAAACTTAATCTATCAGGGCCCATCACTGCAACTTTTAGACTTAATATTTTTAACTCTATAACTCAAGTGAAAGAACAGAAGTAGTAGTAAAAAAAAAATAGCTTGTATAGAATTATAGGATAATTGCTCTAACAAGCAACCCTAAAATCTCAGTGGTTTAATGCAATAAAATAATTCAAATACAGTAAAATAAAACAAAAAAGTCTATTGCTTGTTCACAAGCCCATCTCGTCAATAAGGATAGGTAGAGAAATGGGAAGGTCGAGTCTGTTCTCCATATAGTCATTTAGGAACTCAGGGTCTTTCTGTCTTGGAACATTTTCATCTTCAACACGTGGCTGCTAAAGTTGCTACAGAAAGGGAAAAGAAAGAAGAGGATTACCCACGGGAAATTTTTATGAGCCGTAATTGGAACTGGCCCCTTTCTGTTGGCCAGAACTCAGCCCTATGGTTCCAACATAATTGCTGGAACAGGGGACTCAGAAATGTAGCCTCGCAGTGTGACCAGGCAGAAAAGGAAAACTATGAATCTTGGAATCCTCTGCCTTATCTGGTTTTAAGACCTGCTAGCGTTAGAGCTTAAGAGCCTGATGAAAGGGCCTTGCTCACCAATGCTTTTCCTACATACTTATCCTACATCCTTTTCATGCCATCCTTCCTACCCTCTCTCTCAACTCACACACCATTCCTTTCATCTAGACTCATCTTTACTCTTTTATTTTCTGCCACAAGGCAGGGAGAAAAAATGTGAATGTGGATGGGGAACCCCAAGATGATGGATTTTCGTGAGTAAGAGAAGTGGAAAGGATAGCTCACTGGAAAAGTGGCAGGAATTTCAGAAACAGAGTTGGGAGAGGCAGGAAGGAAGTCAGGAGAGACTGATTTGGGTTGGTTTGAGATGGGAATGGATTCTCCCAATAGGAGACAAATCCCGAGATGAAAAGTCCATATCTCTGTGTAGTAGAAGGTAATTCTTGAACGAAATTTTATGGGCCTATAATAAAATTTAGACTGAAGGTCCTCTGTCAAGTTTTTAACTGCATTGGAAAGACCGGCATCCACAATTAAGAGTAAGTTATTCCAGCTGCTGTATTTTTTAATGCTCACATAAAAATAACACACACATACACACATTCAATAATTTACAAATATATTGTCATAAAGAACATCCTTTATTTTCTGTCTTAAACACCTCCAGCATGGGGGAGGAAGCAAACATGTATCCATTTGTAAGCCCAGGATAACACACATGCAACAAACCTGCCCAGCAGTCAAAACTGTATCATTGCAGCAGGAAATCCCCAAATATTCTCCCCCAGGATGCTTCTGAAGCGTTGCAGTTTCCCATATTGTAGTATTCCTAATTTGTAATGTAGATCTCTGTGATAGGGATTCCCGTAACTCTCATGAAAGACACTCATTTGTCTTTTTGTCCAGTCATTAATTACCAAGAATTGATCTCCTGTCTCATTTGTTATGCTTAGATTAATAAAAACACTTTCTGGAAACAAGTTCCTAAGTTTGTAAGTGGCATTTCTCACACCTAAAATTCTTGCACTGGACAATTTAGTGGAGCCAACAGACACAAAAGTCTTGCCAAGAACAATTCTCATGAAGAGTTTCAAAGCAGTGAATCCTTGGAAGTCCAGAGCAAGCGACAGGACTTCACCTCCAAATATTAAACGGGATTAGGTCCACCTATTCTGAAAGCCATATAAAGCAGCCACATAGTTGACACACTGTATTTCTTTTCCCCAGGGCTTTCCTGGAAAGGATGGCTCTTCTGGCCCTCCAGGACCGCCAGGGCCAATTGTAAGTATTTCCAGAAACTACAGGGATGTACTCGGCTTTAAGGCATTTCATTTCTTTTGAGACATTTTCTTTTGCCAGACCTCTCCCCTCAGTAGCCATCATCTCTTGGTACAGAGCTCTCCCTAAAACATCCTTTAAAAATAATATATCCATGTGGTTTGATCATTCTATGTCTGAGCCACTTTGCCATAAGATCACCAGCACTGATGTAGTTTTTATTAGACACAGGGAAGGCTTGAATTTGAAAGAACTACACCTGGCTGATAGGGTGGAGACTTCTCAAAAAAAGTCTTCCCTGCTTTTTTGGTAGTTGGGAACAGGAATGAGCAATGAAGCCTGAAGTCTTGGTGTTGAGGACGAAGGAAGCTGTCACTGTGTGTGTTTGTGACCCCTTCTTGAGAGTTGGCTGTCTTCGATGAGAATGTCTGAGTACTCACCTTTGCTCCATTTTCTTGCCTCTCTATTAGGGCATTCCTGGAGCCCCCGGAGTCCCAGGGATCACAGGAAGCATGGGACCCCAAGGTGCCCTGGGACCACCTGTGAGTATGCAGCAGTAGCCAGTCAAGATGGTTGCCCAGCCAACCCTCTGGTTTATTTACGTGTTTAAATTTACCAGCATCTCTGTTGGTTCAAAATGTTTATTCAGTATTGGACTCTGTGGGACTCCATAAAGGAAAACAGAGAAGCTCCTAGGATAAAGATCAACATCGGGCTGTGCATATGTTGTGGCTAAAGACAAATGGTCCTAACAGGGAATAATCAGCTATGCTTCTGCTTATGTATATTTCCATTGTTTGTTATTCTGTATTTGTCTAAGTAAACTCAGTGACAGCTTTATAGGGATTGGGAACAATAGCTATGTGTTAATTATGACTGTCTTCTGGGTAAAACTACAAAGCTTGAGAAATTCAAGGATTAATGAGGATGGGAATAGATTTTTCTTTTCTACATTCTACAAGAAAGACAGGATCTCCCATTAAAGCACACACTCACACATAAGCGGATAGTGGTGTAAATGAAAGCACAAAGCACTAATTACCTCGAATTTATATGCTTCTAATTTGTTAGGTTGGTGTTTACATGTGATCAATGGGAGGCGGTAGGATTCGGGAGTAACAAATGAGCACATCTGGGCCTGTTTCCTCATGTGTGAAATGAGGTAGTTGCATTATATGGCCTCTGAAGCCACATTTGGCATCTTCTGTTACTTGCAAGTTGTTCCTTCTAGGTTTAGGTATTAGGCAACATCCTGATATTATCTGTGATGTACTAAATCTGTATTCATAAAGTAAGGCAACTGAGATGTGCAAAGGTATATTCTACTGCGACCATGCTAAGAATTTGTGGAACAGTGAGACTGAAGGGTGAGAGTAGGAGAGGCTAATGGATTAGATTTCTGTCGCTGCTATAACAAGTTACTACTATCTCAGTGGCTTAACATGACACAAATTTCTTACTTTACAGTTCTGTAGGTCAGAAATCTGACACAGCTCTCACTGGGTTAAAATCAAGGTGTTGGCCTGTCCTTTCTGGAGGTTCTAGGGGAAAACTGATTCCTTTGTGTCTTCTAGCTTCTAAAAGCTGCCCGCATTCCTTGGCTCATGGCCCACTTCCATCTTTAAAGCCAGCAATGTGTATCCCTCTGACCATTCCTCCGTTAGTCACATCTCCCTCTGAACACAGCCCAAAAAGGTCCCCTACTTTCAAGGACCTATGTGATTACATTGGGCCACCCAGATAATCCTAGATCATCTGCCTAGATAACCTCAAGATCCTTAACTAAGTCACATTTGCAAAGTCCCTTTTGCCACCTTCTGTACTATGGTCATACGTTCTTGGGATTAGGGCATGAACACTTTGAGGAGCCTTTGTCTGCCTGTCACAGTGAACAAATCATAACAGAAACAATAATTCTCATTCAGAAAGACACCTCTCTCCTCTAGCTACCCAGACAGCCATGTTACTCTTTATTCTTGAAACTCATTTCAATAAAATTATTTCATCCTCAGAATCCTTTTTTACGCTGTGATTCCCAAGATATACATGCAAGTGCAAAAACACACACAAGGGATAAACATAAAAAATGCCTCCAGATTTTAGCAAACACATCCTAATTTGCACACCCAAATAAATGCTCTCCTTAATAGTCACTTTAAAAAGCTGTATACTCATTCCAACGGCATGATCATTGTTCAAAACAGTTTTAGGTCTCTCTTTTTCAAATCCAGCTAGTAAAGTCACAGAAAAAAATGTGATTGCTTTATCTTCACATATCTTTTTTTATCCAAAATGATGTTATCAAGTACGGTCATGCAAATGGAAACACCCACACCCACATGTGTCAACACATGCAAACACATGCACTCACACACACAGCCTTTCACTGCAAACTTGTCTTCATTTGATCCTAGGCTATTGGTCACCAGAAAAGAGATGTTAAAATTATCTTTGGGACAAGGGGTTCTGGTTAAACAAGTGCCAGACACAGTATATACTTAATATGTTTCTCAGAAAGTCATGAGAGATTTTAGGACATCAAAGACTTTGAGGTATACTGAAGTAAAACAAGAAAAAACAACAACAACAGGTTTAATTTAGTTAGACAATAAAAAAATGCATTTGTGCATGAGGTAAGCTGCTTGTTCTTTTCACGCTTCCTGACGTCTCCTAGAACTAGTTGGACCCAAGCTGGGTTCATCCTGATCCAAGAGGGATGGGATGGGAAAAATGCTCTGAGGGCGTTGGGAAAATAAAATGGGGTTGTATAATGGTAGAACGAGGCACAGAATATATTAGGTAAGTAGAAACCCATCCTGCTTATCTACCTGACCTTTTGTAGCTCTGGAGTAAACTCTGAATATGGGGCATGCGGAACTACAATACACTTTTTCCTAGAAATAAAACACTTGTTAATAATGTTATCTTCGATTGTCATAAATCAACAGAAAAGGGCCCTTGTTGGAAACGTTTTTATCGGAGAGAGAAACCATTTGGTCTAGAGGCACTGGGTGGGGATACCACAGTAGGCTTTGGGTATCCTCCCAAAAGGCAGCTGTTCTCTGAACTGTCTATCCCAGACTTTTCCCTGTGCTCTGGGACATGAGCAACCAGATGTCTGCTGGCTGCCAGACCGGCATGACTAGAAAAGCAGGCTGGCTGTCATGGTGTTGAGGCCTTGATTGATTTCCCATGGATGTCGGTCTAGGAAGGCAGGAGGGAGGGAGACCAAGAAAGACAGACTGCCCCATTGAAAATAGCAACGTGTTTCCTACAGTCGGTACCAGGAACGCTTGCTTTCATGCACCCTGCTTTCAGCCACTGACTTCCCAGAGTGGAACGTACGTTGCTGCTGGTGCGGTCATAATTCCTACCTGAGGTTTAAGCATAGGCTCAAATATAGTGCCTCCCTGCAGGGGAGCAGAGAGTGATGAAGCTGTGGAAGTAGGGGCCATGTGCTTAGCTTGAAAGCAATACACGTAGATAGGTCCAGTGCTCCGTCATTTAAAGAGCATTGCATTAGAAGTCAGGGTATCTGCATTCTAGATGTGACGCTGACATGACCTTCACTAGCTATGCAAGCCACATCACTTAAGTAATTTATCTAGCCTCTCAGCATGTCAGTTTCCTAATTCATTCATTTAAATATATTGACACAGTAGCCACGATATGTATGAAATACATGGAGGAGAGGGATTCTGAGAGGTGTGAAAGATGACCAAGATATTTTTCCACATTCATGGAAAATCTAGAGAGACCGATGTTTTTTATATAAGTAGGTATAATAAAAGGCAGAAAGTGGGAAATGCCTCAAGGGAAAGACAAGTAAGTTGCTATGAAAGTTCCATTGAGAGAAAGAGAGACAGAGATAGAGAGATGGAGAGAGAGACAGAGAGAGATAACCCCCGGAGCTGGGAGGGGCTGTTCTCCTGAAGGAGGCAGCATTTCAAAGGGCTCTTGAAAGACGGGTGTGATTTCCTTCCAACCCCAGACAGGAGGATGGCATCGTTTAGATGGGGATTGTGGTAAAACATGAAGCAAACACAGGGGGTCCCCTGTCTTTTGTACATTTCAATACTTTTCAACTCTTTCGCTTCATTGCCACTGTCACAATTTTATTTCAAGCCCTCTTCATTTCTCACCATGATTATCACAAGAAGCTCTACTGGGCCCCCTTGCCTCTGCTCTAGCCCTGGTTTGGTCCATTCCCCAGCTGTGAGGAGATCTTTCTAGTATAATTCTGATGTGTCATTCCCTGGCTTGAACCTCCTTAGTGGCTTTCTGCCACCAGAGGATGAGTTCCAAATATTCATCCAGGTATACGTGGCCCTTCATGATGGGCCCTTATTTCCCCTCCAACTTGATCTCCCATCATCCCTTTGCTTGGACTTGAGACACCCAATACTATATAAAGTTCTCCAAATATATGCCCTACTGTTTCACACTTTTTTGCCTTTGGGGGCGCTCTTCCATTTGTCTGGCCTGCTTTCTCTTCCTTTCTCCACCTGGTGAGTTCCTGACTATTCTGTCTTTAAAACTATGCGTGTCCTGTGTGAAGGCACCGTCAACTCCTCAGGCTGAGATACTTCATTTCAATTGTGTCCATCTTGCCACTAAAATGATAATTCCTTGAAGGCAGAAATTTTATCATACTCATGTTTTTATCCCTAGATCCCAGCTCAGTATCATAGAGGGTACTTAATAAGTATTTGTTAAAAGAAAGAAAGAATAAAGTCATGTTTGCATTCTAGTTAGCCTGATGTTCAGGGTAGTATTAGATGATTATTCTTGTAGATTAGGGGTCAGACCATTCAAGACCTTTAGAGCTGAGCTCGGATGTTTTGATTTGGTTATCGGCCATCTTTAATATGTGGGACTTGCACCATGAGATTATCCCTCTTCCCTTCAGCACTAAATGTCTGTGAATCTATGAATGTAGCTACTGTATTTTCTTTTCTTTACATTTCAAGTGTTCCTGAAATTAAAGCAATATGTGCCACTTTTTCCTTCTGCATCTACAGAGAGTATGTGTTTTTCCGCAACGCATATTTTGGTGGAGTTGTGGCCCTTCACTTGCTCAGAAATTTTTATTTTGTTTTTGTTTTACTTTGCAAAAATCAAAGGAAAGATGTCAGAGAAGTTGGAATAAAAAATAGCTTCTTGCCATACAGATGTTTCACTAAATGCATCTTTCATTGAGACTGCCTCACAGTGTCGTATAGCTACTTAATAACAAGCATTGTGAGGCTGAGTTTGAGGAATTTGGGGCCCGATTAAATACATCCATCCCTATATAGCAGAAGTTACCAACAGCTGGTGCTGTCCATTTGCCTTATCTCTCAGGTTTGCACTGTAATTTCTTTTTGTAAGTTTCAAACATTTCAAATAAGCCAATTTACTAAATGACAGCTAGACATAGAAATGTCTAAGAGTGTATTGGCTGAAAAGTAAAAATATTCAGGATAAAATTGATTTTAAGAAATGACTCAAGTTAAAACTTAATTCTGAATTACTAGATTTAGGTTTGGGGGATGTATGTTTGCTTCTGTATTATTATTTAATTAGGAAAAATATTATCTTCCCTGGTACAGGAGATGTTGGCTAGTGCATTTGCTGAGCAGTGTTCTCTTTCATGGCAACAGTGGAGTGTACTGGAGTGTGCACACATTCTGGAGCCTGGCTGATTGTTCTGGTCTCCTCTTGTCTACTTCTTTTTTTTTTAAGATTTGCCCTGAGTTAACATCTGTTGCCAATCTTTTTTTTGTCTTCCTCTTCTTCTTCTCCTCAAACCCCCCAGGACATAGTTATATATGTTCTAGTTATATATATTCATAGTTATATATATTCTAGCTGTAGATCCTTCTAGTTCTGCTATGTGGGACGCCGCCTCAGCATGGCAGGATGAGTGGTCCATGTCCGCGCCCAGGGTCTGAATTGGCAAAACCCTGGGCCTCCGAAGCAGAGTGTGGAACTTAACCACTCAGCCACAGGGCCAGCCACCAGCTTTTCCACTTTCTTATGTGCAATGTTAGGCAAGTTATTTAACCTCTCAATGCATCACTTTCCTTATATATAAAATGGAAATAATATCTCATGGGGTTGTTATAAAACGTAAATGAGTTCATCTTATGAGTCTTATAAAAATTACGTGAGCTGATCTTATAAGGCTATTTTAAGGGTTAAATGAGTTAACACACCAAGAACAGAGTTTGGGACATGGTAAAAGCAGCTTAAGCATTAAACTGCTAGTATTTACAAACAGTTTCTTAATATATTAAAAATGTAGAATATTTACCTATTTTTGTTTGATGATTTTTGTTTTTGTTTTGCATCTAATGCTTGAAAAACTGATTCCATTAGGAATTTATTTGATGGTAGCATAAGTAGCTCTTCTCTCCAGTTAGACCTACCAGTGGACATTACTGTGTCCTTGGGACTTGGCCATTTGTAGAGCCTAAGAAATGAGGGAATAGGGCACAGCTGGAACATTTATTTCCAAAAGAGAGTTGCTTTGTAAATCGTCCTCTTGCAAAAAGTTTAATAATGGAAGTTGGATACTTTTCAACAGAATAAACTTTTTCTAATGATCTAGAAGCCCACTGCCTGAGTATGTCTTAAATATTTTTCTTCTATTTTTCAAGCAAGGCAGTTAAAATGAAGTGCAAATTGGCTTGTCATCCAGACGAAGTGAAATTCAAGTATTCATTCATTCGGTTAACACATGTCTTTTGAGCACCCGCCATGTCCCAGGCGTAGTCTTAGGAAGTAGGGATACAAAAGTGCACAAGCTGGACACAGACTGCCTTATGGAACTGACATGCCCAGAGAGGTCACAAACAGTGTGGACCTGCTTTCTTTGTAGAGGTTGAGATTCTTCCTTGGCAAACCTAGCTTTTGTGTTTTTCTTCCATTTCTGTCCCTTATGCTGCCTAGCTCCAAATAATGACTATGTCATGAGATGCGAGCTTGTTAACCTCCTACAGGACCCCAGAGACCATTTAATTTAATGGCCTCATGTTACAAAGAAACTCAGAGTTTAAGTGCTTTGCAGATATTTTTCCCAAAATATTGGTATGAAAATTTTCAAATGCACACAAAATTGAAAGAATTTTAGAGTGAATACCCATATACCCAAGACTAAGATTCTACCATTGTGTGTGTATTTTTTAAAAAAATTCTCTTGGGCTCAGTTGATTACTGATCTCATTTGCAATTTTGGAAAATTATCTTACAGCACACTAAAGGGGGGTGGATTTATACTTCTTGTTGAAATCAGTAAACAACAATATTTTCTTTTCATTTTATTAATAAAACAAAAGGAAACTCAAGGTCAGAGGAAGTCAACAACAGCCCTAGATTTATAATAAATATTTCAGTTTAATGTTGGACTTAGTTGAATGTTTGAGCAACTCTTTCATGCAAGAACCTGGCTAGGTGTTTTTGGAAATATAAAGGAATATATGGTCGCCAATATTAGAGATCTTACCATCTGCACAGAGAGAAAAGAAATCCATGCATTGACCTGTAGTTAAATAGATATGACGATAAAAATTTAGTGTCAAATAACTGATACTCAAACTAAATACTCCAGTAGAATATTCCTACTGTTGACACTTAATTAAGATTTAGGCTTAATCTTTTTTCTCACATTTCAAATATTTTCATAAACTGAGTAGACCAGGCCTATGGGAATAAGAAATTGTAACATTGAGGAGTAGGAGACAGGAAGGTTAGGGCTAAAGTGCCGAAGACTTTAAATTTGAGGACTTTGACTTTGTCACATGGATGTCTAAGAATTGCTGAGTGATTTTGAACAGAGGAAGAGCTGCTATCAATCAACAGTCACTGCACTGTCTAGGTTATATGGGAAGTATCAGGGGAAGATGGGACTAGTGGTTGTGTGGAGAATGAACTGGAAGGGGGGTCTTTAGTTAGGGAAGTCAGTGAGAAGGAAGTTTACAAATGTCTTGGTGCAAGAAGGTAAGGGTAGCACCTGAGTGATGGAATAGCAGAGATAGATACAAGAGGGATTGCAAAGCAGAAAAAACAAACAACAAAAATGTGTGTGTGTGTGTGTGTGTGTGTGTGTGTGTTGAATACACATGCAAGAGACAAGGGAAGAGATGAGAAAACATAGAACCAGTGGTGGGCTCGAGCTGGCTTGTACCTATTCAGGGAAGTCAATTATGTGCTTCTCTTCCCTTCTCAACTCAATCTTCAGATATAGTGCATTTGTAGCTTGAAATCAGCTATGGTAGAAGTATTTATGTCTCCAAAATCCGCGAACAATACAAGTCAAGGCATTTTACCTTTCCAGAAAACCAGTTTACCCACACACCATTGGATGAACCCAGAATTTTGAGTTTAGGTGACTGTTAACTGAGTAGAGATTTTGGAGAAGATACTGAGTTTGGTTTGGAACTTGTTGAGACTGTAGTAACAGGGGGGAGCAGTCTGACAACGTGGCAAATTCCATCTATGAAGCCCACTCATTATCCTTTTGGTAGAGACTATAAAAATGTTGTTCAATGAACCTACTACACTGCCTCAGAGTTGAAACAAAAAGATGAAATCCTTCTGAAGACACATGTTTTGCATTACAAGTGTAATTTCATTGCAGAAACACTGAAAACACCATTGTTTTTTCAGTGAAGTTTTTTTTTTACGGTAATAGTAAAGTTTCTTATGGGGCGGAGCATAGTTAAGCCACAAGATAAAATATAATCCAGCTGAGAATTCATGTTAATATGAGCTCCCGTGATCAGGGAGAAAGAAGCGTGTGCTGTTATGCTGGATGGAAAGCAGAAGGAGGCTGATGGGATTTCGCAAGTCTCATCTCTTACTTGAACTCTTAGGCTGGAAGATCTTTTCCCTCCTTTGAGAGATATTCTTTAAAAACTTGAAACAATTTAGCTATTCAACAGAGATTTGTGAAATAAATCATGAGGCATCAGTAGAGTGCAATGCATAGAGTGGTGTTCAGTGTGGAAAGATGGGAATGACCTATTCAGTGACAGTCTGTTACAAAGCATTATTACCGCATGATCCCAATTTTGTATTGAAACATACTGTGTCTATGCAATAAAGGCTGGAGGAGTAAAATGTTGAAGAGAGCTATTTCTGCTTGGTGGGATTACAGGTTGCTGTTTGTTTCTTCCTGTTATCTATGTATTTTTTTGCTGCAGAATTACTAGTGCTAAGAAAAACATCTTAATAAAATAAGAAAAGATGCACTATCATTATGCTTGGCTGAGTGCAGTGTTACAAGTAAGCTGACAATTTCAACATTTTACAGGGTGTCCCTGGAGCAAAGGGAGAGCGAGGAGAACGAGTAAGTATCCTCTGGCTCCGTTTCCCAGCCGCAGCTGGTTGCACACCTTTCATTGTGTAAGCCTGATAAAGGATGGCCATTTACTACCATGATTATTCATTGCTCTTATACGATTCCTTTTCTCCTCCGTCTCCTCGACTCATCTGACCATGAACACATTTTCAAGCAGAAAACACCCTGTGGGCTAGAAGTCAGGAGAGCTGGTCACTAGTTACAGATCCATTACCATCCAGCTAGATGACCCTAGGCCCATTTCTTTAAGGGTAAAACCGACAGTATAAAGCTCATCTAACTCACAAAGTGGACTTGATGAAGAAATTATATAATGGATGTAAAAAGGCTTCAGAAACCTAAAGGCTATCTACAAATGCCAAGTAGTAAAATGGGGTTCATGTTTTTCCAATACTGGCACCCTGGAAGACAATGGCAGGCATAGAATCAAAGAACTGGCCAGGAAACTTAAACCATTTTATTCTAGGGGCCTTCTCTCTCCTTTGAGAAATTGTGCAGCTGCTAATATAATTGTGCTGTCGCTATAGCAGAAACAGCAGCGACCTTGGGCTCATCCAATTACCTCTGTAAAACCTTGGGCAATGTGTTTAACTCCGTTCATCTATAAAATGAGTTTAGCATCTTTTCTCCGAGCTGTTATTAGTATTAAATAAGCCACTGCTTGAGAAAGCGCTGCATTTTATAAACTCTAAAGAGCTATAAATGAGGCATTAAGTGTATATGGGTTTGTTTCAAAACTATTAAACTGTTTAGAATCTAGGACCAGAAATGCTTTCTTGAGCTTTTTAATTTAATAAAGGCTCTCAGGAACCTTGTACCATGAGAGTCAAATTACTTACTCCTTCTCTGTATGCACCGTGGTGGTGAGTTCTACCTATTGCTAGGAGCCAAAGAACCCAGGTTGGAACAATGGGTCAAGTCAGATCTCCTTTTGGAAGCGTTGCCATGTGGCTGGGCTTGCGGTGAGAGTCAGGACCATGCTTTTTTCTTATCCAGGGTGACCTTCAGTCTCAAGCTATGGTGAGAGCAGTGGCACGTCAGGTGTGCGAACAGCTCATCCAAAGTAAGTGGATTATAGTTACAGATGTTTTCTATTTCTCGTCCAAATGGGAATTTGCCTTTCCCATTAAGTGTAACAACTAAGGAAGACACCTCTAAACCTTTATCTTGGTGCAGACACAAGCTTTACAGATGGCTATCACTAACCCATCTAATGAGATTGTTACAGATGACACTAAAGTTCTACATCGATGGCACAGAGGCCAAATTCCTCCATGTCATTTGTCCAAGAACTCCCTGTTTGCCCATAGATTTAACTTGACTGCCAAGATCAAATCTTCTATTTCTTCTTCATCTCTCCAAATAGATTTTTTTTTCTCAAGTACTCAGCGCTTGAAAGCTGCCAGACTTTGAGGCATCAGAAGCTGCCTTCAAACAGATGATTCATGGTGTGGATTTCTATTAACTCACTAGATTTGAATCAATACTTCTTCCTTATCCATTTCTTTTGGGTAAATTTAGGTCCTTTCCTTTATTCTTTAAGATTTATGCCAAAAAATGCACACGCACGCGCACACAGGCATAGGCTTCATGTGACATTTGATATGATACATGGGCTTCACGCCAAAAGTTACACTGGAATACGCTTCATGTGACACCTGTCCCATTTCTTCATTTTAAACTTGATCTTTCCCACAGCCCAGTCTTTCAATGGCTGATTCCTGCTCATTCACCTACATACCCACCCATTTTGCACATTTCCCCTCAGTCCGCTGGCTATATATCTTGTCTCAGTAATCTAACCAGGGGGTTACCAGTTTTACTTCTCTTTGCCAGTAATGTGTTCAGTTCCAGGAAAGTCTGAGACCACCTAGAGATGAAATGTTCCTCTCAAACCCAGCCAGCTCTGGCCCAGCTCTGCCGTCAAGCTCTGTACCCCCAAAACACCCTCCACTTCCAGGGCTGACGTTTCCTGAGTGGCTGTCTTAACAGCTTTGGGGGGGGGGGCGTGTTTATTTTAACCCAGGGAAGTTTTGAGAGTCTGGCAAGTACCCATGAAGGCCCTATTGCCTGGGGCCAGAATTCCGTCTGTAGTAGATAAACCCAGAGAAAGACGTGGAATAAAGGTCTGCATAGGCTTAGGAGGGTGTCCATTAAGACAAAAATCTCAGGGCAAACTGAATGCAAAGCCACCATCTCAGACATAGTAGGAATGCTCCCTCCATTTTAACTTCATTTAAGCTTACGTTATACGCCCAAAGCAAATGTATGTGTGTTACAGAATTTACCAGTTAAATGAAACTGTTCAGGTTTAATGCCAAAGTAGGATCTTTAAAAAATTTTTTTAAGATATGCATTTTTTTTTGGTGAGAAAGCTTGGCCCTGAGCTAACATCTGTTGCCAATCTTCCTCTTTTTTTTTCTCCCCAAAGCCCCAGTACGTAGTTGTATATCCTAGTTGTAAGTTCTTCTAGTTTTTCTATGTGGGATGCCACCACAGCATGGCTTGATGAGCGGTGTGTAAGTCTGTGCCCAGGATCCTAATCAGTGAACCCCAGGTCCCTGGAGCGGAGTGCGCAAACTTAACCACTATGTTACTGGGCTGACCCCAAAAATAGGATGTTTAAAAACACAAGTTATAAAGGAGAAATTGAACGTTAGTCACTCCTGTAGTAGAATATGTCCAAAACTAACCCGTATCTCAGATTATTTTGTAGGTTTCTCATTTCAAATATACAATGTAAATGAACAGGTAATTATTTTAAGGAAACCCATGGGTTAAATCCTAATATGCTCGCTGACCACATTTCACAAGAGTTGCTATCTTATTCCACTGTAGAATAAAAACCATGTATAAATATACAATTATTTAAAACATGCCCTAAAAATTGAGAGTTCAAAATGGAGTTTTTCCCATCAGGAATTCTCAGATTCTTATGAATGACTTCTAGGAAGTGGAAGCCAGCAGGGGATTATACAGGAAAGCTGAAACAGGTCTGTGAAATAGGGAGGCCCTGCCTGTCCTTGCAGTTGTGAGCGAAAGAAACAGGAGAGATCGAATGCAACTTTATGAGCAAAACCCAAGCTCCCTAGCAGCCATATTTCTGGCCCCTCACCCATCTTCCCACAAACTATTCAGGTTTCTCAGGGCTTTTCATTTCCTCCTTAGGCTCCACTTCAGACTTGATTTATCAGTCAGCATATAATTTCTCACATGCTCAATTATGTCAGTCCAGGGCTGATCAAAAGAATTATGGTAGGAAGGGTTATTTGGGAAACCGCGAGGCCAAAGTGATGACAGCTAGAGAAGTGATGAAAGATATCTTCCTTGTTAAAGGAAGAAGCTGAAAAGGCAGATGCAGAAATGCCTGACCGCCCCCTAGACAATTACGGGTAGGCCTACTGATGGCCCCTGGGTCAGGAAGCTAATCCTAGTTACCGTCATTGTTCTATGCTTAAGAACACACTGAATATATTTTAGAAATAACCCTTCTAAAAATGCTTACTCTCCTTTATTAGGTTTGAATATTTGAAAAGAGATAAATAATAGTCATCTAGAAAACCCACCTGTGGGAAAATCCCATCTCCTGATGATGCTGGAAAGATGAGGCATTATGGTACCAAGTACTTGATCAGTCTATGCTTCTAGTTATTCAAATACACGCTTCCAGGCATAACTGAGTTAAGGGATTATGGGAGAGAAAGCCAGATTTTTAAAAAAATAAACCTAATGGAATAAAGAAAAAAAAAATAAAGCTGGTGGAAGTTTCTGCAGCTGGGACCCAAGTAAAGGTTCCTGCAAAAAGGCTTGGCAAGGAAGAGATGAGTTGAAACAGAGCACTTGTCTGGGGATTTGTGAGCAAGAGGGTGGAGCAGGCTTTGTGGGTTGGAAAAAAAGACAAATCACTTGGGGAGAAATTGCTGGAGAAAAAGGGCAGCTGGATGAGGGTTTAGGGGTCAGACAAATGTTGGGGGTGAAGATAAAATTTATGTCTTCTGCTCAATGATGTTTACTGAGATGCTGACGTGAGCTGCGGAATTCCAAATACATGAGATGCGACTGAATACAATCCAGCTGTTAATATCATCCGAAGTAAAATGCAAAACGTTTTGAGTTGGAAATCAACATATTTCAGAGGGGTGTGCTTTTCCCTTTGGTCGGTGCCTCACAGAATTGTTCGGAGCCGTGACCAATAATACCTCCAGTCCTGCCTTTCTTTGGGTGACAGCTCCTTGAATGCTATCTTTGTCCTTTGTGTCTCAGGTCACATGGCCAGTTTCACAGCCATCCTCAACCAGATTCCCAGCCACTCTTCATCTATCCGGACCATCCAAGGGCCTCCTGGGGAGCCTGGGAGACCAGGCTCACCTGGGACCCCTGGTGAACAGGGACCACCAGGGACCCCAGGCTTCCCAGGAAGTGCAGGGGTGCCAGGGACCCCAGGAGAACGAGGTAAGCTGGACCACTCCCCTCACTGAGTGCAATGAAGCAGAGTGTAACAGCAGTGCTTATACAATGACAAAGCCCAAAATAATAGACTTAAATTAATTCTACCCATCTATTCTTCAGCTTCTTGTTTATTTATCCTGAAGATTGACAAAATTGAGTAATCTACAAAGTATTTATCAAGAGCCACATCTACTTGTATAAAAAAGGAGGATCAGAACTCCCAACTCACCCCTAAGAGGCTTTTGAGCTAATGAGAGAAAGCTGTCCCCTCTAGATGGAGGAATTAAGAAAAGGTGCCCCTCCCAGATAGAAGAATTATAAAATGATATCCCCCTCTGGACAGATGTAGCATCACATATATATCATGGCAAATAGAGAGCTCACTATCTAGGTGGGTGTGGTGCTTTTATTGTGCAGTGCCCATACTGGGCAACAGTCAGTGGCAGCCCTGAGGTGACTCATGAGTCATATCAACATATGATTCACATATGCCTGTATAGACTATGCAAACCCTAAACTTCAAATTAAATACTGTTTGTGTCTCATCTTCCTATAATATGAAGCAGCAATTTATTTAATAGTTTCATGGGTCAATGTTTTGTCTTTCCTACTAAAAGTTTCTTTAAAATAGAGATCCTACTTAGTTTTTCTTCTGCCCTTTGCAGGTCTTATCAGTACTGTATAATGCAATAATAAGACTCTTTTGATTGAATTTCACCCAATTCTGTAATTGATCAAGATCACCCACTCCAGGAGCAGATCAATGAGATGTGGGAAACTGAAATTACCTATTAACCACAAAGAAAGTGACAAAAAGAGACAACTGATAAAAGTATTTTCTAAGACACAATTTTATAGAATGTAGATCTGAAGAGAAGCTAGCCATTACGTATCTGCTCTGTGAGTCATGTTACTTTTGTGAGATGGGTAGGATATATTCCTTTTATCAGATTTTGGGATGCAAAATGCAGTTTACAGAGATCGTATTTCACGTTCATTCCTGATCCTTGCCAACAGGCCATGTGTGTTTCTGCCTCTGCACTTATATACATGTTGTTCTCCCTCCTTTGGAAGTGTCCTTTCCTTTCCCCTTCTTATGTGTGTCTTATTCTTGGTTCAAGGCTCAGCTTAACCTCTGTCTCATGCATGAAGTTTTTGCTGATTGCCCCAGACCACAGATTTCTCCACCCCTTGAACCCCTGATGCACTGACAGTCTCCCCCGCCAATTTTAGCAATCATCAGGTGTTAGTTAACAGCTAGATTGCCAAGAGCAGAGATCAGCTTTGAATTGCTTCGCACATCATAGGTCCTCCCTAGATAATTGTTGCTTTGAGACTCAGTTCTGATTTTCTTTCTGAAACTTTTTCCAGAGCCAGGACACTAAATCAGCAGACATAAGAAGGGCATAATTCCCTCGCAGCACACCAAAGATCTGGCAGCCAGGAAGGTGCTCACCTCTGTCAGCAGGGCACCCACTGATGGTGTCGGTGATGGATCAACTGTGACTCAGGCAGCACAGAGCCAGCACCTGAGTCACTCTCAGCAGGTCACAAGTTGTCTTTGTTCTTTTTGGAAACCCTGTCCTTGTTCTTGCCAGACTGAGTCTTTCCCGCTCTGCAAGAGCACTTGGATGATTAGACCAGAGGAAAATCACCCAGGAGTTCTCAAATAGTGGCCTAGACAACCCTGGAAATACGAATTGCTGTGCTATAATTTTCTTACATACATATTATATATAGATGTATATATTCTTAAAGACTATCACAGACAAGCAAAATTGTATGTTTCACAAATACGGAGGAGAATAGTAAGACAGAAAGTGAGAAATGCCCTTTGAACATGGGGAAAGGCGATTTCAGCTGATCATCAATTGAGGGATGTGGTTTTGGAGTTGAGGTTAGGGTTTATAGGCCAACTCTCGAGGGACTTTCCATTCCCCATGAAATATTTCCAAGGTGGACATTGATGTTTTGACCTTAGCTGTGTGGTCCAAATACTCAGGTAAGATTGAGAGAGAAAAATGCCTGCCTTCCCACTAAATCAAAACAGTAGAATCTTAAAACTGAAGAATCTTCGAACTGAAGAATCTTCGGCCATCTTTTCTCCTGACCCTTGCATTTTTATGAAAGGAAGTGTATGAAGATATCGAGTCCCAAAGAGGCTTCAAGTCAGCCAATGTCAGAACTAGAAATAAAAACCAGAGATCATGGGGTTTTTTTTCCCCTGTATAAAATGTATTATCACTATGCTCTATAATATAATTTTAAAAGGACACTACATTGTAATGAGTAAAAATAAGTATTATTATTAGGCAATGTATTTAGACAAATAATAAGCTCCAATAGCAAGATTAAAGAAATACGTCTGTTGAGTACTCTGTTCTAGCGCTTAAGCGAACCTCACTTTCTGCTGAGGTTTCCGATGAGTCTCACGTAAGTCTTCCCCCCAAAATTCATGACTTATGGACTTTGGCTAATTTTTGATCAGAAGTGCTCCATCCGATTTCTCTATTATAGTTTTTCAAAGTTTTTCAAACTCTTTTAAACATGATGCACAGTAAGGAATATATATTACATCAGGATGCAGTATGCACATGCATGTGTATGCCTTCAAACTTACATAACTGAGGTAAAAATATAATAATACCTGCCTTTACTATTGTTTCCTGTTTTCTTTTTTTGTAAAGGCTGAGGGGCAACCTTGGATTTCATGACCTCAGCTTGAAATACACTGTTCTAGTATAAGATCTTTGATTAACCCCGTTCTTATCATTGAAACAGCCAAAGAACACGCATGTTTAGAGCACAGAGAGGAAATTACAAATATTCCCTCTATATTAGCAAACTGAAGTAGGTGGCTGTTGATGACTTTTGTTGTTACCTAAAAATACTCTATTTTCATCCGTCTCATTATCTGTCTCTCTCCTTACCCCTTCTGTCTCCTTTAACTTCAATGGAGTATTTATCACAAGTTGGTATGGAACAGTCTTTTAGCAATTTTCTCACAAAGATTGTAATATATAGAGAATCCTTAAAATTTAAGGCTTCAAAGGATCTTTCTGCCCACGTTCTCCATCTACACCCAGAACTCCAAATTAGATTTGTCTAATTATTAGCATCCAGAATTGAGGAGGGTCCTTTTACATAACATAAGCAAAATGTATGCAGCCCAATTTCTCATCTGCTTTTTTGTGTCACTTATTAACTTATGTCAAAGAAAAGCTGTTCCTCCATTGGCTGTGACGTGGTTGCCTCTCCCCATTAAACCCTGCACTGTCTTCAGATCTTCCAAAATTCAGAAAAGGAGTCGGATCAGCTCTAAGTTTCCTCTTTGGTTCTCTGAACTGTGACAATAAAATCCTGGCTCTTCTGGCCTTAACTCACTCTCCAATCACAGCCTGTGTGACTCTAACTAGATTTTTTGACAACAGCTCCATTTCTAATTCTGATCTCTGTCTATCATTCCCAGATGACTAATCTGTTTGTTTTCTCATTCTTTTTATTTATATGTTCATTATTCACACTGGTATCTTAAACCATATATTAACCCAGTCAACAATAAGTTTGCTGTCTATAGTTCACACAATTAAGTTTCTTTATTTACTTGGGAAGAACTGAGAAATTTTCCTGACTTCAGTCTTCATTGCAACTCCTTCAGTCTCCATGATTCTCCAAAAAATACTGGATCAGAGGAAGCATCCAACTAAAGATTTTCATGTTTTCGATCATGTATCCATAACAGCTGGAATTTATAGGTGGCTTCTTTTATACAATAAATGAATGCAGGGTTTATGTGAGGCTTTTGGCACAGCAGTGTCTGAGATAAACTATTATTTATGGCTTTTATGTATTAGGCACCAAAGGCATCTGCCAATATTGTGCTCAGTCCTAGATACACACTCTCTCGTTTGGATAAAGTAGAAGACGTGCTTTGGATAAGGAAGGAACATAAATGTTACTAATGTACAAGTTGGGAGCTGATAAATGCTAAGCAAGTTATGTAGAAAGGAAGTGGCATCAGAATTTAGAGAAAGACATTCATGGTGGTCTTTGATAAAAAAAGAGTGCTGGCATTTATTAAGCAACTCAAACTATCGATTGCTTGGCACATTATTAATGCTCATAAAAATCTTATGAGATCCATATTAACCCCATTTTTAGGTGAGAAAACTGAGGCTGAGTTAGATTGTGAATTACCCAAGGTCACACAGCTAAATAGGAGACCAGAAGTCAAATGCATATCTGTAGGATTCCGGAATATCTGTGCTTGCTCCACTGCTCGGTCACCACCTTTGACTTTGTTGTTTAGGGGGGGTTTCACAGAGGAGAGGCCAGAACTGTGCACGGTCTGGTGAGCCCTGTTTCCTTATGGCTCCTAATAACCACAGTTCACAGCATGGGAACCTCTGGGCTGACCAGAATGTCTTAGTGGGTTGGGGTTGTACAGTTTGCGAGCTCCTTGTGCACTGTGTTCTGCTGGATTTGGATAGCCTTGTGGCATCTGTGTCCTGGCTAGTGACCTATTGGATGAATATGAACGTGATAAAAACATTTTCCAGGGTTATACATTTTGGCCCTTGACAATTCTTCTAGGCTTTACCGTGTGCCCACGCTATAAAATAGTCCAAACAGGGGAATTACCTATAGGGAAACTGGTCATGGATCTGGAAATTTGGGATGTACTATAGAGTTATACTTCTAGTATAATATCTCACCCTGGGGGCCAATGGGAGAGAAACCTGGAATAAGGTGATTTGATCTTGTTTTACTTCTGCTATTTTAGAAGAGAAACTGTTTCACCATCACCTTGTGATGCTGCTCCAGCTGGAAGCAGCTTGACAGGATGGAAAGAATGTGGTTTGGGGCATTGATCATCTTATGGGTTAGGATCTTGGCTTTGCCACTTACTACCTATGTAATCTTGGCGGCTTAATCTTACAACTTAATCTTTCTGGATCGTCATTCATTCATCTAACCCGTACTTACTGAGCATCCACTACCTG